CTATTTGCTCAGTCTTTAATTTTTAATGTTGTGTTTTGTGTACTATTGTTTGTCTGTTGGTCTTTTTCTTTTTTAGCCATGGTGTTGTCAGTTTATTTTCGACTTGTGAGTTTGAATGTCCCTTTGGTATCTTTCGCCTCTCTTTTAAGAATAGTGAGCTGTTTCAATCGACCCCTATGGCAAAAGTGAACGTCTTACTGGTCAATACATATGGAAGTTCAATCTTGTAAATGTTTTTTTACATCACAATTTAATTTTTCAAATTATTTCACAGATTGCTTGCAAATCAAACATTTTTTTTAATATAAATATTTTGCGGGTAACAATAAAAAATATATTCTTAAAGTGTATATTTACTTATCGAAAAAGTGGATATCCTTATATTTACAATAAAAATATAAATCAAAAATAAAAATTGTCTCGGAAGTAACAATAATTGTTTCTTATTGATACTTTTTGCGGGTAATCGTAGCCAGTGCCTTTGGTTTATTGCTGGGACTATTATCTAAAAGTTAATAATATATATGTATTCTGTATATATGGCATGTAAAAACAAAAAATTGTTTTAACATTTTTTTCCTTTATATGTATGTGCTGTACATAATTGAACTAAATTACTAAGGGTATATACGCCATATGGAGGTGCTCCTACTTACAGGAGGCTTATACCCTTTCATACGCAGATAAAGATTTAGATAAATTAATTTAAAATACTCTAGAAGATGAAAGCAAAATTTTGATAAATTGGTTCTCAATAAATAAAATGAAAGCAAATCCAGAAAAAGTTCAAGCAATAGCTGTAGGTAAAAAAACTAAAGACAAAAACCTAAAATTTAAATTAGAAGGTAATGAAATAGAATGTGAAGATAACGTTAAACTTCTAGGCGTAACAATAGATTTTAAACTAAATTTCAATGAACATGTCTCTATAATATGTAAAAAAGCATCCAAACAGTTAAATGTATTAAAAAGAATAGGAAAACACCTGACTAAACTCTGAAAATTAACAATATATTATTCTTTCATAATGTCCAACTTTAATTACTGCCCACTAGTTTGGCACTTTCGTGGGGAGGTTAATACAAAAAAGATAGAGAAAATTCAAGAGAGAGCACTAAGGTTCATCTATGAGGACTATTCAGCAAGTTATGAAGATCTACTCTGCAAATCAAAATTACCATCTTTAAAAATAAGAAGAATGCGATCATTGGCTATTGAAGTTTTCAAAATTATTAATAAAGATTGTCCTGTTTATCTCCACGATTTAATACACTTAAAGGAAAACACTTACTCTTTCAGATACCAGAATACAGCCGACCTACCACATGTAAGAACAACTGAATACGGCCTACAATCTTTAAGGTATGCAGGTGCTAAGCTTTGGAATGAGCTGCCAGCTGTGCTACGTAAGCAATCATCTTTAAATCAATTCAAGAACTTGATAAATTCTTGGTCTGGCAGCTCATGCCAATGTTTTGCCTGCAAAACCAGTTAATTTCTGTTCATTACTTTTGGTTTAATGCTTTATTTTCAGCATGGCAATTTTATTTTATTATCTTTACTATAGTGCTTCTGCTGCTTTGTGCTAGTTTTAGTAACTAACTAATCTATATGTGCTTTTAATGTGCAAACCATTTTATTTTTGCTTTTGTGCTTTATCTCACAAGTGCATGTTTCAGTGTGTGTTTAACTTGTAAGATGCTTTTAAGAACTTTTGTGCTGCATGTTTATATACTGATATGAACTCTTGCTTTATATGTTTAATTTATGTGTGCATGACTTTATATGTATATTTTGTTTTATTTGTTGCTCTGTCGGTTTTAAAAGCTCTTCAGAGCTTATGTTTTATACTTGTATTTGCACATACCGACTCTAAATAAAGCTTTATGTATTATGTCTTATACACAGAAGAAGTATTCCCAATCACCATGCGTGTTTTCAGCGTAAAAACATTTTAGAAAATTCTTTTGGATTCCTATTTTTTTTTTTCCTTTAAAGTTATGTTATTGCTCAATTTGTTCCGTCTGTTGGATAAAAATGATCGACCGTGGAATAAAAAGGTGTTGACATGGTACGTTATCGTTTGAATAATTACAACATTTTACTCTATTTCAGTCATATCTTGAAAAGTTCGGCTAGAAAACAATCTGACAAGGTCTTTCATTAACTGCATGATGTCGGCCACCATACATCTCTAGATTTCATGTGTTTATTTTTTCTAAAGTTCTAAAGATACTCCAATATTTGACGCCATATGAACATTTATGAACGTTCTGTATAAAAAATACAATCTGTATATACTGGCATAATTTTAGGATAATTTTAATTTGAGAAACCAACTTTTGCAGTTTTGATGATGGCAGAAGGTTTTATTGCTTTCTACAGTTATGTCCCATGATTACTACCAGAAAGATACAAATATAGATTTGTCTGGCCATTTAAAAAGCCTTACTCAATGGAACGTGAACAGCATCTTCTCTTCACTATAGATTTCGCTGTTTTTTTGTTGGCAAAATAATGTCACTTAATCTGTTGATATACTCAGGGACCCCTCAAATTCAATTTATGTTTAAAAATAGAAATATTTTAGCTATAAATAAAGGCACTGGCTAGAATTACATTGAAATGTAACAATAATAAAAAAGTTATTGTTACATTGGACACTAATGGCGGGAATGCTAGGTTGGGTTATGAAACGATTAATTACGAACGTAACAATAATGTTTAATTATGTCTACGGTTATGTTGCCTTATTGTTAAGTTAAGTAGTTTTTTTGCTTTATTCTTCGATATACTTAATAATTATTACTATTATTATTATTATTCAACAAATAATTTTGAAATAGTTTTTAAGTATTAATTGTTTTAATGTTCTTCAAGGCAATAATACTACAGTTTAGTAGTGCAAAAGGCGAAAAATATAGTTCAGTGGTTCGATGTTTAGAAGAAAAGTGTGTCCACTTCTATGTATTTAACTGCACACCTACCCTTATTACTGTCATTATACTTTGAACAATGGATAAAGTGATTCCTATTAGGTTTATGAAAAGACTTAATTTTATTTGCTGGCCAAAGTGCACCACCTATGACATCATAAAGTTAACGTGTCTGAAAGTTCACAAGGACATGAGCTATCTATATTTAATTATCTAATTGAACATTTTTACCTAACATAAGATTATTTTACTCATTTAGTGTGGCTATAGATGTTGAATTGTAAAGTAAATAAACATTATTTCCGTTTTTTTAGGCTCTCATGCATATTTTTCATTAGAGGACAAAGCATTGTCTTTCAATATTGTCATAATTTCATATAGATGCATGACCTTTATATAAATATGCATGGGTATTGAAGTTGACTAATTTTGGTAACTTATCGACTTGTAGGAATCAATATTTGCATCTTTTTAATTTAGGTCAAATATTTCTTGCTTAACACTAATTGACTTATCATTGAAGTCATAAATTGTCTTAAATTAAAGGGAGACAATTCTTTGAATCTACAAATTTAGACCTCTATGAGTCAAAAGCAGATTTAGACTTATTTATGTGTGAGCTCTGACTGATTAGTATTACCGAATTTGTTTTGGGTGAAAAAATTAAACTTTAGATGCGTTTGAATCAAAGCTGAAACAATATCAAGAATCAAATTTTATACAGTTATACAAACGCAGTTTGAAAAAAATTGATATCAAAAGCAAAGTTTGGCAGCAGTGAACTAAAATACTGTGAACCTCTGTGTGTAACATCCGTAATGGACTGAAATGAAATGATATTAAAAGACAACATAAAACAACCTTACATGTTTCCAACAAATATTTTGTACAAAAATATAAACATTTCAAGAAAAGATTTTTTTCACCTGAAGCATTGCAGATATTGAAAGTTGCTATAACTTCAAAAAGGGATATTGCAGACTGGAACTGTTTAGTAGGCAAAACCGACGTGCACATTGCTGCATCATTCGTTTGTGATGTCTGCCTAGAGTGGTTTCACCAAAAATGAAACGTGCTCCCAAAAGCACATACGGATGTGTAGAAGCTGCCATCAGTGTAAATAGAATAAAAAATGTGTATGCAATATTGTAGCATTGCAGTGTTGAGGAATAAGAGTTTTCAATTTGTATTTCAATACACATTACTAGTCCCTGCATTCATTGAATTGCACCAACCTAACAATAACACAATGTAACTGTAGACACAAATATTATTGTTACATTCTTAATTAATTGGTTCCTAACCCAACCTAGCATTCCGGCAATTAGTGTCCAATGTAACAATAACTTTTTTATTATTGTTACATTTCAATGTAATCCTAGCCAGTGCCATAAATAAATGATACATGATGCTAAACTAATCTTTTGTTAAACCTACGTAAATAAGATCCAAATTATAATTGGACTCTTTTCTTTTAAATAACCTTGTAATATATGAGGGTCTGGATTTAATTTTTTGGGGTGGGGGATTTGAGCTTAATATTGCACACCAATTTATAATTATAACAGTGGCAAAACCATTGACTGAGAACAATAGAAAATTCACTCTTTTGAAAAGTCAAGAAAAACAATAGTAAAACAATGCCGGTGAAGATACTGATCAAAAGTTATTTCTAATCAACAATCGTACATTTTAAAGAATTTATTTGTAAAACTGTGTTATTTGAAAACATGCAAAACACAAAGTTTTATGTCCATTATTTATCCAGATAATTGCATTAAAAGCTTGTGAAACAGAAATCTAAAAAATGATTTTTGCTGCATATATTGATAAAAAAAATTGTAAAAAATCATGTACAGACACAATCTAAAGATCTTTCAGGTGACAATTTTTTGGAGTGTTCCACAAAGTCCTTATTAGCATGTTACAATTTCCCTAAATGTACCTATTATACACATCTAAGTTTTTTGAGTACATCGATCTCACTTGTCAAGTGAAAATTCAATATAGAAATATTTTCTTTTCATGAATATAAAAAAAAATTTAAACTGTCTGTTTTCAGTGTTTACAGGGGAGGTAATATTTTGTCACTAGATTTCTAACTGATAACATATTTAATTGATTTTTCAGATGATATAAACCTTTGTTGAAACTTGAAAGGTATATGATGGAGAAAACTACATGCAATCAAGAGATGACCACTCAAAGATATTCTAATAAAGAGCAGAAAGTCTTTAAAACGAAAGAAAAATTGAAAGATATGTTAACTTTTCTGCAGGATTATCTCCCCCTTGCTAATGTACATTCTAATAACTTTATACTGCACAATATATGGGATGAATATTTGTCTGAAGATATAAAGAAAGAATTAAAACTCATGACAGATGATGCTGTGTTGAGGTTAAACGAGAGAATGTTACAAAATCAGAATGAATATGTACAGGTAATACACACAACTGTTTGGGTTAAGTTAGGGGGAGGCAGAGGGGGATTTAATGAAAGAATAAAAACTTATAATGAATGAGGCTGTGTTGATGTTACTTGACAGAATGTTACAATTTCAGAATGTATATTTGCTGTTTTAAATTTGATTAATAAAATCATCCCAATTTAAGGAAATTTATATGTGCATGTATGTGTTATTTTCTTTTTTGTTGTTGTGTCTGCTGATATAAGTATAAAAGTAATCAGATGTGGTATGATTGTCAATAAGACAACTATTCACCAAAGTTCAAATGATGTGGATATTAGAAATTATAGATCACCATACAACCTTTAACAATGAGAAAAACCCACATCTTATAGTCAGCTATAAAAGGTCCAGATATGAAAAATGTGAAACAACTCAAGAAAACTTAAACTCCGTTATATATAACAATACAATTTACTGACATGGAGCAACAATGAACATGGAATTGCAGGCTCCTGACTTGGGAGAGGCACATTGAGAATGTGGGGGGTTAAACATGTTAGGAGCACTCAACCCTACCGCTAACCTGGGACAGTGGTGTTGCAGCACAACATACAAACAAACTGTAAAAATCAGTCGTAAATGGCTTAACTCAATAGAAAGATACAAAGCACAAAAAACAACTAGATAAAAACAATAGACACAAAGCTATGATATTAGAGTACTTACAGTTACTGAAAGCTAGTTCAAAACCAATTACAACTGATAAATAAATCATGTTCTCTTACACTAGGTTTAGTTGTACATAGTGATTTTATGTAATCACCTAAAAATATTTAAACATGGAAATTGATCTAAGAAATTTAATTTTTTTGTAGGATTTCCCCTTAACAAAAAAAATTAATTTCAATAATGAAATACATGCATACATTGTAGAAGTTCTGAATAATGTATTCATGATATTATATAATCTATTCTAACTTGTATTTTGTAGGCAGGTCAAACTAAAGCTACAAAAAACAATGCAGACTGGACATTCTCATCAAACTATTTAGATGCTGCACCAAGAACTGGTAAAGTTAGGAACTTACATGATATACCTGTATTCCCAGTAGAATGGAAGCACCATAGTATTGACCATTTTCTCAAAGATGCTGCCCAGAATACATTGGCTTGTTCAGGACTAGTATCTAGCCTAGATGACTTGATATGTACAGACAGGACACCTCTTGTCATCTCTAATTTTATGACATCTAAAAAATGTCATGAAGTAAACATAATGAGTGATGTGTGTTCCTATATATCAAAGAATGCTGGTGTAGATGTGGTAAGTGTCAAGTCATATATATAAACATAAATAGTGATGTGTACTCCCCCCTTTTTTTATTAATATTGTATTTATATTGTGTCATGGATCAAATTTATACGTTCATTGTATGTTTACTTGTTTTTGTTAATATGTCTTTTTGATTGAGTTAAGCCATTTCAATTGATATTTTATAGTGTGTCTTTCTATGTTGTAATGTTACACTACTGTATCAGGTTAGGGTGAAGGTTGGCGCCTGTTAAAATGTTAAAGCCGTTGCATTTGTTTGCACCTGTCCTAAGTCAGGAGCCTGTTGTTCAGTGGTTGTCTTTTGTTGATGTGGTTCATAAGTGTTTCTCGTTTCTCATTTTTGTCTCGCCTTGACGGAGTCAAAAAGCGAGACATAGGTACCGGTATGCTGTTTCCGACGACGGCGGTGGCGTCAACAATCTACTAGTTTGTGATTAAGTCTAGTTCATGGTGAACCACTAGTGTCAATAATATTTGGTATGCAGTTGTATTAGCATTGGCACATCTCATTACCATGGAGATTATTTGGCAGCCCCCTCAGTCAAGGTCTATTGACTTTGAAACTTTGCTTAGTTTACATGTATTAGTTTGTGATAAGGTCAGTTTATGGGGAACCACTAGTGGTAGGTCAATGATATTTGGTATGCAGTTGTATTAACATTGGCACATCTCATTACCATGGAGATTATTTAGCCCTGCCCCCTCATTCATGGTCTATTGACTTTGAACTTTTGCTTAATTTCATGTATTAGTTTGTGATTAGGTCAGTTTAAGGGTAACTGTTAGTGGTAGGTCAATGATAATTGGTATGTAGTTGTATTTATAAGCATTAGCACATCTCATTTCCATGGTGAATATTTAGTCCTTACCCCTCAGTCATGGTCTATTGACTTTGAAACTTTTGCTTAGTTTACATGTATTGGTTTGTGATTAGGTCAGTTCAAGATGAACCACTAATGTTAAGTCAATGATATTCGGTATGCAAATGTATTGGCATTTGCAAGTTTCATTTCCATGGAGATTATATAACCCCACCCCCTAATTATGGTTCATTGACTTTGAAACTTTTACATAGTTTACAAGTTAATGTTTGTGTTTAGGTTTGTTTAAAGGGAACGACTTATGAAAAGTCAATGGTATTTGGTTTGCAGTTGTATTAGCATTGGCACATCTCATTTCCATGGAGATTGTTTAGCCCTGTACCTTCAGTCATGGTTCATTGACTTTGAATATTTGCATAACTTACATGTTAAAGTATTGCTATTTTAATTTCAACATTTGCAATATCAAAATAACAAATAGGCAAGACATATCTCTGTGTTAACAGTTTATTTATATAGATTAGACTGTTGGTTTTCCAGTTTGAATTGTTTTACACTATTCATTTTGGGGCCCTTTATAGCTTGCTGTTAGGTGAGCCAAGGCTCTGTGTTGAAGGCGGTACTTTGACCTATAATTGTTTAGTTTTTACACATTGTGACTTGGATGGAGAGTTGTCTCATTAGCACTCATACCACATCTTCTTCTTTCTATCAAAGTACTGTGGATTCATTATTATTCGTTGGATACCAATTTTCGTGGATTTCGTGGGTAAGGGTGAACCACGAAATACATATTCAATGAAAAACTCTTTTTCTATAGGCTTGTATGCAGACTTCGGCAAAACCACGAAATTAAATATCCACGAACATGACAGTTTTTCTTAATCCACGAAAATTGATACCCACGAAAATAAATGAATTCACAGTATATTGGAGTAGATGTGGTTAGTGTCAAATCATATGTAAACATAATGAGTGATGTGTGTTCCTTTGATTGCTGGAGTAGATGCGGTAAGTGTCAAGTCATTTATAGACATAATGAGTGATATGTGTTCCTTTGATTGCTGGAGTAGATGCAGTAAGTGTCAAGTCATTTATAGACATAATGAGTGATGTGTGTTCCTTTGATTGCTGGAGTAGATGTGGTAAGTGTCAAGTCATTTATAGACATAATGAGTGATGTGTGTTCCTTTGATTGCTGGAGTAGATGTGGTAAGTGTCAAGTCATTTATAGACATAATGAGTGAAGTGTGTTCCTTTGATTGCTGGAGTAGATGTGGTAAGTGTAAGTATCAAGTCATTTATAGACATAATGAGTGATGTGTGTTCCTTTGATTGCTGGAGTAGATGTGGTAAGTGTCATGTCATAATGAGTGATGAGTGTTCCTTTGATTGCTGGAGTAGATGCAGTAAGTGTCAAGTCATTTGTAGACATAATGAGTGATGTGTGTTCCTTTGATTGCTGGAGTAGATGCGGTAAGTGTCATGTCATAATGAGTGATGAGTGTTCCTTTGATTGCTCGAGTAGATGCAGTAAGTGTCAAGTCATTTATAGACATAAAGAGTGATGTGTGTTCCTTTGATTGCTGGAGTAGATGTTGTAAGTGTCATGTCATTTATAGACATAATGAGTGATGTCTGTTCCTTTGATTGCTGGAGTAGATGTGGTAAGTGTCAAGTCATTTATAGACATAATGAGTGATGTGTGTTCCTTTGATTGCTGGTGTAGATGTGGTAAGTGTAAGTGTCAAGTCATTTATAGACATAATAAGTGATGTGTGTTCCTTTGATTGCTGGAGTAGATGTGGTAAGTGTCAAGTCATTTATAGACATAATGAGTGATGTGTGTTCCTTTGATTGCTGGAGTAGATGTTGTAAGTGTCAAGTCATTTATAGACATAATGAGTGATGTGTGTTCCTTTGATTTCTGGAGTAGATGTGGTAAGTGTAAGTGTCAAGTTACTTATAGACATAATGAGTGATGTGTGTTCCTTTGATTGCTGGAGTAGATGCAGTTAGTGGCAAGTCATTTATAGACATAATGAGTGATGTGTGATCCTTTGATTGCTGGAGTAGATGCGGTAAGTGTCATGTCATTTATAGACATAATGAGTGATGTGTGTTCCTTTGATTGCTGGAGTAGATGCCGTAAGTGTCATGTCATTTATAAACATAATGAGTGATGAGTGTTCCTTTGATTGCTGGAGTAGATGCAGTAAGTGTCAAGTCATTTATAGACATAATGAGTGATGTGTGTTCCTTTGATTGCTGGAGTAGATGCGGTAAGTGTCAAGTCATTTATAGACATAATGAGTGATGTGTGTTCCTTTGATTGCTGGAGTAGATGTTGTAAGTGTCAAGTCATTTATAGACATAATGAGTGATGTGTGTTCCTTTGATTGCTGGAGTAGATGCAGTAAGTGTCAAGTCATTTATAGACATAATGAGTGATGTGTGTTCCTTTGATTGCTGGAGTAGATGTGGTAAGTGTCAAGTCATTTATAGACATAATGAGTGATGTGTGTTCCTTTGATTGCTGGAGTAGATGTTGTAAGTGTAAGTGTCAAGTCATTTATAGACATAATGAGTGATGTGTGTTCCTTTGATTGCTGGAGTAGATGTGGTAAGTGTCATGTCATTTATAGACATAATGAGTGATGTATGTTCCTTTGATTGCTGGAGTAGATGTGGTAAGTGTCAAGTCATTTATAGACATAATGAGTGATGTGTGTTCCTTTGATTGCTGGAGTAGATGTGGTAAGTGTAAGTGTCAAGTCATTTATAGACATAATGAGTGAAGTGTGTTCCTTTGATTGCTGGAGTAGATGTTGTAAGTAAGTGTCAAGTCATTTATAGACATAATGAGTGATGTGTGTTCCTTTGATTGCTGGAGTAGATGTGGTAAGTGTCAAGTCATTTATAGACATAATGAGTGATGTGTGTTCCTTTGATTGCTGGAGTAGATGTGGTAAGTGTCAAGTCATTTATAGACAAAAGAGTGATGTGTGTTCCTTTGATTGCTGGAGTAGATGTGGTAAGTGTCATGTCATTTATAGACATAATGAGTGATGTGTGTTCCTTTGATTGCTGGAGTAGATGTGGTAAGTGTCAAGTCATTTATAGACATAATGAGTGATGCGTGTTCCTTTGATTGCTGGAGTAGATGTGGTAAGTGTAAGTGTCAAGTCATTTATAGACATAATGAGTGATGTGTGTTCCTTTGATTGCTGGAGTAGATGTTGTAAGTGTAAGTGTCAAGTCATTTATAGACATAATGAGTGATGTGTGTTCCTTTGATTGCTGGAGTAGATGCGGTAAGTGTCAAGTCATTTATAGACATAATGAGTGATGTGTGTTCCTTTGATTGCTGGAGTAGATGTGGTAAGTGTCAAGTCATTTATAGACAAAAGAGTGATGTGTGTTCCTTTGATTGCTGGAGTAGATGCAGTAAGTGTCAAGTCATTTATAGACATAATGAGTGATGTGTGTTCCTTTGATTGCCGGAGTAGATGTAGTAAGTGTAAGTGTCAAGTCATTTATAGACATAATAAGTGATGTGTGTTCCTTTGATTGCTGGAGTAGATGTTGTAAGTGTAAGTGTCAAGTCATTTATAGACATAATGAGTGATGTGTGTTCCTTTGATTGCTGGAGTAGATGCGGTAAGTGTCATGTCATATATAGACATAATGAGTGATGTGTGTTCCTTTGATTGCTGGAGTAGATGTGGTAAGTGTCAAGTCATTTATAGACATAATGAGTGAAGTGTGTTCCTTTGATTGCTGGAGTAGATGCGGTAAGTGTCAAGTCATTTATAGACATAATGAGTGACGTGTGTTCCTTTAATTGCTGGAGTAGATGCGGTAAGTGTCATGACATAATGAGTGATGTGTGTTTCTGTATCATGGCAAAGAAAGCTGGAGTAGATGTGGTACGTGTCAATTTGATATATAAACTCAATGAGTGACGTGTTCACATATATCAAAGAATGTGGATTGTCAAGTCATATATAAACATAATGATTGATGTGTGTTCCTTTATGGCAAAGAATGCCGAAGTAGATATAGTAAATGTCAAGTCATGCATAAACTTAATGAGTAATTGTGTGTTCAATTATTGCAAAGAACGTGGGAGTAGATGAGTTATGTGTCAAGTCATATATAAACATAATGAGTAATGTGTGTTCATTTATGGCAAAGAATGTCGGAGAAGATGGGTTATGTGTCAAATCATATATAAACATAATGAGTGATGTGTGTACCTTTATGGCAAAGAATGCCAGAGTATGACACATCACACCATTTTGACTTCGGATATAAAATGCCAGCCTTGTATGATATTACTAGTCTATCTTAAGACATCATCAATTTATAGATCATCTTTATATTTTGAAGCTCTAATCCTTAGCCTTTGCTGAGGACAACAAGGCATGCATTGATCAAATTGACTATTTAATAATATGGAACTAATACACTAATTTCAATTTCAAGTTCAAAATTTGTGTTTTGATAAACCACATCTAAGTAATATAATATAGAATTAATTGCTGCCTAAATAATCTTCCAATTTGAACCATGACCAATTTATTTTTATGATTGATTACAGATAGTTGACATGGGTAGTGGTAAAGGTTACCTGAGTACACAACTTGTGTATCAACATAACTTATGTGTAGTAGCTGTTGATGCACAAACTATTAATACACATGGGGCTCAGAAAAGGGCATCTTTGTTGGGGAAACAATGGGATGCTTTGGTCAGACAGGCAGAGGAAGAAGTAGTGGAAGGAGAGAGAAAGAAAAAAGGAAAGAAATATAAGAAAAGAATGAAGAAATTAGCAATGAGTGGTAACGTTGATGGAGAAATACAGAATTCAAATGAAAATACTGAGTACAATGTTTCTGATGAGGTGCTTAATGATATACAGGATTTAATGAATGTTTCTGACGAAAAATCTTCAAATAATTTTTGTTGTGAAAATATGGGTGAAATAAGTGAGACTGAGAAAGATAACCTTGATCATCTTCTCAATGATGAGAACAAAATATATGATAAATCTGATGATACAGGGCACAAGGAGATAGAAGATAAACTTGATTGTATAATGGAAGAGAACAATGAATTTAATGGTATTGAACACAATAAATTGACTAAAATGGAAAATGTTGATTTACATGATCAATTATCAGATATAAACAATGTAAGGCATTCCATGGAAGATTCTACATCATGTGAAAAACAGTCTGATTCTAAATCCAATAGTTACCATAGCAATATACGTAAACATGAAAATGAGAATTTGTCAAACAATAATATGAAGGATTTACATTTGAAGGAAAGTAAAAACAGTAAAAAGGAGAAGTTATCCAGGTTATATTATCCTATTACTGTGTATGTTGATGAAAGTATGGATATAACAGAGTTAGTCAAACAAACTGGTGCTCATTCAGGGGAGGCTACTCTTATGCTGACTGGTTTACATACTTGTGGTTCATTAGGTTCTAGTTTACAAAATATGTTTGTCAATAGTTCCCCAACTAAAGTTTTGTGTTATGTTAGCTGTTGCTATCATCTAATGAATGAGGAATTTGTCATGGCTCCGTTTACAGATGGTAAGAAAGTTCAATTTATATTTTAAATTTCAATAACAGAGTTATACTCTTAACTCAAGAACTATTCAAGTAAGGTTATTAGGATGGATGACTAAAACTATTGCTTCAGAAGTTCTTTGGTGACCATTATGAATTTCAATCTGACCTAATTACTGTCACATTCTTGGGTTAACCATGTGATATGACCCAGAATGAAGTAACTTGTGATGTATGCACAGTAGGAGACGCTTATCCAGCCAGTGTATCTGGTCTTCCTACTTTTAGAGGATTTAATTAGGGCCCCGCCGAATGGCAGCCGCCCTAAAGTGATCAGTCTGTCCATCCGTCTGTCCGTCCGTCTGTCCGTCCGTCCGTCCGTAACAAATCATGTCCGCTCTTTATCTAGAGAACCGTTATGATTTCAAAGTTTATACTTGACATGTATATTAACCAACACCAGAGGGTGTGTCATAATGTATGTTCAACTTCCTAGGTCAAAGGTCAAGGTCAAAAACTTTGGTTTTAGTTGACAACCCCATGTTCTATGGTAAAGATTGTTTCCGCTCTATATCTTGAGAACCGTTATGATTTCAAAGTTTATACTTGATATGTATATTAACCAACACCAGAGGGTGTGTCATAATGTATATACAACTTCCTAGGTCAAAGGTCAAGGTCAAAAACTTTGGTTTTAGTTGACAACCCCATGTCCTATCGTAAAGATCGTGTCCGCTCTATATCTTGAGAACCGTTATGATTTCAAAGTTTATACTTGATATGTATATAAACCAACACCAGAGGGTGTGTCATAATTTATGTACAACTTCCTATGTCAAAGGTCAAGGTCAAAAACTTTGGTTTTAGTTGACAACCCAATGTCCTATCGTAAAGATCGTGTCCACTCTATATCTTGAGAACCGTTATGATTTCAAAGTTTATACTTGATATGTATATAAACCAACACCAGAGGGTGTGTCATAATTTATGTACAACTTCCTAGGTCAAAGGTCAAGGTCAAAAACTTTGGTTTCATTTGACAACCCCATGTCCAATGATAAAGATACAAATTTTTTACCACACATCATTCACAGTGGGGCCCACAGAGATGGCTCCCATCTCAATGATATCTAGTTCACTTTGTTTAGACATCCACTGTTTTTACTCCCATTTTATGTGTTGTATACAATATACAAAATGACTGATGAGATATTTACTAGACATTTATAGTATAATTTCTTTCTATGTAACCACTCATCTTGTCATTGTTAGATCTAGTCGGGAATTACCCAAAAAGCACAAAGTACAACAGACTACATCAACTACTAACTTCTGACGCCCCTGAAAAAACTGACACAAAAACAAATAACAATGAACAACACATGGTCCAGATAGCCTGACTTGGTTATTTACAAAAGTAAATAAAGATTATCCACATCTCAAACTATTCTCATCGGAAAAGCCTTGGTTCAGATCTAAATATTAATGACAAAATCATTTGAAAATGTGCAGTTTTTTGCATTTTTGCACCACACCAAAAAAACAAGAAGTTTGAACTGTTAAAGCATATATATATATATAAGAAACAATTCCAAAATTAAAATATTGATATAGATCTGACAGACTAATGTCTTGGGATTACAATAGCATGTGATTTGATAGATATATTGTTCTTTTTGATTTTCAAATTGATAAAGAAGAAGAAATGGCCATATAATACCTTCTCCTTTCTGCATTGCATTGGCTTCTAGTGTAAAACATATAGTTGGAGATACACAATCTAACTATAAGGCAGTGGATGCAAAGAAGATGTTTGAATCTTCATCTCTCTAAACTTCAAAAAAAACTTTAAAAAAAATACTGATCTGCATAATTTAATTTTTACTTGTTTTAACCATAAAAATTAATTTATGAATAATTGCTTTTCTTTATAAGATCTTGGAAACATTTGTTTACAGGACATGAAGAAGAAAAGCCTGGCTTTCCAATGAGTTCATTCTTGAGAGAACATGAAGTAGGACTTGGTAGAGCTGCAAGGAACTTTGCTTCTCAGACAATTAACAGACCAACATCTGAGGTAAAAATATGACACTCTAATAACATTAACGATACCAATTTTTCTGCACCAAATGCGCATTTCGACAATTAATGTCTCTTCAGTGATGCTCGAGGCCAAAATATTTGAAAATCCAAAACTTATTAAATTGATGAAGAGCTATAAACCAAAAAGGACAAAAAATTATAGCCAAAGCTGGCATTATACTACATGTACTACAAAATGATAAAATAAAATATAATCAACTTATATAATTAAAACATCCTTATTAAAAAAAAAAGTAATATTCTTTAAAGTAACTACTAAATTTACCATCCTACACAAATACTTGTTAGATGATATGAAAAATCTTTTTTTGTGAATATTTTCTTCACTTTTAAAACAATATTTGATATTAAAACCTATGATAAGAGTTGTGCACAGTACTAAAAGCATGCAGGCTAGTTGTAAGTGCAAGGAATATAGAATTTAGGGGTCTTTTTCTACTGACCCCTAAATTCTTTCCAAGCATGAAAATGACAGATATATTGTGTACTGTGGATTCACTATTATTCGTGGGAGACCAATTTTTTGTTGATTTCATGGTTATAGGTAAACCACAGATTTAAATGTTAAACGTAGTACACATTTTCTAGAGGCTCGTATTTACAGACTTTGGCAAATCCATCAAATCAAATATTCTTGAAAATATATAAGTTTTCCTCAATCCACTAAAATTGGTACATGTATTCATGAAAATATAAGTTTTCCTCAATCCACTGAAGTTGGTACATGTATTCATGAAAATATAAGTTTTCCTCAATCCACTGAAGTTGGTACATGTATTCATGAAAATATAAGTTTTCCTCAATCCACTGAAGTTGGTACATGTATTCATGAAAATATAAGTTTTCCTCAATCCACTAAAATTGGTACATGTATTCATGAAAATATAAGTTTTCCTCAATCCACTGAAGTTGGTACATGTATTCATGAAAATATAAGTTTTCCTCAATCCACTGAAGTTGGTACATGTATTCATGAAAATATAAGTTTTCCTCAATCCACTGAAGTTGGTACATGTATTCATGAATATATAAGTTTTCCTCAATCCACTAAAATTGGTACATGTATTCATGAAAATATAAGTTTTCCTCAATCCACTGAAGTTGGTACATGTATTCATGAAAATATAAGTTTTCCTCAATCCACTAAAATTGGTACATGTATTCATGAATATAAGTTTTCCTCAATCCACTGAAATTGGTACATGTATTCATGAATATATAAGTTTTCCACAATCCACTAAAATTGGTACATGTATTCATGGATATTGAAATTGGTACATGTATTCATGAATATATAAGTTTTCCTCAATCCACTGAAATTGGTACATGTATTCATGGATATATAAGTTTTCCTCAATCCACTGAAATTGGTACATGTATTCATGAATATATAAGTTTTCCTCAATCCACTAAAATTGGTACATGTATTCATGAAAATAAACAAATCCACAGTATAACTTCATTACACACAATCAATGCATTCACTTGACCCCATATTGCTGTTCTTCTAAAAGCCTTCTACAGAAGATATATGTTTTAGCTGAAAGCTAAGTCCTATCCTAAAAGACTTCTACATAAGATGAATGCTAAGTCCTATCCCAGAAGCCTCTTACAGAAGATACTGTATGACATCACAGGTCATGTTGATGATGGCTGGAAGGGACTACGAAAACTAGACCAGAAATGTAAAGATATGCACCAGTATGTCCAGAGAGCATTTGAGAAACTGAAACTTCCAACAGATAAGGTAGATATAATAATTTTTCACTGAATCATTATGGACCATCATACTGCATGGTTTTTCCCTACTGCACCACAGTGGAGGGACATAGTAGTCCTCTTCCATCCATCATTGCATAGGAAGTTAGATTACATTACACACAAAATTATAAACTTTTTATTATTATTATCAGATATTAATCAGCCCTTATTTGATGCAGGGTGTGAAAAGTGGCTATCTCAACACAAAAATGACCAAACATATTAACAACATGCAATATCTATTATAAAAACCACAAGCATTGTTGCCACTTTTCTTTCATAGTTTCTGAATCAGTTTTTTAACAATTGGATCTTCAGTTTAATTTTCACTATAGATTCAAATTGGTTATAAAAATACATATTTTATAATATATTTATATCAGGTAATATTAATAATATAAGTGCAAAACTAATCATTTAAAGATTCCTTGAAATTGTATTTAATTTTGTAAATGTGCCAAACTAATTATTTAGAGAGGACACAAGAACTTGTATTTTAGTGTGTGAACATGTTTTATTACATATATAAATAAACTCAGTAAAACATAATGTTTATTACTTATAACTCAATTGAGATGATTTAAACAAAATTTTATCAATAGTTATCCACTTCACCTTTGTATAAAACCATACTTGCCACAATGTCATGAAACAAGTTTATGTATTTCACCAATGAAATAAGAAGGAACATAGTATACAAATTTGGAATTATTTATAGATAACACCCAAACTTGTATCTGAGTATGTGAAGAGATACAAAGAAGAAGAAAAGAAGTTGGCTATATTCCTTCAGATAAAGTCTTTGTTAGCTCCTTGTATAGAGGCTATTGTTTTGCTAGACAGATATTTATATCTTCTTGAACAGGTAATATATTTCTATTGTTACAGTTAAAATTATACACCCCTCTCTAAGAGTGTGACTAGAGTGGAAATTACATTGCATTCTTGTCCATCCATTCAATTGTTCATTCTACTATCTGTTGTAAAAAAAGTGTGTATTATACATGACTAAATAAGGTAATCCAACAGATCTTTCATCACACTTATTCAAGTAAAACTAAACAGAATGGATCCATATTTGGTCAGCAGCTATACATTGATGACTTGTAATATTTTAAAAAGAGCTTAATCTGATCTGTTAGACACCTAATTCCTGTTTATTGATACTTTGAATATTTTGCTATGAAGAATAAAGTTGATATTTTCGTCCAACATTTCTGTCCTATTGAACAAAACAACTTCATATTTGGTCAGTAGCTTGATAGTGACGAATTGTAAGGTGTGAGTTTTTTTTTGATTTTTATGCATGTGTGGTGTACACATTTCCCTGGTACCATACTACTAAACAGAATGACCTCATGTCTTGTCTACACCTTGAAAATGATGGCTTGAAATGTACATGAGATAGTGCTTTTCTGATTTTCCAGAAGGTATTCTAAGCATGACAACACATGCAATTTCTTTTTTCAGATTGGGTCTCATACTGACAACTAAGCATATTTTAAACACCATTGAAGTGATTTAAGGCTTTAAATGTGCATGTCCTATATTTGTCAATGATTAAGTGTTTGTTATTGAACAAATGCTCTGGATTAATTGTTTAGAATGAAAGGATATGTTTGGTATAAGTCAATAAGACTGTAAATATAAGACATCTAGAGGTCAACATACTGACTTCAACAATAGACAAGTGTCTTTTACAATATATCATGATCTACCTTCAACAATAGACAAGTGTCTTTACAATATATCATGATCTACCTTCAGTAATAGACTAGTATCTTTACAATATATCAGGATCTACCTTCAATAATAGACAAGTGTCTTTACAATATACCAGGATCTACCTTCAACAATAAACAAGTGTCTTTACAATATATCATGATCTACCTTCAATAAAAGACAAGTATCTTTACAATATATCAGGATCTACCTTCAACAATAGACAAGTATCTTTACAATATATCAGGATCTACCTTCAACAATAGACAAGTGTCTTTACAATATATCAGGATCTACCTTTAACAATAGACAAGTGTCTTTACAATATATCATGATCTACCTTCAACAATAGACAAGTATCTATACAATATATCAGGATCTACCTTCAACAATAGACAAGTGTCTTTACAATATATCAGGATTTACCTTCAACAATAGACAAGTGTCTGTACAATATATCATGATCTACCTTCAATAATAGACAAGTGTCTTTACAATATATCAGGATTTACCTTCAACAATAGACAAGTGGCTTTACAATATATCATGATCTACCTTCAACAATAGACAAGTGTCTTTACAATATATCAGGATCTACCTTCAACAATAGACAAGTATCTTTACAATATATCATGATCTACCTTCAACAATAGACAAGTATCTTCACAATATATCATGATCTACCTTCAACAATAGACAAGTGTCTTCACAATATATCATGATCTACCTTCAATGATAGACAAGTGTCTTTACAATATATCATGATCTACCTTCAACAATAGACAAGTGTCTTTACAATATATCAGGATCTACCTTTAACAATAGACAAGTGTCTTTACAATATATCATGATCTACCTTCAACAATAGACAAGTATCTATACAATATATCAGGATCTACCTTCAACAATAGACAAGTGTCTTTACAATATATCAGGATTTACCTTCAACAATAGACAAGTGTCTGTACAATATATCATGATCTACCTTCAATAATAGACAAGTGTCTTTACAATATATCAGGATTTACCTTCAACAATAGACAAGTGGCTTTACAATATATCATGATCTACCTTCAACAATAGACAAGTGTCTTTACAATATATCAGGATCTACCTTCAACAATAGACAAGTATCTTTACAATATATCATGATCTACCTTCAACAATAGACAAGTATCTTCACAATATATCATGATCTACCTTCAACAATAGACAAGTGTCTTCACAATATATCATGATCTACCTTCAATGATAGACAAGTGTCTTTACAATATATCATGATCTACCTTCAACAATAGACAAGTATCTTTACAATATATCAGGATCTACATCACTGAGTTTAGAAAGATATATCTAACACCTGCCATCAACACCAAGTTTTCCAAAGTACAAAGTCTTCAAGATATAATCCAAGACAACCACTAACAAGGTTCTGTCATTTCAGGGGAAAAAATGTTTATTGAGTACTTAACCCCTCTTTCTCCCTCATTTTTGGCATAATTGGGATTTTAATGTCAGTGCCTTGTAAGAAAAGATTGACAAAAATAGTTCTATTTCACTTTCTTACATGTCTATTCATCTACTGGAAATATTTTTTATCTTGAAGCAATGGATTTGATATTCAGGGCCAAAAAGGAACCTTACCAATCTTACTCCTTAGAAAAAATAAATTCTTTCCTTGCAAAATGTTTGCACTTTACAGTAACATGTTTCATGCCATAGAATTTTCTATTACAACTATTTGTTAGATTTCATTGGCCATTATAGCATGTAATTTGACATTGCTCCAAATGTGTGTCAGTCTGAAGAGGTGTAGAATTATTAACATTTTTGCTCAAACAGGTCCTAGGGGTTCTGGCCATCTGGAACTTTTGTCAACTCTCGGGATTTTGTGTATTTCAATTAAAAAAAAAAAATTTAATATGTCATTTTTGGGCTTAAACACATTTATTGAAACCAAAAATATAACTACTTTATAGTGTCTTATTTTTGTTGATACTATTTTTTTCGAGCCTTCGACTTTAGTCGAAAAAGCGAGACATAGCGATCCTACATTCCGTCGACGTCGTCGGTGGCGTCCACAAATATTCACTCTGTGGTTAAAGTTTTTGAAATTTTAATAACTTTCTTAAACTATCCTTGATTTCTACCAAACTTGGACAGAAGCTTGTTTATCATCATAAGATAGTATCCAGAAGTAAATTTTGTAAAAATAAAATTCCATTTTTTCCGTATTTTACTTATAAATGGACTTAGTTTTTCTGCCGGGAAACATTACATTCACTCTGTGGTTAAAGTTTTTAAAATTTTAATAACTATCTCAAAATATCCTTGATTTCTACCAAACTTGGACAGAAGCTTGTTTATAATCATAAGATAGTATCCAGAAGTAAATTTTGTAAAAATAAAATTCCATTTTTTCCGTATTTTACTTATAAATGGACTTAGTTTTTCTGCCGGGAAACATTACATTCACTCTGTGGTTAAAGTTTTTGAAATTTTAATAACTTTCTTAAACTATCCTTGATTTCTACCAAACTTGGACAGAAGCTTGTTTATGATCATAAGATAGTATCCAGAAGTAAATTTTGTAAAAATAAAATTCCATTTTTTCCGTATTTTACTTATAAATGGACTTAGTTTTCTGCCGGGAAACATTACATTCACTCTGTGGTTAAAGTTTTTGAAATTTTAATAACTTTCTTAAACTATCCTTGATTTCTACCAAACTTGGACAGAAGCTTGTTTATGATCATAAGATAGTATCCAGAAGTAAATTTTGTAAAAATAAAATTCCATTTTTTTCGTATTTTACTTATAAATGGACTTAGTTTTTCTGCCAGGAAACAATACATTCACTATGTGGTTAAAGTTTTTAAAATTTTAATAACTTTCTTATACTATTTTGGATTTGTACCAAACTTGGACAGAAGCTTTTTTATGATCAAAAGCTAGTATCTAGAAGGAAATTTTGTAAAAAAATAAATCCATTTTTTCCGTATTTTACTTATAAATGGACTTAGTTTTTCTGCCGGGAAACATTACATTCACTCTGTGGTTACAGTTTTTGAAATTTTAATAACTTTCTTAAACTATCCTTGATTTCTACCAAACTTGGACAGAAGCTTGTTTATGATCATAAGATAGTATCCAGAAGTAAATTTTGTAAAAATAAAATTCCATTTTTTCCTATTTTACTTATAAATGGACTTAGTTTTTCTGCCAGGAAACAATACATTCACTATGTGGTTAAAGTTTTTAAAATTTTAATAACTTTCTTATACTATTTTGGATTTGTACCAAACTTGGACAGAAGCTTTTTTATGATCAAAAGCTAGTATCTAGAAGGAAATTTTGTAAAAAAATAAATCCATTTTTTCCGTATTTTACTTTTAAATGGACTTAGATTTTCTGCCAGGAAACAGTATATTCACTCTGTGGTTAAAGTTTTTAAAATTTTAATAACTTTCTTATACTATTTTGGATTTGTACCAAATTTGGACAGAAGCTTGTTTATGATCAAATGCTAGTATCTAGAAGAAAATTTTGTTTTCTTCCAGTTAACATTACATTCAGTCTGCAGTTAAAGTTTTTAAACATTTATTAGATTCATAAACTATCCTGGATTTTTACCAAACTTGGACAGAAGCTTCTTACAATCAAAAGATAGTATCAAGAGGAATATTTTTATTGATTTACTTCCTCATATTTGTTGAGCCTGCGATTAACAGAAAAAGTAGGCGAGACACTGGGTTCCACGGAACCCTTACAAATTTTTTATGGATTGAAGAAAAACTATATTTTTTGTGAATATTTCACTTCATGGTTTTGCCAAAGTCTGCCATAGAAAATTTATACTTTGTTGCACATTTGAATTCAATATATATGTATTCCCAAGAAACACACAAAAATTAGAATCACACGAATAATAATGAATCAACAGTATCAATACATTAATCAAATACACATGTAATGTTTTTGTTTACAGGATTGTACAACTGATGTGAAGTTAGTTCAGATGTTTGACCCTGTCATCTCACCAAGATGTCATGCTATAGTAGCCTTTAAGGAATAACTGTGAAGTTAGTCCAGATGTTTGACCCTGTGACCTCACCAAGATGTCATGCTATTGTAGCCTTTAAGGAATAACTGTGAAGTTAGTTCAGTTGTTTGACCCTGTGACCTCACCAAGATGTCATGCTATTGTAGCCTTTAAGGAATAACTGTGAAGTTAATTCAGTTGTTTGACCCTGTGACCTCACCATGATGTCATTCTATTGTAGCCTTTAAGGAATAACTGTGAAGTTAGTTCAGATGTTTGACCCTGTGACCTCACCAAGATGTCATGCTATAGAAGCCTTTAAGGAATAACTGTGTAGTTAGTTCAGATGTTTGACCCTGTGACCTCACCAAGATGTCATGCTATAGAAGCCTTTAAGAAATAACTGTGAAGTTAGTCCAGATGTTTGACCCTGTGACCTCACCGAGAGGTCATGCTATAGTAGCCTTTAAGGAATAACTGTGAAGTTAGTCCAGATGTTTGACCCTGTGACCTCACCAAAATGTCATTCTATAGTAGCCTTTAAGGAATAACTGTGAAGTTAGTCCAGATGTTTGACCATGTGACCTCACCAAGATGTCATGCTATAGTAGCCTTTAAGAAATAACTGAAGTTAGTCCAGATGTTTGACCCTGTGATCCCTCCAAGATGTCATGCTATAGTAGCCTTTAAGGAATAATTCATGTGAAGTTAGTCCAGATGTTTGACCCTGTGACCTCACCAAGATGACATGCTATAGTAGCCTTTAAGGAATAACTGTGAAGTTAGTCCAGATGTTTGACCCTGTGACCTCACCAAGATGTCATGCTATTGTAGCCTTTAAGGAATAACTGTGAAGTTAGTCCAGATGTTTGACCCTGTGACCTCACCAAGATGTCATGCTATTGTAGCCTTTAAGGAATAACTGTGAAGTTAGTTCAGTTGTTTGACCCTGTGACCTCACCATGATGTCATGCTATTGTAGCCTTTAAGGAATAACTGTGAAGTTAGTTCAGATGTTTGACCCTGTGACCTCACCAAGATGTCATGCTATAGTAGCCTTTAAGGAATAACTGTGTAGTTAGTTCAGTTGTTTGACCCTGTGACCTCACCAAGATGTCATGCTATTGTAGCCTTTAAGGAATAACTGTGAAGTTAGTTCAGATGTTTGACCCTGTGACCTCACCAAGATGTCATGCTATAGTAGCCTTTAAGGAATAACTGTGTAGTTAGTTCAGTTGTTTGACCCTGTGACCTCACCAAGATGTCATGCTATTGTAGCCTTTAAGGAATAAATCAAGTGACCATATGACCTAAAAATGATGCGAAAGTATGAAAGACATGATACAGAATACAAATAAACAAAAATACTAAAAAGATTCATATGAAAAGTATTAAATCTTAACAGTCAGGGATATAACTCTATAGGGTTATTACAGAAAATAACTTGCATGTGTTATTACAGATACTTTTATGAGTTGTCTACTCTTTAATCTTTAAATTTACTAAATCTGTAATAACATATGTTTGTTATTTGTAAAATAAATCATAAATATTTTTATTTTTAGTTGGCTCTAGGGAACTCTTGAAACTTTGCGCAGAAACTAAATGCATAGCCTTGATAACTAACTACTAATTTAGATTAATACATTTTTCATTAACCATGGTAAATCAATGAGACAAGGCTTTTAAGTGATTAACTTAGCTGTAATAACAAGGCTTAGTTATTAAAGGCATGTAACTTATTGAATGAGACACTTTGGAGTTACTGGGAAGCTTGCGCAGAACCTCATTACATGCTCTGATCATTACTTCTTACAATAAATTAAAATACATTGTAATTGAGCATGATCTATGTCTGAGCAAATGCTTTGAAGTGATGTAGAGAAGCTGTAATAACACCCTTTAGTTATTACAGGCATATTTGTTCTGTAATAACATAGGTGTGATATGCATGATAGGCAAACTATGAAGTGTTATATCTTTCTATAGTTAAGTATACATAAAGACAGTAGCAATATCAATTGAACTTGTATACATTTTAACAAGACAAATGATGTATATTGTCCCTTTGAAACATGTAACATACATATGTTATCACAGTTCTTTGATTTTTTTGTCCACAATAACAATCATATGTTATTTTTCTCTAATAACCCTATAGAGTTATATCCTTGACTGCTTAATGTTTGCTACCAGAAGTCTTTCAAATTATATGTTACAAAATAACTATTATGTTCTTATTAAAGTATTGTTAATAAAATTTTCTTATCTAATAGAAATTTGTTTTGGTGAGGCAAAGGTCTGTGTTTATAGTTGCAAAGGTTAACTCATACAGATGCCTTATGCTCTGTAGTTCCAATTTGGCATATGTCAGTTGTCCTTGACCTCATTTTCGTGATTCATATTCTGCTAAAATAAAAAAAAAACTATACCGTAGCTATAATGAATAATTGGACCACTTTATTTGGTGTATAGAATCATTGTTATATTGAGTATAAATAGGACCACTTTATTTGGTGTATAGAAGCATTGTTATAATGAGTAATAGGACCACTTTATTTGGTGTATAGAAGCATTGTAATAATGAGTAATAAGACCACTTTATTTGGTGTATAGAAGCATTGTTATAATGAGTAATAGGACCACTTTATTTGGTGTATAGAAGCATTGTAATAATGAGTAATAAGACCACTTTATTTGGTGTATAGAAGCATTGCTATATTGAGTAATAGGACCACTTTATTTGGTGTATAGAAGCATTGTTATATTGAGTAATAGGACCACTTTATTTAGTGTATAGAATCATTGTTATATTGAGTAATAGGACCACTTTATTTGGTGTATAGAATCATTGTTATATTGAGTAATAGGACCACTTTATTTGGTGTATAGAAGCATTGCTATATTGAGTAAAAGGACCACTTTATTTGTTGTATAGAATCATTGTTATAATGAGTAATAGGACCACTTTATTTGGTGTATAGAAGCATTGTAATAATGAGTAATAAGACCACTTTATTTGGTGTATAGAAGCATTGTTATATTGAGTAATAGGACCACTTTATTTGGTGTATAGAATATTGTTATATTGAGTAATAGGACCACTTTATTTGGTATATAGAGTCAGTTATATCGAGTAATAGGACCACTTTATTTGGTGTATAGAAGCATTGTTATAATGAGTAATAGGACCACTTTATTTGGTGTATAGAAGCATTGTTATAATGAGTAATAAGACCACTTTATTTGGTGTATAGAAGCATTGTTATATTGAGTAATAGGACCACTTTATTTGGTGTATAGAATCATTGTTATAATGAGTAATAGGACCACTTTATTTGGAGTATAGAAGCATAGTTATAATGAGTAATAGGACCACTTTATTTGGTGTATAGAATCATTGTTATATTGAGTAATAGGACCACTTTATTTGGTGTATAGTTTCATTGTTATATTGAGTAATAGGACCACTTCATTTGGTGTATAGAAGCATTGCTATATTGAGTAATAGGACCACTTCATTTGGTGTATAGAAGCATTGCTATATTGAGTAATAGGACCACTTTATTTGGTGTATAGTTTCATTGTTATATTGAGTAATAGGACCACTTCATTTGGTGTATAGAAGCATTGCTATATTGAGTAATAGGACCACTTCATTTGGTGTATAGAAGCATTGCTATATTGAGTAATAGGACCACTTTATTTGGTGTATAGAAGCATTGCTATATTGAGTAATAGGACCACTTTATTTGGTGTATAGTATCATTGTTATATTGAGTAATAGGACCACTTCATTTGGTGTATAGCAGCATTGTTATAATTAGTAATAGGACCACTTTATTTGGTGTATAGAATCATTGTTATATTGAGTAATAGGACCACTTTATTTGGTGTATAGAATCATTGTTATATTGAGTAATAGGACCACTTTATTTGGTGTATAGAAGCATTGTTATAATGAGTAATAGGACCACTTTATTTGGTGTATAAAAGCATTGTAATAATGAGTAATAAGACCACTTTATTTGGTGTATAGAAGCATTGTTATATTGAGTAATAGGACCACTTTATTTGGTGTATAGAATCATTGATATATTGAGTAATAGGACCACTTTATTTGGTGTATAGAATCATTGATATATTGAGTAATAGGACCACTTTATTTGATGTATAGAATCATTGATATATTGAGTAATAGGACCACTTTATTTGGTATATAGAGTCAGATATAATGAGTAATAGGACCACTTTATTTGGTGTATAGAATCATTGATATATTGAGTAATAGGACCACTTTATTTGGTGTATAAAAGCATTGTCATAATGAGTAATAGGACCACTTTATTTGGTGTATAGAAGCATTGTTATAATGAGTAATAAGACCACTTTATTTGGTGTATAGAATCATTGTTATATTGAGTAACAGGACCACTTCATTAGGTATAGAGAAGCATTGTTATAATTAGTAATAGGACCACTTTATTTGGTGTATAGAAGCATTGTTATAATGAGTAATAGGACCACTTTATTTGGTATACAGAGTCAGTTATATTGAGTAATAGGACCACTTTATTTGATGTATAGAATCATTGTTATATTGAGTAATAGGACCACTTTATTTGGTATATAGAAGCATTGCTATATTGAGTAATAGGACCACTTTATTTGGTGTATAGAAGCATTGTTATATTGAGTAATAGGACCACTTTATTTGGTGTATAGAAGCATTGCTATATTGAGTAATAGGACCACTTTATTTGGTGTATAGAAGCATTGTTATATTGAGTAATAGGACCACTTTATTTGGTGTATAGAAGCATTGCTATATTGAGTAAAAGGACCACTTTATTTGGTGTATAGTTTCATTGTTATATTGAGTAATAGGACCACTTCATTTGGTGTATAGAAGCATTGCTATATTGAGTAATAGGACCACTTCATTTGGTGTATAGAAGCATTGCTATATTGAGTAATAGGACCACTTTATTTGGTGTATAGAAGCATTGCTATATTGAGTAATAGGACCACTTTATTTGGTGTATAGTATCATTGTTATATTGAGTAATAGGACCACTTCATTTGGTGTATAGAATCATTGTTATAATTAGTAATAGGACCACTTTATTTGGTGTATAGAAGCATTGCTATATTGAGTAATAGGACCACTTTATTTGGTGTATAGAAGCATTGCTATATTGAGTAATAGGACCACTTTATTTGGTGTATAGAATCATTGATATATTGAGTAATAGGACCACTTTATTTGGTGTTTAGTATCATTGTTATATTGAGTAATAGGACCACTTCATTTGGTGTATAGAAGCATTGTTATAATTAGTAATAGGACCACTTTATTTGGTGTATAAAATCATTGTTATATTGAGTAATAGGACCACTTTATTTGGTGTATAGAATCATTGTTATTTTGAGTAAAAGGACCACTTTATTTGGTGTATAGAATCATTGATATATATTGAGTAATAGGACCACTTTATTTTGTGTATAGAATCATTGATATATTGAGTAATAGGACCACTTTATTTGGTATATAAAGTCATTGCAAGTTATACATTTACATCAAGCATGGTTATATGGCCTTGAACTCATTGCATGGTTCAGTGATCTATGTTGAATTTTCATGATTGGACAGATTTTCATATACATATACTGTAAGCAATAGTTTAATCGCATTTGGTATAAAGAATGATAGTAATTTGAACATTTCCGTCAAGCTGGGTTCATCTGCCCATGACCTCATTTTCATGATTCAAAGATTCAACATAAAGCTTTTTTAATTAGGTCGGTTTTTCAAATACTATATGTAAAAGGTCAACCATAGTCACAGTATAGAAGGATTTTAAAGTGTTAATATCTATGTGGCCAGTTTCATCTGACCTTGACCTCATTTCCATGGTTCATTGATGAAAATAAAGGTTTTGTGATAAGACCCATATTTATGACAAATATATATGTGTTAACAAAGATCATGCTTTTCTCTGATGTCTTTACAATAAATTACAGTTTAAGGGGAACCACTAGTGACAGGTCAATAATAAAATTCGTAAGGGTTCCGCGGAACCCAGTGTCTCGCCTACTTTTGCTGTTAATCGCAGGCTCAACAAAAATGAGGAAAAAAATTAATAAAAATATTCCTCTCTATACTATCTTTTGATTGTAAGTAGCTTCTGTCCAAGTTTGGTAAAAATCCAGGATAATTTATGAATCTAATAAATGTTTTAAAAACTTAAACTGCAGACTGTATGTAATGTTGACTGGAAGAAAAACTAAGTCCATTTATAAGTAAAATACGGAAAAAATGGAACAAAATTTTATCAAAATTTCCTTCTAGATACTAGCTTTTGATCATAAACAAGCTTCTGTCCAAGTGTGGTACAAATCCAGGATAGTTTAAGAAAGTTGTTAAAATTTTAAAAAATTTAACTACAGAGTGAATGTAATGTTAACTGGCAGAAAAACTAAGTCCATTTATAAGTAAAATCCAGAAAAAATGGATTTTTTTTTACAAAATTTACTTCTGGATACTATCTTATGATCATAAACAAGCTTCTTTCCAAGTGTGGTACAAATCCAGGATAGTTTAAGAAAGTTATTAAAATTTCAAAAACTTTAACCACAGAGTGAATGTAATGTTAACTGGCAGAAAAACTAAGTCCATTTATAAGTAAAATACGGAAAAAATGGATTTTTTTTTTACAAAATTTACTTCTGGATACTATCTTATGATCATAAACAAGCTTCTTTCCAAGTGTGGTACAAATCCAGGATAGTTTAAGAAAGTTATTAAAATTTCAAAAACTTTAACCACAGAGTGAATGTAATGTTAACTGGCAGAAAAACTAAGTCCATTTATAAGTAAAATACGGAAAAAATGGATTTTTTTTTTTACAAAATTTACTTTTGAATATAATCTTATGATCATAAACAAGCTTTTGTCCAAGTTTGGTAGAAATCCAGGATAGTTTAAGAAAGTTATTAAAATTTCAAAAACTTTAACCACAGAGTGAATATTTGTGGACGCCGCCGTCGACGCCGACAGAATGTAGGATCGCTATGTCTCGCTTTTTCGACAAAAGTCGAAGGCTCGACAAAAATGTATGCAGATGTATTAGCATTGGCACCTCTCATTTCCATGGAGATTATTTGGCTCTGCCCCCTTGGTCATGATCCATTGACTTTGAATGTTTTGCATAGTTTACAAGTTAAAGTTTGTGTTTAGGTTATTTTAAAAGGAACAACTAATGTTAGGTATACAGGTTTATAAGCATTAGCATTTCTCATCTCCATGGATATTATTTGGGTCTGCAGCTTTAATCATGGTTCACTGACTTTGAATGTTTAAATATTGTAATTTTAATTTCAATGCAACTACTAAAAGGCAAGACATATCTCTGTGTCAAAGGTTTATAATAGTTTGTTCTTATGTTATAACTGTCCTGGGTAAGGGCAAGGGTTGGCAAACACTGTTCAACCCATTCTGTATGTGCCCATCCCAAGTCAGGAGCCTGTAATTCAGTTGTTGTTGTTGCTGTATATCACATTTGTTATTTACATAAATCAGGCTGTAAGTTTTTTCATTTCAATTGTTTTACATTTTTTATGTCTGGGCCTTTCATAGCTTTCTATATGGTACGAGTTTTGCTCATTGTTGAAGGGTGTACAGTATCCTATAGTTGCTAACTCTCATGTCATTCTGTTTCTGGTTTAAATTTGTCTCATTGGAAATGATACATTCTCCTCTTATTATTTTACATCCTGCAATGACTGCTTAACTTTCTGTAGCTTTCACCCATGGTTTTCAGTAGAGTTAGTGTTGCTTCATCTTGGTGATCTGAGTAATTATTATTAAGACAATTGTTTTAGTCTTTTTTGATTTGTTGTCTTTCCTGCAGCAAACTAATGTAGCAGACTGTGAGACACAAAGAAGCTATTTATATATAACTATCTTGGTTCCATTGAGCAAGTTATGTCCCCAATATGAAATAATGTGACAAGAAATTACAAAAACTAAGAATTTTTTCTGTATAATTTAATGATTTTAACAATATTGTTTATATTGAGAAACCTTTACAACAAGTTCATGAAACTTTTTAACCAACAAAATTGAACTATTTTTACTTTTGTAATCCTTCAAGTCTTGTATCTGCAAAACCAATAGATGATTTTACATTCTAAAGATAAAGTTTAAGATTATATATTATAAACAGATTGCTTATCAAATGAAAACTTTCTTCAAATGATATACATATACATTCATGTGAGAAGTGTTGGTGCTATTATCAATAGTTATGATATTATGTGATCTTACTTCAAAGAGCCATGCAAGTCTTCTGATTAAATATGTTCAAAACATTAATGTTATAATTTTTTTGTTACATAAAATACTATGTATTTGACACTTCCCTTCTTGCAGGGATGTTTTGTTTTTACAACAATTAATTTCTGCCTAATAGAGAGTACTGGCCATGGATATGATATGCCAGGGATATGCTATGTCAGGTATTCTCTGGTTGCCTTTAATTTGTAGGCTCTGAGTGTTCCTATGAAGGTTTAAACAGAAAAGACAAAAAAACTCGTAAATTTTTTTTTAACAGCATCATATTCATTCCACTTTGGAAAATCATTCTACAAACATACATTTCTATGTACTGATGGGAAAAGTTTTTTAAATTTTGAAACATAGGTCATATTCTGAATGAATCTTGGGGAAAAGATTTACATAAATTGATGATGAATTAAAAAAAAAACTATAAATTATAAAGTATATAAATTATATTTGTGACAATATACAATATACAAAATAACATAAAACCTGGGAATCAAAATTACACTTAATAATCAACATAAAACCTTGGAGTGGAATATACAAGACTCATTCATCCAAACAAATATAACACCCTAAGGTTGCTGTAATTAACTCAGGATTGTGTTTTAACTCAAAGATTTGTTAATGTGCCTGACTTTTTTAAAAGACATTCTGCTCCTTCTGTTGCATATATTTTTGTGTGGGTTACAAACAACAAATTCATTTTATATCATTAAAAAATTCCAATAAATGTATAAAACTGATTATAATTAAAGTTAACAGTTGGAATGTACAAGTGCTGAATCCCGAGGATATGTGAGTATTCTGTTATCAACATATGACTAACAGTAAGCTGGAATTGAAGTTAAAGCAACTGAAAATGCCCATTTTACCAAATCAAACAGAGTTCATAAAACATTGAAATATCAAGCGTCAGCTATGGCTAAATATGAAATATACGTTTGAAATATCTGAAAAGAATATTCATTTATCTAACTACTTCTACATATTGCACACAGTTGGCATAAATAAATGGAGTTTTCAACGCATACAAAAATTTAGCAGCTAAAACTATTTACCATAAACCTTTTAGTACAAGATTCCATAAGTTATCCTAACTCATGTGGATATTTTACACAAGTTATCCTAACACATGTGGATATTTTACATAAGTTATCCTAACACATGTGGATATTTTACATAAGTTATCCTAACACATGTGGATATTTTACATAAGTTATCCTAACACATGTGGATATTTTATAAGAAGAACTACATCCTGAAAAGATAAATTTGTCTTTATCTGAACCAGCTCCATCTTTTATTTTCTCTTTTCACATCATTGAACTCTTCTACACCCAGTAATCTGGACTAATAGATTGTAGATCTCCATCAACAATGGTTAATAGTTATTTCAAAATGAATGCTCTGTTTAAATACATCATATCTGATGGAAGGCCAATTAAAATCATGCATTTACTACCAGAAATTTAATCTTGGATGAAATTGCTATTCCTTTTGCTTGTTCACCGGGAAATTACCTCCCTTTCTTGGATAGATGTTATAAATGTATCTAATAGGATAGTTCTTAAGAATACTGACCTATTCACAATATTATGAAAAGAGATCTTCCTTGTGTTCAATTTATAATTAAAAAGATGATCCATTATAAATGAAAAGAGATCGAAATTGTGGAGCTTGTTCTGGACAAAGTTAATCTAAATATAGGTAAATAGGTAATTGTCATGTTGACAAAGTTAATCTAAATATAGGTAAATAGGTAATTGTCATGTTGACAAAGTTAATCTATATATAGGTAAATGGGTAATTGTTATGTTGACAAAGTTAATCTATATAGGTAAATAGGTAATTGTCATGTTGACAAAGTTAATCTATACAGGTAAATAGTTAATTGTTATGATTAGAGTATTAACTCAGAATAAATAGATCACAGAGAACACATGAACACAGAAATCTGCCTTATGTTTAGATGTAAAATATAGACAAAATAATCTTGGTTGTAGGTGGACTATTTTTCATGATGAAACTGCTGTTTGTGTAGTCTAATGGAGTTAACTCAATAAACAATTGTGAAATCATGTCACCGACATCATCATGAAAATGTTTCATTGCAATTGTATTTTTAGAGAATTCCAATTCATAGAATTTTTATTCAAATTTCAACTTTCTTCCATTTTTTTTTTTCTTTTAAACCTTGCAGCACTAATCTAAGCCTTGCATTTCTACCTGTTTCTAAGCCGAGCAGGAATAAATTTTATATTTGACAAAATATATGGGCATTACATATTGGTATGATAAATAAAATATTTTAAAATAATGATAGCTTACAAACAGCATGAAAATAATTCACTGACAAATGCACTGATGGACATTTATTTTTGAATTAAAAAGCTGGGACTATTTTTACAAAACAAGTAAAACTCATTGCATCTCATTTCTTGGGTCTCAGGTGAGACTTTCACATTTGCTAATAAAACAGCTGGACTTATATTTAGTAGGTCATGTTCTTTAGATTTTCAACATAAAACTTAACAAAATAATTTAAAAAAAGATTAACTTTTAATATAACCATGAAATTTTACAAAACAACAGAGAACTAAATTCCTACCAATGCCCAAAATATGTGTCTCTCTACATTTTGTACCAACATTTTTTTTTTATTTTGTGGAGTTAATCTTGTTTGACAAATGTCTGATTTACACATGGCTAAAGTTGAAATCAACCACTGTTGATAATAAATGTTGGTTAACACCTTGAAGGACTAAAGTTTTGTATGTTGTATATCTACCAACTTAAAATTTTTTTTTTCTTTTTTATGCTTAAATGGAGATGTGAAATAAAAGTAATACAGATATCTAGGGAACCCCACAATCGATGTATTTGTATAAAAGAAAAATATTTCTATAGAACTGGAGTCCCATTAACCTTTCATTTACAGTCTGAAAACACAGGAAATGAACATGTTTGGCCTCATGTGTTATGTGGTTGTAAAAATATTAATTTTTTGTTTGTTTTTTAATGTCCACTGGAACATCCGTCAAGTTTTACAAATGAAATATGAATGACTCTTTTAATTAAAACGAAGCTGCAGTTTACACTTATCTCTTCAAACTGAAACATAAACCTAAAGTTTCCTCTTGAGACTACTGTTCTTTATTCTCACATTTATTCAAGTAAAATCTAATTCAACAATAGTATGACCCTTGACCCTTCATGTCATTCTATAACCAAACAATAGACTGACCCTTCATATCTTTCTGTTCTACATAAACAAACATTCTGAAAACATAAACCTCATTTGTAACAAATAAAAATATTGCAGCTAACAAAATACAGTGTAAAAACCATTAACAAGGGGAGATCACATTAAAGGGGACATAACTGTTATCTGACAAAAAGCTGTGTGTAATTGTCAATAAGATAAGCTGCAAAGCTATTAAGGTGTCCTATAGTACTAAGGTTAGCTTGTCCTTTTGGCCACAGAAGGTTTGGTCCAAATACTATAGCTAGGTTGACAGTGTTCATCTTATTAGAGTCAGAGTACTGGGAAACCTATAATTATAAAAAGAAAAGGTTACATGTAAGTTAGTATTTTATAGTATTTGTAATGTGTAGCCGTGTTCTTTTTCTGGAATGACGATCTTTCACTTCGACAAAATCTGAACATGTTTGTTTTCCTAAGAATGTGTGTAATTTTCCAGTGATTTTACTTAAATCATATTGTGGTCCGTCACAATATGTCATCAATTACTTTAAATTCAAAAGCAAAAACTTGGCCCTTTAGAACTTCACCTCTGATCTTTCACTTTGACGAAATCTGAACACGTTTGTTTTCCTAAGAATGTGTGTAATTGTCCAGTGATTTTACTTAAATCATATTGTGGTCCGTCACAATATGTCATCAATTACCGGTACTTTAAATTTAAAAGCAAAAACCAGGCCCTTTAGAACTTCACCTCTGATCTTTCACTTTGACGAAATCTGAACACGTTTGTTTTCCTCAAGAATGTGTGTAATTGTCCAGTGATTTTACTTAAATCATATTGTGGTCCGTCACAATATGTCATCAATTACTTTAAATTTAAAAGCAAAAACCTCGCCCTTTAGAACTTCACCTCTGATCTTTCACTTTGACGAAATCTGAACACGTTTGTTTTCCTAAGAATGTGTGTAATTGTCCAGTGATTTTACTTAAATCATATTGTGGTCCGTCACAATATGTCATCAATTACTTTAAATTTAAAAGCAAAAACCTGGCCTCTTAGAACTTCACCTCTGATCTTTCACTTTGACGAAATCTGAACACGTTTGTTTTCCTAAGAATGTGTGTAATTGTCCAGTGAATTTACTTAAATCATATTGTGGTCCGTCACAATATGTCATCAATTACTTTAAATGTAAAAGCAAAAACCTGGCCCTTTAGAACTTCACCTCTGTAAAAGTAAGCTGTCAGATTTGGGGAATTTAGCTGATTGGGGGTCTATGACTTACATATCTGTGTGTTCACAATCATAAGCACAACAGGTTTGCTAACCCAATGAAACTGTTGCAGAGTTTTGACCAAGCGTATTAAACTTTCTATATGCCTTAAATATTCTTTGAATGATGATTAAGCTATCAAATTTACATTTTTCAGGACCAAATTCTGTTTGCAAAATTAAGCTTTCATTTTTTCTACCATAATGCATAATTTTAATCGATATCCCCATAAAGTGACCCATTTCACGACATCTTAATAAACATTTTTTTATCATGTATAAAACTGTCAAAAGTCTGGGATTTCATAAAAAAAAGTCTTATATTATATAAGTCAATTCAGAGTGAGAGATGAGGCTACCAACTTTCTGAAACAAATCATCTTATAGTCCAAAAGTTACAGTTCCCTCTATGTATCTCCAGAAGTTACTATGTCAATGTATATTTGTTCCACATAACAGAAGTTTCTGTGGTAACTTTGTAACAATATCTGCTCCTGTAACAAATAGTCTATACCCTTTATTCCTTTAGGGAGCTACCATTTGATTTTTATGGGGGGGCTAGGATGAAATTTGAAAAAAATAGGCAGGACAGGAGTTTTAAGTAAAAAAAAAGGCAGGATGAGATTATTTGCAAAAAAAAGGCTGGATGGCAATTTATGTAAAAAAAAAAGTCAGGATAAACTAAAAAAAAAAGGCAGGACCGAAAAGAGTGAAAAATAAAAAGGCAGGACCGAATAGAGGGAAAAATAAAAATGCAGGACAAAATTTTTCATCCTAGCCCCCCATAAAAATCAAATGGTAGTTCCCTTAGGAACAATACTGTAATACTTTTTTTCCTGTGGAAATAATATTGAAGAATATTTCTTCCATTTTGAACTTCTAAACCCTGGTAACCAGACAATATTCTTGCCTTTGGCGTCTAGGTAATAAATTTGCTTTACAATGATTGAAGGTACCTGTGAAAGATATACTGCAGTTCAAATTCATGTCTTGTAATTGGACCAATCAGTATAAGTTCTTCATGATAGCAACCCAAGGCAATTACCTCAGTAAGATAAACATCAGTTCAATGTCATAAGACTGTCAACTAGACCAATCAGGATAAGTCTTTCATGACATCAACCCTAGACAATTACCTCAGTAAGATTAACATTAGTTCAATTTCATATGACTGTCATTGGACCAATCAGAATAAGTCTTTCATGACATCAACCCTAGACATTTACCTCAGTAAGATAAGCATCATTTCAATGTTATATGACTGTCATTGGACCAATCAGAATATGTCTTTCATGACATCAACCCTAGACAATTACCTCAGTAAGATTAACATTAGTTCAATGTTATATGACTGCCATTGGACCAATCAGAATATCTCTTTCATGACATCAACCCTAGACAATTACCTCAGTAAGATTAACATTAATTCAATGTCATATGACTGCCATTGGAGCAATCATTACAATAAAAGAAATAATTACCTGTGTCAGGAAGTGTATAATATACTTCAGTATAATGTAGTTTTCCTTTGGTAGTTCTTCTCTAAATAATCTCTGTACCTCAATCAGCTGTCTGTCTTCTTCTAATGCTACAAATTAAATCAAATAAGTTCAAATATCCTATGCCAGCATTGTTAACATGGAATATTTCTGCAAGCCTTTCCCCCTAACCTTTTAACTCTTGGAATATCAAGACCAAATTTTATTTATTCACTTATCTACTTGTGTGCAGTTAAAAGTGCCAGAAAGGCAGATATGAGTAATAACTCCTTTATAGATTTTGTTCTTGTTTGACCTTTAGAGATCTTGCCTTGCTGGTCATTTTTACTGTTTACAACATGAATTTATATTTATTGTGTGACCTGACAACTTGGTATATGCCACAGATCAAGGATATATTTTAAAATATTTACTAAGTAACCAGGCCATTTGATTTAGGCCACAGGTCAAGGATATGTGATTATTCTCATTGTGTCACCAGACAACTTGGTATGGGCCACAGGTCAAGGATATTTATTTATACTTTCTGTGTTACTTGTCAACTTGTAAAGGCCACAGGTCATGGATATGTACTTGCTGTTAAATGTCAAACATCAACAATATGTATGTATACTTTCTGTACAACCTCGCACCTGGTTGTTAAGGTCAAAGGTCAATAATGTGTATGTATATTTACTGTGTAACCCTACAACTGGTTGTTAAGGTCAAAGATCAACAATGTTTATGTATATACTTACTGTGTAACCTGACAACCGGTTGGTATAGGTCAAAGGTCAATATTGGTTCTTGTAAATCTCTGAGGAATGTTTTCATTGTTACTGCAGGAATGTGAACATCATTTATTTCATCAAAGTCAACAGTTTCACCTGTAAAACATAGTTAATTTAAAAGACTTTCATTTATTTAAATCATGTGTCCCTTTCAATTTAAAATCTTTCTTCTGTACAGGGGTAAGTTGCTCAGTTTTGTGACAATCTGAATGTCAACATGAAGTGTAATAATGTTCTAGGTTCTGGTTTTATTTATTTTAACAAATATTTTGCCAAGTCCTTTCTACAGATTATTGGACCATTTCCTTTCAAATGTTATATGTCAGCTGTAGATAAACTAATTGAATTTGAAAACTCCAAACGACTCCAGCTACAATGAAAAAATTCTTTATATGAAAGTTGGCAAACCAAAATTTGGTGTCCTGTTCAGTCATAGCTCAGTTGGTCAAAAATGAAACTTGTCGGACAAGTACGGACAATATGAGCCTTGAACTTAACATTCTTACCTTGATTAAATCTTTTTTGTACATCTTTTAAAACTGATGCATTGGCCGATCTTCTGAATATTCCTTCCACATCTAAAGCTGAAATACAAAGAGAAAATACTGAATAATCCTTCCACATCTAAAGCTGAAATACAAAGAGAAAATACTGAATATTCCTTCCACATCTATAGCTAAAATACAAACAGAAAAAACTGAATATTCCTTCCACATCTAAAGCTGAAAAACAAACAGAAAACACAAGTTTATCAAAGAATTTATACATGTTGTGTTCCAGATGTAAATTTCTATACTTTATAACTTGTACAGAATTTTTGTGCAGGTTATCAGTATTTTGGGAAACATAATTGGATAATGTGCTGGTGTTTTACTACAATGTATAGTTTTTTTTAATACAGATTAAGTTATTACTTACTAAATGTATCATTTCTTACTACATTATATGTTTTTTTTTTACTACAATGTACAGGTGTTTTACTACAATGCAGTCTTTTTACTACAGTGAATAGGTCTTTTTACTACAATGAATAGGTCTTTTTACTACAATGAATAGGTCTTTTAACAACAACATGCAGGTGTTTTACTAAAATGTATAGTTTTTTCACTACAACATTTAGTGTTTTTTTTTACATTAATGTATAGTTTTTTTACTACAATACATACATGTATATACTCTTTTTTACTATCTTTTTAGCAAAAACTTGATCTGATTTGATTGAAAATTTTGAGATATCCAAGCAAGAAGAGAAGAAAGGTTAAATATTTTTCAGTAACATAAACAATCTAAGGAAAATATAGTATGATCATAGCTACTGAAGATTTAACAGCATATTCTATTCAGAAATTTATTAACAAAATAACAATTTGGTAGCAATGAACTGGTAACATTTGACTTTCCACAAAGCTGTGAACAAATTTGACTTTTCACACAAAGCTTTGATCTTATTTGATTTAGCATATAGCTCTTATCTAATTTCAATTTTAGTTTTTAATTTCTATCCAGCAAACTTAATTTTTAAAGCTGTTCTTTAAAATGTTCAAACAGTAACTCTATTGCAATTTTATTTTGTTAACAATTGGAACATCAACAATCCTTTGTACACCTACACCAATATGCTTCTAGTAAGATCATATTTAATCATTTTTAGAATAGTATAAGTTTTATATATCAGTGCACAGAATTTTTCAATAAATATTCAACAAAACAAATAATTTTTTTCATGTCATCCTACCATTTTTCCTGAGGAATTCCACACAAATTTCTACAACAGGAGGGATCACACACTTATAATTCTGTAATATTCTGAAAAACAAAAAATAGTCCAGTATAATCAAGTCCAATATTATAAGTTATATGGTTTGCTTCGGATCCATAGAGGGTTAATAAAATCCATAGGGGGTGAGGCTGAAGGCCGAATCTCCTATGGATTTTACTAACCCTCTATGGATCCGTAGGGGGTCAGTAGTGAACCATATAACGAATATATCGCACACGGGACTTTTTCTGCTAAGTTATGTATAAAAATAAGCAATTTATCTGAGGTGCGATAAGATAAATGTAAGAACCTCATCAGATTCTGTTTAGTATACATGGTATAGGAATAAAGTGTTGATGCCTGATATCAGGTCTTTGTTGAATTCATACACAACATGTATAGACCTGGATTGGTTATAACACATATATACAATATGGGTATATAATTGGATAAAATTTGTTAATACCCAGACATAAATGTACAGCATGAATGCTGATTCAAGATGGTAGACCCTAATGTTTTTACTTAGGATATTTTGTTGGTTCCATTGTGTAATTGGATTACTGTCGTATTGATATTTACTTTATATATAAATTTATTCATAAACATGTAAAAATGTAACACTGTCATCATTAAACTATCAATTCCATATTATTTATCAAGAGTTTGCAGATAAACACTGATTGAGGACAAGTATTTCTCCAAACACATGATGTATGGTTAATATGCCATATACCAACTAACAGTAGACTCTTCTACATAAAATACACAGGGTTTCTTATTAGCCGTTTCAGAACTTTGACCTTTTAGTAACCAAGAGCATTCTTTGATGTAGTATTGATTATTATTGTGCTACTTGTACCAATGTTTTTTTGTTACTGTTTTTTAACGCAGAATAATAGTATTAAATTGCAATAAATTTTTCTATGTCACATCGCAGTAATAAAACATTACTATTCTTATTCAGAACTTTCATCAGGAAAAAAACATCAGATTTCAATATCAATTCCACCCTACACTTACTCATGTATATCTTCCATAGTACAAACTTACTGTTGTAGTTTAACACCAAACTGTTGTTTAGGATTATGAACTGCAGCCTCACTTTCATCTGAGGAATAAGGATATGATGGTTTCTGTGCTGACAATATCTTAGCATCATGTCTGAAAGGAGTCAATTATTAAGCAGATAAGAAAATATAATCGATTATAATGGAACAAGATATACAGAATGGTACATTACAATTGAGAGATTGTAGACTGCGGGATAACACTTACCTTGCCTTACCATAATAATCTGGTAAAAAATTTTGTTTGTGGAGAAAACTATCATCTATGTTCATTTCATAAATATGTCATATTGATATTAATTATCTTATTGTACCTGGCCTTTATACATTATTTCAATTACAATATATTTTGATAAGCACACGTCTAACTTTAAAGTACTTATTTACTGGCCTTTATACATTATTTCAATTACAATATACTTTGATAAGCACACGTCTAACTTTAAAGTACTTACTCTAAAACTAAAGATGGAACGACTAGCTGATCAAAATGAAGTTGATAATAACATGTCTAACGTTAAAGTACTACTCTAAAACTAAAGATGGAACAACTAGCTGATCAAAATGAAGTTGATAACAACATGTCTAACTTTAAAGTACTTACTCTAAAACTAAAGATGGAACGACTAGCTGATCAAAATGAAGTTGATAACAACATGTCTAACGTTAAAGTACTTACTCTAAAACTAAAGATGGAACGACAAGCTGATCAAAATGAAGTTGATAACAACATGTCTAACGTTAAAGTACTTACTCTAAAACTAAAGATGGAACAACTAGCTGATCAAAATGAAGATGTTCTTTTAACTTGTGTAAATAATCAACATACATAATCTTCCTTCCAAACTTTGCACTAAAAAATTAAATGTATTTCAATAAGATATTAATGCTGTAGGCTACAAATTGTTTGCAAAAGCCAAGTGTCAAATGTGTTGTAAGCGATCATGTATTTAAACAAAAACAAATGTATCAGTGAAATATTATTGAAATACCATGGTGAAAAGTTATCTTAAAACAAAAAATCTATGGTCAAAATAAAACCCTTTCTTACTATTTGTGGATCTTGTGTGCTCATTTTAATATTTTACATCTGGTATTTCACAATAATCATGAGAGGTCAGTTTACCAATAATTCTAAATTTCTAAAACTTCTATGAGAAAATTGCTTGATTTTTGTGCTTTAAATCTATAATTCCTTTGAGAAAATTGTTTTGATTTTTGTGCTTAAATCTATACTTCCTATGAGAAAATGTTTAATTTTTCGTGTAGATTAAATTAAAAGAAGGGGAGATAATTTGTACAAAAATAATAAAAGTTCAATACAGGATGCACTGTATAAATAAACCCTTTAAGTATGTCCCATTCCTGTCATACTTGTTACCTCTCTATTCCTGTACATACTGTCAGTTAAACAGTACAGTCACTATTAGTCATCAATGTGTCAGTGTTTAATATATAATATATATAAATCACATTATGTGATGATACCATACAGATATAAAATGCTAAATAATACAAACAAGATAATAACATGCAATTAACTCAATAAAACCTTGGAATATAAATAAAATGTTAACTCATTTCAAATTTCAATGAATTGACTATTTATGTACTGTTATCTAACAGATACAGTGGACTTATAAATGATACTATTCAAATCCAATCCTTTATAGGAAAGTTTTCTAGCTAACTTTATCAAGGTTAAAATTATTTCTCATATAACCTGGCACCATGACAGATCAAAACTTAAAGTCAAGAAAAACCCTGAGAATTAAACAACTATAATGAAATAAATCTGATTTGTTCTCACTTATAACAAACATGGGAAAGACAACCAGGAAGTTAATTCTCCAAATTTTTTTTAGATGATTTATTTAAATTATAGAACTAGTTGAACTGCATCTTAACTGGAAAAAAAATAGATACAGAGATTTTATCCTTTCAGAAATAGTCATAGTGAAATAGTTCTATAAATTTATAGAATATAAACATATGCATTTTTTAACTTTAAATAGTGATTTTCATAAACTTGTCCACAACATTTCTTTTAAAAATGATATGTTATTGCTATCAACATTTCATTTTTGATGACATGAATATTAGGGTGTTAAATTTGTTTTTTTCAAGAGAAATCAATTAGTTTCTATATATAGCTTAAAAAAAGTTCAAAACAACAAAATAGAAGTAACAACATGGTGGTGTCATGCTGCAGAATTGTATTTATTCATACATCACTCATTTTCACAGAATTTGAACAGCAGAACCTCTTAATATTTCATATACTGTAAATTCAGAAATTATTGCGATGTTTTTTATATTGCGAAAAATGCGACAGAATTATAATCCCAATAATTTAAACTCGCAGTATGAAATTTTCTATATGAATTAAACAGGATTTTTCTCAATATCGCAAAAATTAAAATTGCATTTTAGTCTAAAATGACAAAATCGCAATAATAAATGCGCGCAATAATTTCTGAATTTACAGTAGTTAAAATGGAAATGTTAAAAGTAGTAAAATATTCATTGTAAACAAAAATCTACAAATCACAAATAAAATGTAAAATAAAAAAGCATATTTTACTTACATTCCATATATTTATTTACCTTTTTTGCTAATTTTTTATTTGACTATATCCCTAGAAGTTTAAATGCCACATATATCATTTTCTTCCATATTCAGATGCAGCTCAACAAGTTTTGATTGCATATAAAATTTCTTCAAAATCAAAAATACTGCCAAATTACGTAAACGTTGACTCAAACAACATCCCAGGAAGTATTTTCATGGATTTTTTTACTAATTAGAGTCTATTCAAGCTAATATTTATAAAAACAAGTATAATTCAATATATTTCATTTCAATTCCAAATAAGAACATTTTCTTTCTACATTTATATTTCTCCTAACACTGCAAAAATATCAAACCGTTTTTATACTCTAATTCAAAAAATTTGTGCTGAAAATTCAAATTGGTAGAGCAAATCACCATCATAGGCTTGAAACAAATAACAGAACAACCACACCATAATAATACCACGGTGGTTTAATAAAACTAAATAGGATACTGTGTGATTTAACGTACCTGCTGTTGGTAGGTAAAAATAAAATAAAAACTAATTAATATTTCTGTCATCTAATATTATAACCAATAAATAAAGCAAAGAAAAAAGTTATTATAAAACTGACCAATAAAAAATGTTTTTTAAATCTCCTTACTGTAAAAAAAGAAATCTATTATGACCACTACAATTATAGAAAAGAAATGTTCACTACTGGAAAGCTAACATCATTACCAGTAACTGCAATTAGTAACAAAGCAATCAGGAAAATAAACTCAATTCTTTAAAGATAAACTTTTAATATGTGTCACAAAATGTACAAACAATCTGTGTAATTACTTATAGGGAAACATCTCATAGTCCTTAGCTGTATAAGAATAGCATTAATTGATTTTCATATAATATATTAAGACATCTCATTTTTTTTGGTAACTGTATTTAATGTAAGTTCAAATGATAAAAAAAAATTAATAATTCCGAACAAAATATACAGGACAATTTGATGATATAGGTTTCACTGTTATTTTTAAATCAAAAGTTGTAATTTAATGGGATAATAGATCTATAAAATTGTCCACAAAAATGATATTGGGAAATGTAATTGATCACTAGGTATTGGTGATTTATAAGGAAGGTAAAAATACCTAAAACCCATTATATATAAAACTATCTTACCTTCTAAGATAGAAATGAAAAATTAAAATTCACACATAATTTATTGTCAAAAAGGCATTTCTGTAGCCATAGTTACCATAAATAATGGGCAAGTACTAATTTATTTTCAAGTAGGCATTTCTGTAGCCATAGTAACCATAAGTAATGGGCAAGTTCTAATTTATTGTCAAGTAGGTATTTCTGTAGCCATAGCTACCATAAATAATGGGCAAGTTCTAATTTATTGTCAAGTAGGAATTTATGTAGTCATAGCTACCATAAGTAATGGGCAAGTTGTAATTCATTGCCAAGTAGGCATTTCTATGGCCATAGTTACCATAAGTTATGGACAAGTTCTAATTTATTGTCAAGTAGGCATTTCTGTAGCCATAGTAACCATAAGTAATGGACAAGTTATAATTTATTGTCAAGTAGGCAATTCTGTAGCCATAGTAACCATTGGTAATGGTCAGGTTATAATTTATTGTCAAGTAGGCATTTCTGTAGCCATAGCAACCGTAAGTAATGGACAAGTTGTAATTCATTGTCAAGTAGGCATTTCTGTAACCACTGTTATGACATGTAATGAACAAGTTCATACTGAACATTTCCTAAGCCATATTTACCACAACATGGTAAAATAAATGGTAAATGTGAATGGTGTGTAAGCTATTTACAACACATATTAGCGAAGGCTATATTTGCTACAGAATTCAGCAGAACATCATATTGTCACTTTGTGTGAAAAAAAGTTTCTTCAAGTAAAGATCAAGGGCATAAAATGAACATAAAGAGAACGTTCTATGATTTTGAATACTATTTCTTTGAAAATTTCTTTAAAAAATAACCTAAAAACTGTGATAAATAATGCTAGGACATATATTCCCTCAGAAATAACTCTGGGATATCTCACTGCTATTGTGGTAAAAAAATTGCTTTCAATGAAAATATCAACAAAGCTGCTGTGTAGCAAGTCAGAGTCCATTCCAGCAGATACTGTCTATAAGCTTCTGAAGAGAATACTCAGGAAATACAGCCAATAATGTCTACAGTTTTTTATGCTGAAGCCGTCATAAATTTTTATTTCATTGGATTTTCATGCCTCATCTTTTTTCAACAAAAAATATTTAAAACAAATGTTTTTTCTCTTAAGTTCCATAAGAGTTGATCAAAGTAAACAAATATATAATTAACAAAATAAACTAATAACCAATTTCTTACCCATTTTCCTGTCTATCAGAAATAGAAACTGCATGAAAATCTAATATTCAATTTATCATGGCCTAGATACACACATTTATTAGAGTGATACAATTAAATGCTATGGCAACACAAACTCACCTGCTGTTTTAAAAAAAATATGAAAAAAAGTAATTATTTCAGACATGCCAAATAAATCTGACAGTACAAAATCTTGCAATAACTTCTAAATGCATAATAAAAATAGAACAAATACAAGGGTCTAGACACAAACAACATATTATTTATAAGTTCATTCACTTTATAAATAAAAAAAAAGTCTCATCTTTCTATAAAGTCACACATTCCCACATGTACATAAAAAAATACATGCTTCCAAAAGCAAGCAACGTAATCTTTATAGAAAGAAAATTTACAATTCTATTAAACAAAATCTTATAAGAAGGTATATTCCTACATGTATCAAGGGGAATAACTCACCTTATAAATGGTTTAAATATATTGAGTAATAACTTTATAAAGTTTGTAGGATGGACTAGATATAAGGCTTTTAGATTCTTCTTGTACCTGTAAAAAAGAGAGAATAAGGTCATAAATAAATAATCCTCAATTCTCATCCCCCTGACCAAAATGTAAATATATTAGATGAACTGGACATTTTTAAATCGTTTTGCATGTTGTTATATTTTGCAATCAAATTATTTGGCAAAATATTAAAAAGTTGATCTGTGTTGTATTTAATTTATCTACATATCATTGCTTTTATACACAAAATTTGACAGAATATCTATGTTCACACATACACAATAGATATAAGAAGATGTGGTATGAGTGCCAATGAGACAACTCTCCATCCAAGTCAAAATTTATAAAAGTAAACCATTATAGGTCACAGTACGGTCTTCAACACGGAGCCTTGGCTCACACCGAACAGTAAGTTATACTATAAGCTTGGTACAAGAATACATTTTGTTCCAAGATGTCAAACTCAATGATGAATCAAAGAGTTACAATCAATGTGCACTGGAGGGTAAATTATTGCTTTCATTTTGCAAGGTAAACTTAAAAGCAATGGAATGTATTATGTAAATATTTAAATTTAAGATATCTTCCTTTGTTCATAATTGTACATTTTTAATTGAACCATTTTGAGAACATATAGATTAATACACCATGCACAAATCATGCCATTTTTAAAATTAGTTTTCTTGAAAAACGCAGATAAAAACATACACAGAAACTGTATTTCCTTTCTATCAAGTTCTTTGTACATTTGTAACATCTATGATGAGACCAGGTCTACACTGAACAGGAACTGTACTTACTTCCTATCAAGTTCTCTGTACATTTGTAACATCTACAATGAGACCAGATCTACATTGAACAGGAACTGTACTTACTTTCTATCAAGTTCTCTGTACATTTGTAACATCTACAATGAGACCAGATCTACACTGAACAGGAATTGTACTTACTTTCTATCAAGTTCTCTGTACATTTGTAACATCTACAATGAGACCAGATCTACACTGAACAGGAACTGTACTTACTTTCTATCAAGTTCTCTGTACATTTGTAACATCTACAATGAGACCAGATCTACACTGAACAGGAACTGTACTTACTTTCTATCAAGTTCTCTGTACATTTGTTACATCTACAATGAGACCAGATCTTAATTGAACATGAACTGTACTTACTTTCTATCAAGTTCTCTGTACATTTTTTACATCTACAATGAGACCAGATCTTAATTGAACATGAACTGTACTTACTTTCTATCAAGTTCTCTGTACATTTGTTACATCTACAATGAGACCAGATCTACACTGAACATGAACTGTACTTACTTTCTATCAAGTTCTCTGTACATTTGTAACATCTACAATGAGACCAGGTCTGCACTGAACATGAACTGTACTTACTTTCTATCAAGTTCTCTGTACATTTGTAACATCTACAATGAGACCAGGTCTGCACTGAACATGAACTGTACTTACTTTCTATCAAGTTCTCTGTACATTTGTAACATCTACAATGAGACCAGGTCTACACTGAACATGAACTGTACTTACTTTCTATCAAGTTCTCTGTACATTTGTAACATCCAACCTAATTTAGGTTTGTTTTTACTTGTCAGTCCATAGTGGAAGTAAACTATTACATAATCATTCTCCACATACTGATCCAAGGTGTATTTAAGGTATCTGAAATATAAAACACAGGTGAAACATATGATCAGGTATATGAAATATAGAAATCATGGACCCTTAACTAAACCCGTTCTATCTTTTTCTTTGGACATTTCTATACATGTGCTTAGTCAGGACATGTGGTTATGATTGTTTCCTTAAACACGGAAACATATTATTGTGACTGTACTTTGTCAGGAGATGTTGTTATAATTATTTTCATTAACTGTTGACCCCCTTTTCCTCATCTGTACCATACATCAGTTATAATGTCTTAATCCAGAAGGTAACATTAACTGTTGACCCCCTTTTCCTCATCTGTACTATACATCAGTTATAATGTCTTAATCCAGAAGGTAACATTAACTGTTGACCCCCTTTTCCTCATCTGTACCATACATCAGTTATAATGTCTTAATCCAGAAGGTAACATTAACTGTTAACCCCCTTTTCTTCATCTGAACCATACATCAGCTATAGTGTATCACCTCAGAAGGTAACATTAACTGTTAACACCCTTCCTCATATTGACCATACATCAGTTATAATATCCTACTTACTCCATAAGTCTTTCATGATTTATCTGAGAACTTGGAGGAAGTCTGCAGGCTGAAGCTACTATAACTTTCCTTCCATAAGTATCATCACCTGTTCACAACAACAACAAATCATTGTAATGTACAACAAAATATAGTAATAGGAAATAATTATTTAAATATTTTATGAAAAAACCTTGTACATTTGTATTACACAATATGAAAGACTTATTGTAGCTGTCATTTAACTACCACTACTGTTGGATTTAGAAGTCATTGTATTTAATTAATAAACCTGAAACATTAACCTGACATGACAATACACAACAATCTTTGTGTTCACCTAATGGCATGTGACACTCATTCACCCAAGAAAGAAACTGCTGCAATTAATGTAATAGGAAATAAGTTCTATGTATTTTGTCTTTTGATGTTGTATCAGAACTGTTAAGGTAAACTCAAAACATACAGAAAACTGGTATCATTCTATGATTTATTGAACAACTTAAGGATATCCTGTACTGAGCCACATATCTGACTAGTAAGACCTCTCTCTCCCATCCCCTATCCAAATAAGTTAGCAGCAACTTCCCGTATCCTGTACAGAGCCACATTTGTGACTAGTAGGACCTCTCTCTCCCACCCTATACAAATAAGTTAGCAGCAACTTCCCGTCAGTGTTCTCCCCAGAAATTTTGGATAGCATCACATTTGGCGTAAAAAAATAAACTGTATTTTTTTTTCAATGTCATTTGACGCGTCGCGGCGATGCTCTATTTCCTTTATGTTATATATGTTTATATTGTTCAATTCATAACTGAGAATACAATTAAACTATAACCATGATAACAGTTGTTTCAGTTTATGTTTTCTATATTCATTTATAGTTACAGAATTATTTTTTTCCTCTTGGACCAAATAAAAATATATGTGTGGTTCCAGTTACCCTACCTACTCAACTAAATGAATGAATGGTTTATTATAGTACAACCTGTATATATACAATACTAAATATCTAGCAAAAAAAAAAGAACTGGTTTTTATATAAAAAGGAAAGAGAAAATATCATATAGCAATAAAATTTCAATTAAAAAACTTTTTTCTTTATCATGTCTATGAAATTCATTGTTTCATGGTACTCAATGAATTAGTCCCAGTTGTTTCTTTATATCAAAATGATATATATTTTTAACAAAGTTAAGCTACTTTAGCATGTTTAGTCAGTATATTAAAACAATGTATTTTCAAAAAGAATACATTTAGCAAAGATATCTAATAAATAGTCTGTTAATGCATGTGGAATGCGTAGTTTTCTCTTTTGTGATCATTTTTTCTGTCTACTGTGCCATTTGTGCATCTGTAGTTATTATCGTAAAAATGCGGCATTTTGTCATATCTGGTCTGGTTCCGATCCGTAGTTTACACAAATATTTCAATGGCGGCGGAAGAAAAATTTACGAAAATAAACAATGTTTGACAAGAGATTGGGAATGAATATGATGCTTTTAATGCATTAAATGGATGAAACATTAACCAAAGCCAATTATGATCTCTTTCTAAAGAAGTATCAAACCTATTTAACTCAAAATCAAAGTGTTTAATATACGCGCTCGATTAACTAGTAGTACCGGAAATGAAAGAAAGTAATTTTTTTAAAGTTGTAAAAATATACGACCTAACCTCTTTTCTTAAGAGAGAAATCGTTTGTATCTTTGAATTTGGATCTTGAAAACGTAGATTTCGAATTGTTTTTCGATTTTCTGATTACATTTTCTCACTTCGAAATTTGAGATTGGACCACGTGGTATTAGTCATGTCACAAGTGTCAGCTTGGGGTATTCGTATCCATTCAGTTATCACCCAAAGGGCAATTAACACCTATTTAATCACTCTAAATTGCCTCTATTGTCCGACTTGATGGGATTACAATTAAAGGTGATATAATTTTTATGATCACAAGCGGTAATTAGATGAAAGTTCAAAATTTAGGACATGGTTTTGCGATATAGAGACAAGAAAAATAGCATCCTCAAAATAATTAATAGCGTCGCGGAAATTATTATAGCATCACAGGAAAAAAATATAGCGTCTCGGTGCCGCGACGCTAAAACGGCCTGGGGAGAACACTGCTTCCCGTATCCTGTACTGAGCCACATTTCTGACTAGTAAGACCTCTCTCTCCCACCCCTATACAAATAAGTAAGCAGCAAACTTCCCGTATCCTATATATCGAGCTACATCTCTGACTAGTAAGTTCCCCTTCCTCCCTCCCCCTTAACAGATAAGTTACCAGCAACTTCCAGTATCCTGTACTGCGCCACATCTCTGAATTCTGATTCATCATTGTCTTCTGCATCCTACAATTATATACATAAATGAAAAACTGTTGACCCAGATATATGTCTCGCCTTTATGTATACGTAGTTTTGAAAATATAATGTAAATGTTGATATACAAATTTTTAACATTAAAACTAAGCAAAACATTCAAAGATGAACAATGATAAGGAGCAGTGCCATATAATATCCATGGAAATGAGATGTTCAAATTAAAATACAACTACATACAAAATATCATTGACTTACCATTTGTGGTTCATCTTAATCTGGCCCAATTACAAACTTTATCATGTAAACTATGCAAAAGTTTCAAATCAATAGACCATGACTGAAGGGGCCAGGCCAAATAATCTCCATGAAAATAAGATGTACCAATGCTAATACAACTGCATACCTAAAATCATTTGACCTACCACTTGTGGTTCCCCTTAAACTGACCCAATCACAAACTAATACACTGTTTATGACAACGCCAGAAACAGCATACCTAAGTCTCACTTTTTCAACTTTGTCAAGGCAAGACATGTTGATATTAAATGAGATGAAAACATTATGTTTCATATTTTTCATGTCAGGGCCTTAGGGTATGGGTTTTTCTCATTGTTGAAGGCCTTATGGTTGCCTATTATTGTTTACATCCACTTCATTTGAACTTTGGTGGATAAATGTCTCATTGGCAATCATACCACATCTCCTTTTTTTTTTTATATATCTTGTATTTATTGGATAAATTTGATGGATGAATCATTGAGATAAATAAATTTTTGTCTCAAGATTCTGTTCACATTTTTTTTATATAGTTGAGTATCATAGGATTATTTCAAATATTACAGTCATGCCATTTTAGTAAATTGTATATGTTTTGATCAATATACTTATTTAGAATATTTATTTTTTAATTCATCAAAAATAAAAAGAAAGAAAACCCATTAACACAAATAAAATCCCACTTTTTAAAAAAAAAAATTTACATAAAAGTAACAAAATGCTCTAATAAACTTTACATATCAATATAAGAGATGACTTAAAAGAGAATTACAGAGGGTGTTCCTAGTTCCTTTTCAAAATCATCTTCTATCAGACCCTCCGGTGTAATGGCTCCACTTCTAAAGGCTATCTCTCCTGCTTGTTCTCTGGCCAAATCTGCAAAACAGACGGAATATTTCTTTGATAAATACTCATCAATTCACTGATTTTTTTTAAGTTAGTGACAGGCAGACAAATCTGTGTCATTTTCTGGGAATTATCCATGAAAAAATGAAGAAAATGAGATATGGAATTATTTGTCTCTAACTTTGAAAATCAAACAGTGCCTCAAAACCTAATTCTATTTTTTTTTAAATTCGATGTTAAGAAGGATTTAAATTCACATTTCAATGAAACATTCAACATAAAAAAAAAACAAAAAGTGCCAGTATGTTCTACCCAAATACAATCGTACTATCCATGCTATCTGTGACTAAAAAATAAATTGACAAAAAATCTACAAAACTTTGCATATTAGTGGAAAATATTAATAAGTACTAGTAATATTTAATTTAGTGTAACAATCATATACAGGTTACCTTAGATACAGAAATAATACAAGAAAGTAATGACAGACATGCAATTCATATATATATACACTTTATAGATACATACTTTGCAGATTAAGAAATATATAATATAATAAGACATTTTTAGCACTAAAGGAGCTTTGTTCATAGCATTCATTTTTCAAATATTGTTCTAGAATTTGTGATTTGTAACATTTACAGATGTTAATTGAAAGGATTTAACAGAAACAACAATGATGGGTGTCACTTGTGGAGCTGGAACGATTGACCCTTCCAGAGCATGTTTTTGGTAGTGTTTATGTTGCCAAATTTTAGTTTTGTGTGTAGTGACTGTTTTGTGAATTGTTGTTTGACTCTGTCTTTTTTCTACTTATAGTTTTTGACCACTTCCTTGGTAACAGAATATCATCCTACTCTCAGAATTGGGGCTTATTTTGATGAATCTATTTTGATATCATTTCCACAGTTACTGGACAAGTTGAGCGAGGTGAAACCAAAAAAAGATTTAAAATTGAAAACAATTGAATAATTACACTTACACTAACACGATGTTGGTATCACTATAGATAGATCTTACACTTACACTCACACGAGGTTGGTATCACTTTAGATAGATCTTTCTGCTATAAGAGTTCCTGACTTGAAATGTGCTTAGATTTTTAAGTATGTATGGATTATAAACAATTGAAATGCTTGACCCACTTGAACTTTAAATATTGTTGAGGAAATTTGAATGGTTTCAATACTGTATGAATTCCTCATTTTTATCTGTTTTAAAAATGGTATATATTCATTACAATTTCTCATTTGATTATTTTCATGTGTGTTTGTTAATCATTTTGTACTTAGTTTCTTTGTTATATTTCAATGTATTTCATAGCTGATTGTGTTACTCTCTTTAAATGATGCATTATTATCATTATTATCATTATTATCATATTATCAACTGATACATTTTTATAACTTACAATGTGTGATACAACTACATGTATACTGTACGTTAGTAATTAATATAGTACATGTACAAATAATAACAAACATGTTAATTGTAGAAAAACAAAACACAACAGCAAACAAGTTAATAGCTCTACAGAGAACAGGAAGTTTCCATGCTCTCCTGGTTTATGTAGGTTAGCTCTACAGAGAACAGGAAGTTTCCATGCTCTCCTGGTTTACGTAGAAGATCCATTTCTACTTTGACATTCATCAATACATGTCTACCATGATAGTTGTTTTCTTCAAAATATACAACTCTTTTTTCATAGATTGTTTGATTTATAATTTACTCTTTGTTTATATAAAGCATGTATTAAGTTTTAACAATATTACTTATGGAATTACTTAAACATTTTGTGCATTGAAATCTCCCAACAGTTAAGCAACTAACCCTAACACAATGCATTGTAAAATGTACCAAAAGTATAAATGGATCACAAATGCAATGTCCACAACATCTGATCTTACCTTCATCCCATGATGTCATCGGTACATTATAATCCTCTGTTATTCCTTAAATAATTAGCATCAATCACTTAACATAACATACCGTGAAACCAAAGCATTCAAAAGCCTCATTCTAATTGCAATAAAAATTATGTTGTTTTAAACTGCAAAGATGCTAAAATTCTCTAGAATTTAGGATAAAACCATCAAAGTCAAGCATCTGTCATCTTAAATTGTAAAATTGCAGAAAACAAGCTATCTAGATCCCTAATGAAATAAGCAAATTTTGAGAGAGGAATGTAATCAATCTGTAAGACTTTTCATCTTAAAGCAGGCGGAAACCCAGTTGAAATTAAACAAAAGAAATGGAACTCTTTGTTAGAGAAGGTAAAAAAGGCCAAGTTGGTAAATTTGAATTGTTTACATCTGTTTCTATGCCCATAATGGGCTTTAAAAGTTTAAAGAATGTGCCTAATTTAGGATTTCATGCATCTTGTGTTTGGGTTTTTACTTGAATTATGGTTTGGAGCTTCGAGATTTTTGTAAACTTTTAAATTATAGACAAATTTTCACAAAACAATCCAATTCCGCCGAAAAATATTCCACAGAAAGATAATATATTAATCTTTTTTAAGCATTAATTTGCATCTCTGCCATACTTTTGGGATCAGTATTCTTCAGTCAACTGTGCAATTCGTGCGTCCGTAGTTATTATCGTAAGAATGGGGATTCCGGTCATAGCTGGTCCGCTTCCGATGAATCCCGCCTCCGATCCGTAGTTCGTACAAATATTTCAATGGTGGACGAAGAAAATTAACAAAAATAAACAATGTTTGACAAGCTATTTGGAAAGGAATATGACGTTTTTAATGCAATAAGTGGATTAAATGTTATCTAAAGGCAATTTTCATCACGTTCTAATGAAGTAACAAACTTATATTGCTGAAAATTAGAATGAATTGATGTACGCTCTCGAGTAACAAGTACGGTACCGGAAGTGATACAAACATTGTCTTATATGAAATAAAACTACAACCAACTGTAAAGTCAATGCTTTCACCTCCTTTCTAAAGAAATAAATCGTTTATGTCTTTGAATTTCTTTACTTATAAATGAAAAATTGCTGTTTCATCGACTTGGTCAAAATTGAAAATTGCCGATGACGAAAGCGACTGAAAGCGAGTATCGAGAACAACAGGGCGACTAGACATTGCTTTTGACGGTCGGGCAAAGCAAAGTGACGGACGGAAAAGCGACTTTGTCGCTCCAGTCGCCTGCTAGCGTGAGCCCTGCATATAAGGATAGTAATGATGATATGTGGATAAATTTATAGGTTTTCAAGAGTTAAATTGACAGAGTGTCATCACTACAATGGCTTCCATTTTTACAATTATAAAAATTAGGTGGCGTAATGGGGAGATAATTTTGACGAAGTAGAATCCTGACTGAAAGGGAAATTTTCTATTTTGTTTTGCAGGCAAAAAAAAAGACCAGTGACCCATTTTTTTTATTTTTACTTTCTGAAAGCACATTATAAGAGCTATTTTCACATATCTTATCTTAAAATTCTATCATTAACTTATCTTTCTAAATGCACGGAATTGTTTTTTCCATTTATAATACATACAAAATCTGACAATTTTGCACAAGCTGTAGCTTGAAAAAAAAGCTCTGTGACCCATACTTTTTATTATATTTTTGAAAAAGCATGGTATAACCTATATTTTGGCAAATTAAAAAAAAATTCTTGTGGTTTTAATTTAGACCCCCCGTCTTTATTAAATGTCTGTCTGTCTGCAGTGGACTTTGAAAGACCATACCAGTCCTGCAGTCTTCAACAAAGAGCTAAGGACTATATTTTCCACAAAACATTTGTTCCAACACTTACTCCCTATGAACAATATATGATGCTGAGAAAGACTAATTCTATTCTTGGCTATGATAAGCCCTCTATAAAATTCTAAAGAAAAAAAACAAAATGGATGAACAGATGGTTCTGAAAATTAAAATTTCATTCAATTCAACCTATAGTCAAACTTTTATTTTTTCTGTGTTTTCTGAAAGGTTGAGTCCCAAAGTGTATCAAAAATTGTATCTGCTGCTTCCATTTATTAAACATACATGTACATCTTATACAAAAGTTTAAAGTAATAATCAAAATTTAACCTCTTCCTATTTTTTGTGCTTATAAGAAAATGTGAATCATTAAAATAGATCATTGCACCTATTCTTTTAAAGAACTTCAGAGTTCATATTCACGTTGACCAAAAAAAGTGAGAACATCATGGATTTCTCTAAAAAAAAAACTTAATGAAAACCCTGTTAAACTATGCTCATGATTCTATTCAGTACATTGGCTTTGTTTTGTTAAATTCAATCATAAAAGCACCAGTTTTCCATCTGATAAATTCATGTCATTACAGTATGTAAATATTGATCAGTTTCTTCTTATTTATGACAACAAACACTCTATGGTATAATACAGTTACACTTAAAAGTAAAATAAATAAATAAGCGATTCATAGACTGACATGTAAAAAAGGTATTTAATTCAATCATAATATAAACATAATTCAGAGTTTAAAATAAAAGAAAGCACTTATAACTTTTAAAATTTGGAAGTAAAAACAAAATTGTTCATGCAAAACACATGCAAAATAAAAGCAAAGAAACCAGATCATGTAGATCTAACTAAAACCCCAAAGATCTCCAGGATCGATATAAAATTACAAAGATCCTTAAGATCTAACTAAAATCCAAAATCTTGCACAACATGAGGTTTACCTTCCAATTCTGCTTCTAGATCTAACTCAGCTGATAAATAACAAAAGTATTGATGAAGAAACATACTTGGCAATAAGTGACAGAAACAAAATTTCCTAGTTTTTTTATTTACTTAATCAATACAATATAAATATGATGTGTTTTGAATAGAAAATTCCTATTTTATGAAATTTATGTACTCTTTTTATCTTTTGTTAACATTGTTTTATTATCATGTAAAATATCATGATATTGAGTTGAGATTATTCAGTCAAAAATAGACGTTATTTATTGCCTCTCAATACATGCCATACTTAGAGCTTATCAATCAGTCACAAGCACTCAGCTCACAAATTTGTATCCCATCTCCACTGAGTTCATGTTTTGCTCTTCAGCCTTTTAATAACAACAAAAACAGCTTCTCAATGAGACATGGTACCGAACAATCAGTGAGAAATCCATTCACAAGTTAATAAGGTGTTGTTGGTAGGAACTCATTTCAACTTTACTTAAAACAGTAGATTACAATCTTAACAACATTAACTGGAAAACATCATGTTGTAACAATATGAGGTATAATAATGTAAAGAACTGAACAATACCTTCTTTTGATGCTAGCTGTAAGCCACTTTCATCAAACTCAAACTCTGGATCTTCAGTACTGGCAAATAATTCATTATCTCTGTTTGCTTCATGAAATTCTGTAATAAGACAACAGCTGTATCATAAATTGACTTATAAGTGGTAGATTAATAAGACAAGTGCTTGTTGTTCTACTCTCTGTAAGCAACTGCCTAAGTTTATCTTTGTAAAAGTGTTACCCCTAGAGAATTGCTTACTGTTCTACACTTCAAGAGTGAATACCTAAGTTTACCTAAGAGAAGCCTTACATTTACATAAGTGTTACTGCTTGAGAAAAGCTTACTGTTCTACACTTGAGTGATTGCACAATTTACCTGTAAAATATAAAAATTGTTGATGACCTTAGTACATTTTATTATATTTTTCATGGTTTTAATTTTGCGAAATTCAGTATTTAGATAATTATTTATCTACTGACTTTGTCCTCTTTTACAGGTTATACCCTAATCACTTGATATAAGTTAACTTATCACCATATTTTTAAGGAGTAAGATGATGGGCGAATAATGTGGAACAGAATCTGCTTACCCTTCCAGAGCACCTGAGATCACCCCGTGTTTTGGTGGGACCCGTTCGGCTTAGCCTTTAATTTTCTAAATTGTGTTTTGTATCACACTGTTATTTGTTTTAAAGCATATTAAGTCGTATTAATATGTTTTGCCATTGCATCGTCAAGTCTGTTTTTTCAACTTATGAGGTTTAATTTTCCTTAAGTATCTTACGCCTCTCTTCTACATGCACACCAGGGGCCTCGGTGGCTGAGTGGTCTAAGTAGTTGAACTACTGTATCACTAGCCAGTCAACACTGAGGTTGTGAGTTCGAATCCCGCACAGGGCACGTGCACTCAACTCCAATCTTAATTGACTAGGATTGTCAGTTTTCCCACCGAAGGTCGGTGGTTCTCTCCTGCACTCCGGCTTCCTCCACCAATAAAAACTAACTGCCACGAAATAGCACAATAGTGTTGAAAGTGGCTTTAAACACCAGTCAATCAATCAATCTACATGCACACCTGTCCCATGGGGGTCTCATTTGGGGAGTCTGATCCTGGATCTTGCTTATTGTTTTGTCTAATCCTGTATCCTACTTATCATTGTAATAATAGAAAAATGAAAAAGTTGATCAGTTGTCGTCTCCCATAGACCTATAAATTGATCAAGAAGCGTATTCTCTCCAGGTCACAGTGGCTTCCAAAATGACTTAATGTTTTGTCAATGACATTGTTTATAATAATGTTACTTTGTTTAAATGTGTATATATAAAAAAGAAGTTGTGGTATGATTGCCAATGAGACAACTCTCCACAAGAGACCAAATGACACAGAAATTAACAACTATAGGTCACCGTACGGCCTTCATCAATGAGCAAAGCCCATACCGCACAGTCAGCTATAAAAGGCCCCGAAATGACGATGTAAAATAATTCAAACGAGAAAACTAACGGTCTAATTTATGTACAAAAAATGAACGAAAAACAAATATGTAACACATAAACAAACGACAACCACTGAATTACAGGCTTCTGACTTGGGACAGGCAAATACATACAGAATGTGGCGGGGTTAAACATGTTTTTTGTTTAAATGTACTTCAACCACTCTAATCATTTACTTTGCTTTACTTTGCTTTACTTTGTAATTCATTTGATTGTATAGCTCAAATTTTGGGCACCATGATTGGTAAATAAAATATCTTGTATCTTATAATTTCATGTCCCGCCCGATTTGTTTCCCGTTCTCATCATGCTCATCATGACTCGTGCACAATAAGTTGACTTTCACATGCCACGCGTACAAAAAATTGACCATTCCTGCACCATGCTAAGACCCCAATGGAACCCATTCTCATCTTAATTTGTCTTCCTCTGTAATTTTTTTTCAGTTTTTTACTTTCTTTTTTCATTGCATCAAAATACTTTAATAGAAAATAAGGACTCTTTTCTGACAAAAGTCACATGCAACATTCAGTTTGAATATGAAGAAAATTATTAACCTGCTAACAGCTCTGAAGTGAGTTCCTCTCCACTTGGAGTATCTGTTTTAGCTTGAAGGCCTTGCTCATCTGTTGAACTCATAATTTCCACTTGAATTAAACGCTCTATTTTAGTTTACCGACATTTTTCTATCGGCAGTTTTTAATTTGCAATATCATTTGTTAACTGCCTTTTTTGAAAGATGTACGTTTATCGTATTGGAAGTATTATGTTCTTACAGGGGAATAAAAGTATTACGAATGTCAAAACTTTGGTGATGAGAGAAAACAACATCCGGTGATTTTCGCTTCCTGTTTTGGGTTGTCTCCCTGTGTCTCGGTCGGTTTGGCCAATCATTGAGCTTTTTACAAAATTCTTTGTCAAATCAAAACAACTTAGAAGCACTTTAAAAATGTCAGGGAAATATGAATGGATGTGAAAAAATCAAGTATATAAATAGTAGATCTAGTCAACAGGAATAAGTTGAATTGTTAGAGAAGGATTCTGAATTTGTAGTATGGGTTTTAAGAATATTTTCAGTGTCTTACCTGCTTAAAAAGTTGATTACGTAGATAGATGAAATGTTCAATTTAATCCCCACTTTATTTTAGATTTAAGATTAAAGTTAACACATAATTTACTATTATTCTATAAAAAGACAGTATAATCTAGCCATCATGTATTTTACTAATGTTTCAATGTACAGTGTAAAACTTCAATATGAATGTATGTACATAGATCCCTCTGTTTACGGAGCACCCCTCGAGAGCTGCGAGCTCCAGGGTACAGTGGAATCCGTGTACACTCCCTATCGGGATTAATGGAGATGTGTCACTAACGTATTTACAATGTTCAATATTTACAAGGACAATCCCCACCCCAACACCAGGGAGTGTTAGGACACCGGGCGGATCTGTTATTATGGTGGAGGAAGCCAAAGTACTCAGAGAGAATCACTGGGCTGCTCGGCAGGAACAGACAAACCGAAGATATCAGCAGATTGATCTCCAGGTCAAAATCGGGAACAACTTTGACCAACCGAGGCCCCCATAGTACCCATTCTAGTTTAAACTCCGGTCTGGGTACCAGAGATGTGTGTGAGAGGGTGAAAATCACCCTTCTGATGTACTTATATTTTTAGCACCAGAAGTGAGAATCGAACTCGGGACCTTCAGCACTGTAGCCATCGGTCTTAACCACTAGACCATGAACTCACACGAGCAATAAGAATGTATTCAGCAGGGATCTCCATGGACATGATGGATGAAATTGAAAATTTAAAGATTGAGGAACTTTAATTTCACCATGACAAAACCCTGCGTCTACGTCGTAGCGTGATCGAAAGTATTTCATTCCTCCATTTCTATATTTAAGAATGGCGAACACACTGATATATGGCTTATTATAAATAAAGAATAACCAATATTTTCATTAATTGACATAATTTTGTAACAATGCCAATCATGAATGTCAAGCCTGCATGACTCCCCCTTAGTCAAGAATGACCACAAGCTGTCTTTAAAGTTCACAAGTAGTTTTCTTGGTATATTGGTAATTGTTTAGGACTTAAAAAATGGTAGGAACTTTTTTTCACTGTCAAATTCAGATGTCATGAACTGGTTAAAAAGGGGGATGCTGATTGCGTAAGTCAATATAAAAGCACATGCTCGACTTGTTACACTTTTTTCTTCGTAACTGGATTTAAAATTTGTTCTTTAATCTAAATTTTCATTAGCATTTGCTGAAACATAATTTAATAATGCAATCAATCGTCTATCTTGATCAAATGTTCTCCTGTCAGGTGTGTCGATCTACATGTACCTGTGCAAGTGATAAGTGATCTTTAGCCGGATATACCTCAGGGCTTAAAAACTGTAATTAGGACCCTTTGAATTATGATGCAATAAGGGTTATGCAATTACATGTACATGCAATTGATTATAATAGCTAACATAAATGCGACTTACGAAACAAAAACAAATTTTGACAATGTTGGGGATAATTTGACGATGGCGGAAGATAATTTAATGATTTGACGATGGCAGAAGATATTTTAAAACAGGTCATGGAGATCCCTGGGTCATTTTCCCTAATTTGATGGTCGCACATACAAATGAGACGTAAAACTAGACCGTGAAGCCATCTCAGGTAAGAGAAGAGATTTTGGTATATATACATACATTTACTGAATACACTAATATTGTCAGTGATCTGAATGGGTACTTTGGAGAATTCCTATGGGCTTTATCTATATAGTGCCCAGGGGTCTTTGTTAGCCATGTTAGCCCAAAATAGACGGGTGCAGCGCCCTTCTCAGTTCTGGCCGAATGATTGATTTCCCAACAGAAAGTTAAATTACATTTATGACACCTGATGATTGCCCTGAGGTTTATCATGTCAGAATCAATTATTGTAGATAAGTCTTCTAAGGTGTTAATTACTAGGTAATTAAGACAATTTACCTTATTGTCAATATGATAATTAAATTTATATTTGATTAATGTGTCAGCACATGTTGTTTATAGTTTGGGTCGGCCTTTGATCTCCTCACCAGAATAAATTTTAAGACATTCAAATACATCTATCCCTTCTCACAAACATTGTCAATGTCAACTTGCAATCGACAAGCAGAAAGATGCAAAGACAACACATCTTTCAGATCAATCCTCAACTAAGACTCAACTCAGTACATGTACATTGTGTATGTGCGATTTTATGAATTAATAAAATATGATATATTTTAACCACTGACAAATTTTATTCTAAAATCTGATCTTTAGTTTGGGAAAGAAACAGAATGTACAATGTGACCATTGTGATCTTGACCTTTGACCAGTCAGGGGTACTATGTACTTATACAATGGATTTCATTATCACCTATTAAGTGATTTTGGTGTTTCCTTTGATCTTCAAACATTTGTCAAATGCTTATTTTATTAACTTTCCATATTTTGACAAATTTTTCTGTAATTTTCCTACATACATTGTAGATCAATTATCCCTTTTTCTTGTATAGTAATTTCACCAGTGCGCTAAAGTTTTAAAAAGTACCCTTCGGAATTTTTCTGTAATCAAATATTCATTATAAACAACTCTAACAATCAGACAAAGGTCAACAATTTTAAGTAACCTGATTGGTCTTCTTTAGAGTTAGAATGATCTACTTCAAGGTTACGTCCTGATCTACAAATTATTCTAGTTTATGCATATTTTAAATAAACTGTAAAAAATGACAGGCTCATCAAGCAAAAGATAATTTCTGCATGTAGATAGTTGTTTTTTAAATGGAATCCTTTGTCTTTTTACCAATAAAAAAATTAAGCTTGTGGGAAAAATATCAAGAAAATGTTATAAACACTTATTGAAGTGATTACATTTTTACTTCTCAAATTACTTGTTTCAGTGATTTTAAAAAGTCTGTGACTATTTCTGTGAAAATTTTCAATTTTTCAAAGCCAAAATCATTTAAAGATGTGATTCTGAAATCACTTGTATAAGAAGTACCCCTGACTGCTGACAGTTCTAAAAATAGCTACGACTGCTTCATGTTACTGTGGCGCAATTTAATTTTGCATCTTTCTTGGACTTAAATTTTTATCAATCTCATTTAATTTGGAGACAGAATATAAGTTCAGTATATTTTAAAGATAGATAGAATTTTGAGTGTGTTTAAAAGTCGAATCATAAGTTGGAAAGTATGTCTACGTAAATGTCATCTTATTTGTACGCCGATTTTATGTTACAGTTAAGTAAAACAAGATATTTTAACAGGGAATTGTATAAATTTTATTAAATAGAAAAGAAATTTGTTACGAACACACAAGCGACATGTTTCACAAAATTTACCTGAGTAATTAAATCAAAATTTGTCATACAATTATTTCATAATTTCATATTTTCTAAAATAATATATTTTCTCAATAAAATTCACTTTAAAAACTTTTTATGGTCATGGCAATATGCATATGGTCCAAATACTCATATGGTCCGGAACATATATGACCATAGGCAAATTATAAGGACAGGAACATTGAACTACATAACCTACTCACTGTTACACAGTTACAAACCACGTTTAATCATGTTTTGTGGATTTTATATTATACACAATCAACATCAACTCATGCAATTTTTATTGTCATCATATACAGTGTATACTACACAATGTGAACATGTGATAAAAAGCCACGATGAAAACACACACAAACGTTTCCCAACCTTAAAAAGTGCACTGGCATCCGGGAGCCTTGGTGGCCGAGTGGTCTAAGTAGTCTAACTACTGTATCACTAGCCTGTCAACACTGAGGTTGTGAGTTCGAATCCTGCACAAGGCAGGTGCACTCAACTCCAATCTTAATTGACTAGGATTATCAGTTTTCCTACCGAAGGTCGGTGGTTCTCTCCAGGCACTCCGGCTTCCTCCACCGATAAAAACTGACTGCCACGAAATAGTACAATAGTGTTGAAAGTGGCTTTAAACACCAATCAATCAATCAATCCCCTGGCATCTTACCCCTTCCAATTTCTAGCTGGAGCACTGGTGCCACTTTAAAGCCTTTGGTTGACTTTGATGTCACTATACTGTCTTCAAGGTTATTCAGTCTACAGCAGTTCTGATGAAGAATGGGTTTTTTTAATTGGTCAGTTGAATACTGGATCTTAACTGGGTTTTTTTGTTTGTATAAATGCAGAATTATCTTTCCACAATGTTTGATGAAATACAGTCTTGAAATTATTTTTATATTGATTTGGCATCTTTCTTGGTTTAGGATTATGTGATTAGAAGGCAGCATCACTGGTACCTGCTCCTCAACCATCTTGTTGAAAATATCAACCTCTGTTGTTGTGATCGTTCTGAGTTAAAAATTTCATAAATGGTTGGTTGAACCTTCTTTTACTTTACACTGTTAGAAAGATAAAATATTTGTTCTTTTAAATGAGCAACTGTCTCCTTTAGTGCCAAAAATAAAATATGAAATTTAACAAAAGATAAATTAAAGCTAAGCTGTAAGACCCTTTCAGCAATAAACTAGGACGTCAATCTAAGCTAATTACAAATTCTAAAAGTAGTTCACCGTGTTCACATGTATCAGCAATTCTGATTAGTCTGTATAAAAACATAAAACCATTGAAATATAGCTTGCAATTATGCCAAAAAAGGACAAACATATCCAATATACTTCACCCAGATGTAAACATTTATAATTCATACAGTGATGAAATCATTTTTTAGAAACCCCAGATATATGAATATATGTACATGTAGTTTGATTGTGACTTGAAATTTAAATAGAGATTATGGAATGAAATAAAATTGAGAATGGAAATGGGGAATGTGTCAAAGAGACAACAACCCGACCATAGAGCAGACAACAGCCGAAGGCCACCCATGGGCCTTCAATGCAGCGAGAAACTCCCGCACCCGGAGGCGTCCTTCAGCTGGCCCCTAAACAAATTTGTATACTATTTCAGTGATAATGGACGTCATACTAAACTCCAAATTATACACAAGAAACTAAAATTAAAAATGATACAAGACTAACAAAGGCCAGAGGCTCCTGACTTGGGACAGGCACAAAAATGCGGCGGGGTTAAACATGTTTTTTGAGATCTCAACCCTCCCCCTATACCTCTAGCCAATGTAGAAAAAACAAACGCACAACAGTACGCACAGTAAAACTCAGTTTAAGAGAAGTCCGAGTCCGACGTCAGAATAGGAAACAAACGAAAAATAAACAAAATGACAATAATACATAGATAACAACAGACTACTAGTATGTTTGAAGATGTTTTCTTTGGTGTTGATTGGTTTACATGGTCACTTGGTATGATTGCCAGTGAGACTACTATCCTACAGAGTCCAAATAATTAGGATGTAAACAATTATAGGTCACCATAACTTGCATCAGGCCTTCAACCATGAGTTAAACCCATACCATATAGTCATGATAGTCAGCTATAAATAGTCCTAAATGTACATGACAAAAGGAGAAACTATTCAAATGAAAAAACCAATGGCCTAATTAATGCCAAAACAATAAACAAGAACAAATATTTATAACAGACAGCAACCAACAACAGCCACTGACATTCCTGACTTGGGACAGACGCGTAAAGAATGTGGCCGGATTTACCTAGCCATTTCCAACTGATATTTACAAATTACAATTTTTTCTTATGTTGTATCGTTTCACCATTTTCCCATATCATGCATATTAGAGGGAGAATTGAGAGCTCACAGACATGATTAACTACAATAATTTTTTTTTATTTTACAGATCTGAAACCATGACATCCATGAGCTCTTTGAAGAGTAAGCTACACAGGCTGAAGAAAGAGGATACCAGTGAGGTGACAGGTTGGTATTAGTTAGCTTATCTGGCTCATATGGTCAGTGTGAAGTATGACCATCATTCGGCCTGCATTATGCATAATGTGAAGGCTTTGGGTTATTTGAACTAAAAGGTAACTTCTTTATATTAACCAATAATGACAGTATAAGCATGATAAGAGAAAGTATGAATCTATGATAACTTGATAAGGCCACTTTTTGTTCCTTGATTAATAAATCACATAGCATTATAAATCTTCAAATATTCAGATGTACTTCCCAAAACATTAGTATATCAAAATAGCCATAATGTAATTGAATTTAACCTGTGAACCTATGAAGTTGCTACATTTAAAGGAAACTCTGTAAAAACTGTCAATATTGACTCATTTTCAGATTTTCTGATTAGCAATTAGCATGATTAGTTCACAATGATTATTGTTTTAATTTATGTTTGAGCAACAGCCACACAGATATTTTGTCTCAAGATTTCTTTTAATCATAATACATGTAATATGTCCTATGCTTCTGTTTTTATGAAGTGCATGTAGGGTTATTAATTATGGTATGAACTAATCACCATATCCATTCAGACATGATGATATGATTGAAACATCTTTTATAATAATGGTTTTACTGATAATTTATAGAAAACCAGGTGTTAAATGGCCAGTATTGATCAAATATATGTAAGTAAGTAAGTAAAACAGAAAGCTCTGATCAACCTATCAACAAACATCAACACATATATGGTACAATTACAAATAAAGTAAAACAAAGCTCTGATCAACCTACCAACAAACACCAACACATGTACATATATGGTACAATTACAAATAAAGTAAAACAAAGCTCTGAGCAACCTACCAACAAACATCAACACATATATGGTACAATTACAAATATAGTAAAACAAAGCTCTGATCAACCTATCAACAAACATCAACACATATATGGTACAATTACAAATAAAGTAAAACAAAGCTCTGATCAACCTATCAACAAACATCAACACATATATGGTACAATTACAAATAAGGTAAAACAAAGCTCTGATCAACCTATCAACAAACATCAACACATATATGGTACAATTACAAATAAAGTAAAACAAAGCTCTGATCAACCTACCAACAAACATCAACACATATATGGTACAATAACAAATAAAGTAAAACAAAGCTCTGATCAACCTATCAACAAACATCAACACATATATGGTACAATTACAAATAAAGTAAAACAAAGCTCTGATCAACCTATCAACACATATATGGTACAATTACAAATAAAGTAAAACAAAGCTCTGATCAACCTATCAACAAACATCAACACATATATGGTACAATTACAAATAAAGTAAAACAAAGCTCTGATCAACCTATCAACACATATATGGTACAATTACAAATAAAGTAAAACAAAGCTCTGATCAACCTACCAACAAACATCAACACATATATGGTACAATTACAAATAAAGTAAAACAAAGCTCTGATCAACCTATCAACGAATATCAACACATATATGGTACAATTACAAATAAAGTAAAACAAAGCTCTGATCAACCTATCAACGAACATCAACACATATATGGTACAATTACAAATAAAGTAAAACAAAGCTCTGATCAACCTATCAACGAACATCAACACATATATGGTACAATTACAAATAAAGTAAAACAAAGCTCTGATCAACCTATCAACAAACATCAACACATATATGGTACAATTACAAATAAAGTAAAACAAAGCTCTGATCAACCTATCAACAAACATCAACACATATATGGTACAATTACAAATAAAGTAAAACAAAGCTCTGATCAACCTATCAACAAACATCAACACATATATGGTACAATTACAAATAAAGTAAAACAAAGCTCTGATCAACCTATCAACAAACATCAACACATATATGGTACAATTACAAATAAAGTAAAACAAAGCTCTGATCAACCTATCAACAAACATCAACACATATATGGTACAATTACAAATAAAGTAAAACAAAGCTCTGATCAACCTATCAACAAACATCAACACATATATGGTACAATTACAAATAAAGTAAAACAAAGCTCTGATCAACCTATCAACAAACATCAACACATATATGGTACAATTACAAATAAAGTAAAACAAAGCTCTGATCAACCTACCAACAAACATCAACACATATATGGTACAATGACAAATAAAGTAAAACAAAGCTCTGATCAACCTATCAACAAACATCAACACATATATGGTACAATTACAAATAATGTAAAACAAAGCTCTGATCAACCTATCAACACATATATGGTACAATTACAAATAAAGTAAATCAAAGCTCTGATCAACCTACCAACAAACATCAACATATATATGGTACAATTACAAATAAAGTAAAACATGCAAATAAATAGTAAGAAAACATGTCAACTGCTTACACTAAAAACATAAATGAAGCAATAATGTCAGTTAGGACAAATTTATGATGTAACATTATTAGCATAAAATAAAGGACATTTCTGTCCTATGTAACGAATTACTACATTATCATACTCTTTTATCAATAAAAAACACAATTGGAAAAGATTGAAGAAAATTTCAGGGGCCAACTTATGGCTCTCACCATTCCTTTTCTTTACTTAACAACTAAGAATTTTTCAGATTATAAAACATGGATGAAAAAGATAACAGACTGTGGGAACCGTGCAGAAGATTGGTTAGAATATACAACTTACATGAGACACAATCTTAACTTTAATGATAGATTCCAGGCTCACAACTTTCTCTCTGATCTGTATGAGAAAGCTTTTAGGGTAAGTGCCTGTCAGATCTAAACAAAGATTCAGGGTAAGTGGCTGTCAGATCTATTCACACTTTCAGAGTAAGTGGCTGTCAGATCTATACAAACCTTCAGGGTAAGCGGCTGTCAGATCCATACAAACCTTCAGGATAAGTGACTGTCAGATCTATACAAACCTTCAGGGTAAGTGGCTGTCAGATCTATTCACACTTTCAGGTTAAGTGGCTGTCAGATCTATTCACAATTTCAGGGTAATTGGCTGTCAGATCTATTCACACTTTCAGGGTAAGTGGCTGTCAGATCTATTCACACCACTTTAAGGGTAAGTGGCTGTCAGATCTATACAAACCTTCAGGGTAAGTGGCTGTCAGATCCATACAAACCTTCAGGGTAAGTGGCTGTCAGATCTATACAAACCTTTAGGGTAAGTGGCTGTCAGATCTATACAGACTTTCAGGGTAAGAGACTGTCAGATCTATACAAACCTTCAGGGTAAGTAGCTGTCAGATCTATACAAACCTTCAGGATAAGTGCCTGTCAGATCTATACAAAATAACTTTATTTATATCACAGAAATCACACTTTCTGTATTCATATCACAGAAATCACACTTTCTATGGTTAAGAGATCACACAATTTATTAATGTCTCAGAAATCACACAGTGATTAAATTATCTTTATTTATATCTCAGAAAACACACTATCTTTGTTCTTATCTCAGAAATTACACTATCTTTATATCTCAAATCAAATCATCTTTATTTATATTTAAGAAATCACACCATCTTTATTTATATCTCAAGATCACAGTATATTTATTTATATCTGAGAGATCACAGTATATTTATTTATATCTGAGAGATCACAGTATATTTATTTATATCTGAGAGATCACAGTATATTTATTTATATCTCAAGATCACAGTATATTTATTTTTTTCTCAGAGATCACAGTATATTTATTTATATCTCAAGATCACAGTATATTTATTTATATCTCAAGATCACAGTATCATGAGTATATTTATTTATATCTCAGAGATCACAGTATATTTATTTATATCTCAGAGATCACAGTATATTTATTTATATCTCAGAGATCACAGTATATTTAATTATATCTCAGAGATCACACTATATTTATTTATATCTCAGAGATCACAGTATATTTATTTATATCTCAGAGATCACAGTATATTTATTTATATCTCAGAGATCACAGTATATTTAATTATATCTCAGAGATCACACTATATTTATTTATATCTCAGAGATCACAGTATATTTATATCTCGGAGATCACAGTATATTTATTTATATCTCAGAGATCACAGTATATTTATTTATATCTCAGAGATCACAGTATATTTAATTATATCTCAGAGATCACACTATATTTATTTATATCTCAGAGATCACAGTATATTTATTTATATCTCAGAGATCACAGTATATTTATTTATATCTCAGAGATCACAGTATATTTAATTATATCTCAGAGATCACACTATATTTATTTATATCTCAGAGATCACAGTATATTTATATCTCGGAGATCACAGTATATTTATTTATATCTCAGAGATCACAGTATCTTTATTTGTATCTCAGAGATCACAGTATCTTTATCTCAGTGATCACACACTTTTTATTTACAGGCGATTGATGGAAAAGAAAACAAGGACAATGAAGCTTTTGCTCATCTATTTATAGACTTTGCTGAGGTCAAAAGGTACTATAACACATAGGAGATAATTTGAATGTTTGTTGTGATATTGTGGACATAACACTTAGATACCAGTATGGGAGATTATTTGAATGTTTATTGTAAGATTTATATGGACATAAAACTTTAGTAGATACTAGTACTTATGGGATATTGGTAAACATATAATCAAGATTTACTTCCCTAGATTTAGAATATAGGATACTAGTCTTTTGTTCTAATGCAGCTCTGAACAAAATATTTTTAAAATGACATCAACTTTAATTCCTCCTTTTTTTGTAGAAGACTTCAGCACATGAAAATCCTAGTCAGAGCATATCTTTATATGAAAACCTGCTATGTAAAACAGTAACTTCAAGCTTTTATTTTGTAATCATTGATATTTTTGATAAAATGTTACAAAAAATACTATTCAAATTAGGAATTCAATGCATCAGTTTCTTTCCATTAAGGATTCTAATGGGGATATTCTCATGCATCTTTCTTGATGGGCCAATTAAGCAAAAATAACCCCAATGCGAAAATTTCCACGTCTATTGGACAAAGTTGTAACAAAAAATATCCAGTTCAATTTACGTAATTAGTATTTTGCTCAGTAAAGTAAACTTATTTCCAGAAACAGAAGCAAATGTCATACTTGCCTATTTCTATATAATTTATAGTGAACAGTTACTATCTGAAGATGCCATTCAACTGTTAACAGAAGCAAGGAACATAGTAAAGAAATACTCAATAGTTCATATTGCTTCAGCAGAGCTGGAGATCAAAGAAGGTAAACATTTAAAAAAATTATTTATTTTAGAAATATATTTGATTATTTACAATATGCTTTTTGTCTCACCTAGACGGGGTCAAAAAGCGAGACATAGGTATGCTGTTTCTGGCTGCCATGTCAACAATGTATTAGTTTCTGATTAGATCAGTTTATGGGGAACCACTAGTGGTAAGTCAATGATATTTGGAATGCAGTTGTATTAGCATTGGCACATCTCATTTCCATGGAGATTGTTTGGCCCGTTCCTTCTGCCATGGTTCATTGACTTTGAATATTTTGCATAACTTGCATGTTAAAGTTTTGCTATTTTTGTATCAACATTTACATTTTACTATCATAATTACATACAGGCAAGACATATGTCTGTGTCAACAGTTTATTTATTTAAGAATTGAATGCTTCTTTTTGTAAATTTATTTGGGTGTAATAGCGTTGACCGAAGTACATTTAGTATGAAGCGCTTCATTCTAAAAGTGTGTGCACAGTCAATACTTTTACAACCCTATGAGATTACTAAAAGAAGCATTCAATACTCCTAAATACATTTTTTGCTAGGATCCTGAAATCACGATTTCTATCAAGTTTTTTCTTTTATTTTCCTGCACACTTTATTGCGGAAGCTCATGTCATGAATGTTACATTTCATTTTGAAATGAAGGTTAATTTCAGAATGACGTGAGATTGCTGTTAGCCAATCAAAATAACGTATTATAATGAAACATACATGTAATGTAATTATATGTGCATGAGTAAAAGGGAATAAGGTCGGTGGACAACAACCCAACAGAACAATGAAATCAAATGTCAACATACTTTATTTCATAATTTACAAACTTTGTTCACGACCTAAATATGAATAATATATTTGCCACAAGACAACATATAATCAACAAAAGCTTAATTTTCTGCTTTACTTAGACAAACAACTTAGTATAAAAATGTGGTTATTGTATGTTTCTTGGGAATAAATCTCATAAACTGTTTGTACAATATCCAAGGACACTGGCTGTTAACTAATGATACATGTATTTTGAAAGGATTTGAAAAACTATTACAAACATTTCTAAATTTACTTTTGATGGAAAATTTCCTTTTTAGATTAACTTCAGCCATAAATTAATTCATAGTATTTCCTGTTAGATGTTTAAGACCCTGGCTTATAACCTATGAATCATATTTCCTGATAAAGGTTTAAAACCCTGGCTTATAACCTATGAATCACCCACAATCACCATATTTCACTGAAAATTCACCAAGAGTGATTTTTATCTAAATCACCTCTTGTGTACTCTATATAATCGTAGGTGTAGAAAATTCACCAAGAGTGATTTTTATCTAAATCACCTCGTGTGTACTCTATATAATCGTAGGTGTAGAAAATTCACCAAGAGTGATTTTTATCTAAATCACCTCTTGTGTACTCTATATAATCGTAGGTGTAGATTTTATGTCATTATATTATTGTTGTTGTAATTTCTATCATCTTTTTTTGTAGGAAATATTAGTAAAGCCAGAAATATTCTGAACAAAGCCAGACTATTTAAATTTGAACCTACGGATTTATTGGTGGAAGCTTTAAGGAAACTTGATGCTGGAGAAACGGTTTTACTTTCACCAAGGCATAGAAGATACAGTAAGTATATTCACCAACTTGACCAATAGAGGCACAAGGAGCATGGTCTGCAATAGGTCTAAATTTTTATGACATAATTGAATATAAGATGGTGTGGCTGAAGGTTGTAAATTATTGTCTACTTACCTGCTCACATTCTTTACAGTCAATATTTCCATTGTAAACAACTTGTTACAAATCAATATTACTGACAAGTCTTTTTTAAGGATTACATCTTAACACTTGCAAGTTATTCTTAGTCACAAGTTCTCAGTCACTTGGTAATCATCATGCAAGTCTATGCAAAAATTAAGTAAGTTTTACATTCAAGGTCAAGGAGTAAATTTTATGGAAAATCTTTCAGTCAATTCCTCAAGGTAGGTCCAACTAAATGCCAACACTGGTTATGGTCAACTATATTTAAAAAGGTTCAATTAAAGTTAATATATGAATGAATTACCAATTTAAAAAAAATATGAATTGTATCAAAACTATATAACAACGTCATAGATTCTTAAAAGCATACACTGTGCTTTTCTAGGTGAATTAGCATCCAGAAGGTTTTGTAGAATCAGAAAATTAAATGTCAATGTCAATACCATAATATTTTATTCTTTTAAATAAACTGTTTACCATCTTTCCACACAAAATACCGATCATGCTGATGATGAACAATTTTCTATATTTTTGTAGGTTCTGGCCACAGTAAAGTAAACCTGTCTGATGATAGTCAAAGCATCTTTCATGGTGTTCCTGAAGGGTAGGAATTAATGTTATTCTTACTGATGCAGACCCTTGACTTACTAGCATGAAACAGAAATCTGCTAGTTCCAACTTTTTTTTTTTTTTTTTTTGCCTTATGCATTAACAGTACAAAAAAGTGCTTAAAAGCTTTATATTTTAGAAGGTGGAAGACCTGGATACTTCATACTTTGTATATGGATGCCTTATGTTATGAAGTTTCCGTCTGTCATATGTCAATTGTCCTTGACCTCATTTTCATGGTTCAGTGACTACTTGAAAAAAAAGTTGTTTTTTTGTAATGTTAATTTCTCTCTTATTATGAGTAATAGGATAATTATATTTAGTATGTGCATACCTTGCAATGTCCTCATGCCTGTCAGACAGTTTTCATCTGACCTTGACCTCATATCATGGATCAGTGAACAAGGTTAATTTTTCGTGGTTTTCGTGACAACTTATGAGGCAAGGTCTGTAGTTCTTTATTTTCAACCTATTCCTAGACAATGCTCCTTTTTGCCTAATTTTGTTTCTAATTTTGGCGAGGCAGGGAGATTTGCTATAATTTTAATATGGTGGGGAAATTTATGTATAAAAGTATAATTCTTTAGTCGTTGATAAAGAAATGTTTCATAAGTGTACAAGATAATCCATACTGTAAACTCAATTTGAAAATTGGAGATCAAAATTGATATTTCTGCAGGAGTTGTTGCTTGTCATAAATAAAATTAAATAAAATCTTTGAAAAAGAAACTCAAATTTTGTTTGCACACTTTTCAATAGTGAAATGGTTCTTTATTCAGAACTTTGTTAATTCATTAGATCAAAATTGCTTCCTTGCAGACATGTCTTATAGATTAGCTTTGAGCCTAAACTTTTGAATTTTCCCATTAGAGTCTAAATAATTCCTTTATGTCATTGCTCTGTTTTCATTTTAACATGTATAGGCATTTTGTCAATATTTGACACCTCACCAACACTGGATATAATGATATATACATATATAATGCCTACCCATATTTCTCTTAATTAATAATCTTGAGGGTATAGTAATGATATAAATCTAAAAGCTGATCACTATAAATTCTTATTTAATTTCTGTAAGAAATGAACATGAAAGACAACTTTTGTAACTATTGATTATAATGGTTTTTGTTTGAGGTAATATAATTTATTTGATATACTTCTACTCCAAGAGTGGGGCCTATATTGTATTCTACTTGTCTAACCCTTTCCATAAAAATTGTGATACCTTTTTCTCAGCTACTACAGAACAAAATGACCTAATATTTTGATAGTAGCTTGATTTGATATTTTTCAGTGCTATTTAAAAATGTTAGGCTACAAAGTCTGAATCTTAAATGCTTTAGGAATTTACAAGAACATATTGGACCAGATGAAATGGAGACTGCACCAGTTATGATGGAATCTCATAAGGAGAAATATGTAACAGTCCGTGCCAACTCCTGTAGACCTGCCATGAGGAGCTACAGCAGTACACCAGAAATGAGGAGTTTGTCTAATTTTCAGTGGAAAAGGTATATTTATTGAATATTGACTATTTCTTACTATGTGACATGTTAGACTACTTCCGATTAATTGGTGATGAGTATTGGTACATATTCAGTTTGAGACTACTTCAGAGTATTTGGTGATGAGTATTGGTACATATTTAGTGTTAGACTTCTTCAGATTATTTGGTGATGAGTATTGGTACATATTTAGTGTTAGACTACTTCAGAGTATTTGGTGATGAGTATTGGTACATATTTAGTGTTAGACTTCTTCAGATTATTTGGTGATGAGTATTGGTACATATTCAGTGTTAGACTACTTCAGAGTATTTGGTGATGAGTATTGGTACATATTCAGTGTTAGACTACTTCAGAGTATTTGGTGATGAGTATTGGTACATATTTAGTGTTAGACTACTTCAGAGTATTTGGTGATGAGTATTGGTACATATTTAGTGTTAGACTTCTTCAGATTATTTGGTGATGAGTATTGGTACATATTTAGTGTTAGACTTCTTCAGATTATTTGGTGATGAGTATTGGTACATATTCAGTGTTCGACTTCTTCAGAGTATTTGGTGATGAGTATTGGTACATATTTAGTGTTAGACTTCTTCAGATTATTTGGTGATGAGTATTGGTACATATTCAGTGTTAGACTTCTTCAGATTATTTGGTGATGAGTATTGGTACATATTCAGTGTTAGACTACTTCAGATTATTTGGTGATGAGTATTGGTACATATTCAGTGTTCGACTTCTTCAGAGTATTTGGTGATGAGTATTGGTACATATTTAGTGTTAGACTTCTTCAGATTATTTGGTGATGAGTATTGGTACATATTTAGTGTTAGACTTCTTCAGAGTATTTGGTGATGAGTATTGGTACATATTTAGTGTTAGACTACTTCAGATTATTTGATGATGAGTATTGGTACATATTAAGTGTTAGACTTCTTCAGATTATTTGGTGATGAGTATTGGTACATATTCAGTGTTAGACTACTTCAGATTATTTGGTGATGAGTATTGGTACATATTAAGTGTTAGACTTCTTCAGATTATTTGGTGATGAGTATTGGTACATATTCAGTGTTAGACTACTTCAGATTATTTGGTGATGAGTATTGGTTCATATTCAGTGTTAGACTACTTCAGAGTATTTGGTGATGAGTATTGGTACATATTTAGTGTTAGACTACTTCAGAGTATTTGGTGATGAGTATTGGTTCATATTTAGTGTTAGACTACTTCAGATTATTTGGTGATGAGTATTGGTACATATTTAGTGTTAGACTACTTCAGAGTATTTGGTGATGAGTATTGGTACATATTTAGTGTTAGACTTCTTCAGATTATTTGGTGATGAGTATTGGTACATATTCAGTTTGAGACTACTTCAGAGTATTTGGTGATGAGTATTGGTACATATTTAGTGTTAGACTACTTCAGAGTATTTGGTGATGAGTATTGGTACATATTTAGTGTTAGACTACTTCAGATTATTTGGTGATGAGTATTGGTTCATATTTAGTGTTAGACTACTTCCGATTATTTGGTGATGAGTATTGGTACATATTTAGGGCAATTAAAATTTGAACCTAAGTATCTGTGACTTGTTTCAAAAAAATTATTTAGATTTTCATTTATATTTGTAAGTTGTACTGAAATGTTTATGACTAATAAGTCTCTGTTTGTTAAAGGTTGTGACAATAAAACCTTGTGAATGCAAATCCTCTTAGACCATTTAACAGATAGCTCTCATACTTGGTAGGATTGTTTACCATTATGTGTAGTTGACAATATTATACTGCCATTTTTATTCAACCATTTTTACGGGAGTTATGGGATGACTTTTTTTTAGTATTCTAATAACATCATGTGAGCACAAATCCTCTGATTCTGTTTAACAGAAAACTCACATACTTGGTAGGATTGTTTGCCATCATGTGTAGTTGACCTTTATATACCACCATTTTGATTCAACCAATTTTGCAGGAGTTATGGGACTTTGACAATTTTTTTTAAGAATTGAGACAATAACAACTTACAGAAAATCCTCATGTTTAGTTGGATTGTTTGTGATTATGTGTTATTGACCATATTGTACCTCCATTTTGATTCAACCATTTTTACAGGAGTTATGAGACTTTGAATATTTTTTGGAGTATAAACATATTTTGACAATAACACCTTGTGAACACAACTCCTCTGAGATGATATGACAGAAACCTATCATATTTAATACAATTATTTTCCATCATGTGTAGTTGAGCATATTATACTGCCATTCTGATCTTACCATTTTTATACGCTCGTTTACGGGCTGTATTGTTGTATACCTCTGTCCATCTGTTTGTCTGTCCATCTTCAACATGTCAGACAATAACTCAAAAACACTTTAACCAATATTCATGAAACTTTGGTGAATTGTTTATATCAATTGACGCAGGCACCCTTTCGATTTTTATAAATTTTTGATTTAACGTTTCCAAGGAATTGGATTTTATCCATAAAAAAAGGGGGGATTTTCCAGTTTTTGGACAATAACTCAAAAATGCTTTGAACCGTTTTCATGAAACTCTGGTGACTGGTTTATATCTATTTAAATAAGCTCTCTTTATTTTTATATAAATTTCTGATATGACATTATGTAGTAATGGAACTTTATTCATTGAAAAAGCGACGGACGTATCATGCACTCATGGCGCAGCTCTTTATTACAAAAGTTATGAGACTTTGACTATTTTTTTTAGTATTGTGATAGTGTCACCCTGTGAACACAAATTCTCTGACACCATTTGACAGAAACCTATTGTACTTGGTAGAGTTGCATGCCATCATGTGTAGTTGACCACATTGTGCTGTCATTGTAATTTGACCATTTTTATGGAAGTTGGCACTTTCACCATATTTTTAACTATTGACCACCAAGAGACTATTTAGTTACTCATTTATACAGAACAGAGGACATCCAGCTGCTGCATAGCAAATCTTGTTTACCATGTCTTTGGGTTTGAATATAAAACGTGCATGGCCACCCTATGTTTCTCACGAGTGAGAAAAAATGTTAATCTAAGTGCAGCTTCATTAATTAAATTTTTTTTTTTAATTTGACCATGTTTGCTGCAAACTTGAAATATATTTACCCTAATAGAGTTATCCTGTAATAAACATATGATTTTAAAGAGGCTAGGTGGAGTTTTAGGAAGTTGGAATAACTATTAATTCTATGGTTATTGTTGTGACAGGACAGACATAGGTGTACCACAGAGAGTAAGGAAGCTTAATTTACCTTTCACAGCGACAGCCGAGGAGGAGGAAGAAGAGGGTGTGGAAGATATGGATACTATGTCTGGTTTTACACCACTGGAACCTCAGGCTAGTTGTAAGTAGATATAAAGATTTATAACAAAAGTTTCATATTGTGACTTGCAGCTTATATTTGTCGGTAATCAATGTGAAAAACCTAATGATATGTACATATGTTATCACTTTAGAATTAGTCCTTTTTTGAAAACAGTCTCAAAGTATTTTTATCTAACAATGAAATCATATCTTCTTGTATAGTGTTGTTTGCCTGTGAGACTTAGGGAATTTAATGTGGCAGCTAATGATTGTATGTCTGGCAGGTTTTCTCTGATCTTGACCTTAGTTTTATGATTTATTGATAAATTTTAAGTTGAGTAATGATTGTATTAAACCTGTATCTCGAAGACTTTCAATATAGAATAAATCATGATTAGTAAGCAGCCTAGAAATTTCAGCTGATACACCTTATTTTTTCAGCAACCTTTGTATCTATGACCACTGCACAAAGTAGTGGTTACCAGTCTATGATGGAGACAACCATTCCACTGGAAACTGGCAACCAGTTTGAAAATCACCTTTCAGGATTTCATTCTGGAAAACCAGCATTTGACTTGTCAGGAATTCATCCTCAAAAACAGACTTTTGACTTGACAGGAATTCATCCCCAACAGCAGACATGTGACTTGTCGGGAATTCTTTCTCAACGGCAGACATGTGACTTGTCAGGAACTCAATCCAAGAAACATACAAATAATCCGTTAGGAAAACAAAAAGACACACCATCATGTGAAATATCTGGAATTGAGTCAATGAAAGAAACAGATAGACAAACTTGTGACTTGTCAGATATAAATCAAAAGTCTAATGGTATTGGTATTCAGCCAGTCAAACAAAACGACAGACTCACCTGTAATCTTTACAGCATTCAGTCAGATATGGTTATGAAAGAATCAGTAAAAGATATATCCAGCTTTCAGTCTGACAAATCCATGAAGGAACCCATGAAGTTAGACAATGTTTCATTACTACAACCTAATGGACGACCACAGATTATGAAAAGTCAAGTGTTACCTAACCCTAAACCAAACAGTGGTGCCCCTAAAGTGGTTACACCTAACCAAGTTTCAGGCAATCCTACACCAAGCAGAGGTGCTCCTAGAGTGCTTACACCAAACCAAGTTTCAGGCAATCCTACACCTAGCAGAGGTGCTCCTAGAATGGTAACACCAAACCAAATGTCAGCCTTTCCTACACATAGCAAAGGTGCTCCTAGAGTGCTTACACCAAACCAAGTGTCAGCCAATCCTACACCTAGCAGAGGTGCTCCTAGAACGGTTACACTCAACCAAGTGTCAGCCAACCTCATTCCTAACAGAAAAGTTCCTGAAATACCTACACCTAATAGAACAGTACCTATTGAGCCTACACCTAGTAAACATGTAATGTAAGTACTGATGTATTATCATTCAATGTGTCTACCTGAACATGCATGAAATATTTGCCACTGCTCTAAACCAAAAAAACAATTAATCAATCTTTTAATGTGACATACCATAGACATGTTTTCTTTCCACTGATGAAATCTGTTTAAATTGTAACATGGGATATTGAAGAGATTAAAATTTTTACATGTATAGCTTCTTAAAACAATGTTATTGCCATCACTTGGCTTCTGTTGCTGTCTATCATCGTTGTCATAAACTTTACAAAAATCTTCTCTAAAACCAGTGGACAAATGATCTTACTCCTTGTAGGAGTTATTCCCCTTAAATGATGAATTTTCGACAATTTTTTGAGTTTTTGCCTATTATTATAAGTTAAGACAGTTGAGTGATTCTGGCTCTTAGGAGTCTCTTGTTCTGTTTGAATGAACATTAAATAGCTCAAATCTTTAAATCAAGCTGCTCAAATGAATCAATTTAAGTTTTAATAGCTAACATTTTTTTCTATATCCCATGTTATGATGATAGTATAATTACAAATGAATTAGTACAATTAGATTTGATTAGTTGCTTTTAGATAAAGTATAAAACAAGCAAATTAACTTTATGTATGTGAATAATCTGACCTATATTACATATATTATATCCCCACTCTCATGTGACTCTATGAACAGTCAGAGCTCAGACATAAACAAGTTGTTTTTTATTTTTGACTTACAGAAGCCAAAAAATGTATTTATTATAAAAATGTACTTTCATTTTCAGACTTATTTAAGTCAGAAAATGACAGACTTGTTTAGGTCTATTTATGTTTATGAAAAGACTTAATTTTAATTAGTGGCCAAAGTGCACCACCTATGACATCATAAACCTGTCTTGAGAGTTCACAAGGACCTCAGCTATCTATATTTAATTATCTAATAATCATTTTTACTTAACATAAGATTATTTTCCTCATTTTGTGTGGTTATAGATGGTTGCATTGTAAAGTAAATAAACATTATCTCCGTTTTTTTAGGCATGCATATTTTTCTTTAGAAGACAAAGCATTGTCTTTCAATGTAGTCATAATTTCATGCAGGTGCTTGACCTTTTACTAAATATGCTTGGGTCTTGAAGTTGACCAATTTTGGTAACTTATCGACTTGTAGGAGTCAATATTTGCAACTTTTTAATTCAGGTTAAATATTTTTTGCTTAACACTTATTGACTTATTGAAGTCATAAATTTTGTCTTAAATTAAAGGGAGACAAAATCTTGAAATCTACAAATTTAGACCTCTATGAGTCAAAAGCAGATTTAGACTTATTTATGTCTGAGCTCTGACTGATGAATGTGCGATCATCTTGTTTGTCCAACAGATATTTTCATCACACACTCTCAGGTACTTCTAAACAGAATGACTTGATATTTGGTCAGTACCTTGACAGTGATTAGTTGTATTGCACTGTCAACCGTCTTCCTGTATTTCCATAATTTTTCAATATGTTGAATGAACTTTTTGTCACTCTTTTTCTCCAATACTACTGAACAGTACGAGTTAAAATGTGCCACACCACCATTGACCTTTAAGGTGGACATATAGGGCTGCCATTATCTGTCTTTTAACTTTTATTGTTTTATGTTTATAACATGTATAAGTAGACTAGTTGTTGTACTCTCGACAATAACTGTTGTATTTCTTAATCTAAACTTAAATGTAGACACAGGGCTCACACTAGCAGACCACTGGGGCGAACAAGTCGCTTTCAGGTCCATCACTTCGCTTTGCCCAACTGCCAAAAGCGATATCTAGTCACCTTGGTGTTCACAATAATGGCTTTGAGTTGCTTTTGTCATCAACAATTTTCAATTTTTGCAAAGTCAATGAAACAGCAATTTTTTCATTTAAAAGTAAACAAATTCAAAGACAATAAGTTTGTTAATTCATTGGAACGTGATGAAAATTGCATTTAGTTGATGTTTTATCCATTTATTGCACATTGTTGCATTGAAAGCATCATATTCATTACTAAATCACTTGTCAAACATTGTTTATTTTTGTAAAATTTTTTATCCACCATTGAAATATTTGTTTGGACCAGTGAATGGAGGCGGGATTCATAGGAAGTGGATCAGCTATGTCCGAAATCCATATTCTTACAATAATAACTATCATGACTATGGATGTAGGAATGTCACAGCTGACAGAATAATAATGATCACAAAAGGGAAAATTACGAATTCCACACACATTAACAGACTCTTGGTTAAATCTCCTTGCTTAATGTATATATTTCCATGTAAATGCATTGTTTCAATTTATTGATAAAAGTTGCTTAATTTTTGTTATATTTTTATATATTTTTGATGAGAAACAATGAATTCTTAAACATGATCAACATAATAGTTTTTTAATTGAATTTCAACTTATATAGGTCTAAATTGAAAACAACGTTCAAACCTATGATTGCATTGAATAAAAACCGCAATTTTTATACGTGTGCATGCAAAACAAATTTCTTGTTAGAGGGGTCTAAATACAGCACAAACAAAATTTTCCAAAAGACCAAAAAAGTGAAAAGGTATCATATAAACAAAATGCATTTGACAAACAGGTCGAACAACGGATGTTCTTAAACCTTGCTGACTGCCATTGGCAATTGCCAAAAAAAACGGATCACAAGATGTAACAAAATGGATCTTTATTATTAATTTAATACCAAACAGAAAACAATAAACTTGCGGAAAGATGGTATTGTATTATATTTGCCTTCAGGTTTATATGATCCATTCATTCTATTTCGACTCTTCAAAATTCAAGAGTCTATCCTTAATTGAGGTAAATTATATGGCCTTCCAAATACGGTTTTTATTATACCGTTTCGATTCCTAACATCACTGAAGAGACATTAATTGTCGAAATCCGGATATGGTGTACAAATTTTTGCACCTCATGTTTGCGGTAAACCATCTTTTCCGCAAGTTTATTGTTTTCTGTTTGGTATTAAATTAATAATAAAGATCCATTTTGTTAGCTCACCTGACCCAAAGGGCCAAGTTAGCTTTTCTCATCACATTTAGTCGTCGTCGTTCGTCGTCGTTAGCTTTTTACAAAAATCTTCTCCTCTGAAACCACTGGGCCAAATTTAAGCAAACCTGGCCACAATCATCATTAGGGTATCTAGTTTAAAAAATGTGTCCGATGACCCCGCCAACCAACCAAGATGGCCGCCATGGCTAAAAATATGTAGATTTTGGCTTATATCTCTGAAACCAAAGCATTTAGAGTAAATCTGACATAGGGTAAAAGTGATTATCAGGTCAAGATCTATCTGCCCTGAATTTTCAGACAATTCTGACAAACTGTTGTTGGGTTGCTGCCCCTGAATTGGTAATTTTAAGGAAATTTTGCAGTTTTTGGTTATTATCTTGAATATTATTATAGATAGAGATAAACTGTAAACAGCAATAATGTTCAGCAAAGTAAGATCTACAAATAAGTCGTCATGACCAAAATTGTCAGTCGACCCCTTTAGGAGTTATTGCCCTTTATAGTCAATTTTTAACAATTTTTCGTAAATTTTTGTAATCTTTTACAAAAATCTTCTTCTCTGAAACTGCTGAGACAAATTTAAACATACTTGGCCATAATCATTATTTGGGTATCTAGTTTAAAAAATTGACCGATGACCCCGCCTTCCAACCATAATGGCCGACTTGGTTAAAAATAGAACATAGGGGTAAAATGCAGTTTTTGGTTTATATCTCTGAAACTAAAGCATTTAGAGCAAATCTGACAGGTGGCAAAAATGTTCATCAGATTTTGATTTATCTGCCCTAAAATTTTCAGACGAATCGGACAACCCGTTGTTGGGTTGCTGCCCCATAGTTAGTAATTTTACAAACATTTTGCAGTTTTTTGTTATTATCTTAGATATCATTATAATATCTAATATCTAATACTATTAATTGTGATTTTAACCTTATTTTACATGATTTCCAAAGCATCAGTAAAAATGGTAAATACAGGTGAGCGACACAGGCTCTTGAGAGCCTCTAGTTACATCTTGTGATCCTTTTATTTGGCAATCGCCAATGGCAGTCAGCAGAGTTTAAGAACATCCGTTGTTCGACCTGTTAGTCAAATGGGTTTTGTTTAAAAAACTTTTTCACTATTTTTGGTCTTTTGGAAAATGTTGTTTGTGCTGTATTTAGGCCCCTCTACCAAGAAATTTGTTTTGCATGCACACGTATAAAAATTGCGGTTTTTATCCAACGCAATCATAGGTTTGAACGTTGTTTTCAATTTAGACTTATATACCGGTATATATCATGAATATAGTACTTTATTTCCTTTTTGATATAAAAAAAAAAGTTGTTTTTTAGTGCTAGATATTTAGTTTGTAGTTTCTGTCACGAGGAAAAATATAATTGTGTAACAAAATGATTATATATATTTGAGACATAAACTGAAATAACTGTTACTTTAATTGTATTCTCGGGTATGAATTGAAAAAATAAAAAATAATTAAATAAATAGGATACATATGACCCTTTATATCATAGTGAAATTCAAACACTGTAGCGCCGTGAGTGAGCAAGCAGTTCTCTTTCAAGTCTTATCTCTTCTACCTATCAGTTTCAAGAAGAGAAGTCACTTCTCCCTATGATTCTGAAGTAATGTGAGCCCTGAGACATTTATGACTTTTGTTATTCAATCATTGCCATTTTTTACATTTATGTGGTCAATACTAACTTGGGTAAATTAAATTGGTCAATAATCATGATGATGGCTGGGATGCAATATTTTGACCTAGAAGTTTTTTTGTGAACATTATTGAAATATCCATAGGATATTTACTGAAAAGTTTTGTTGACACTCAAACAAAAGCAGTTATAAAGTGGAGTAAGGATACGATGAAGATACTACCAGGTTACTGATACATACAGGCAGGTCATTCAACATGTTCAAGAACTCCCAAATTTTTATCATGGCAAGGCCAAGTTTGAAGAAAAACTATCATTGTATCAATGTATTTTAAAATCATTTTAGTCTTTTGGTCTAAACAAATCTCAATTAGAATAATATGTTGTTTTTAAACAATTGCAATAAAATGATAATGGCTTGACTCAGATCTTGATGAATTTTGACTCACTAGTATAAACTAGTCAGTTATGTTTTAATTTTCATATGATCACCTATCTTATGGACTTATCTAAGCTAAATCCCATTTTATATATGTATTTTTCAGGTCTGATAGGCTGTCCAACGTACCAATTTGTGCCACTCCAAGTGCTGTACAGCAAACGTCAATACCCTGTACACCAAGTGTAAGTATATTAAGTCCTCCAATCTGCAAGTTTAGCCCACTTAAAGTTCTCATTAAACAGACACCAATAACCTTTACAGAAATTGTAAGTATATTAGGTCTTCCAGTCTACAATTTTGTGCCAATGCAAGTGCTCTGCAACAGATATGATTATCAATAACCTGTAAACCAAGTGTAAGTATATTACGTCCTATAATCTACTTGGTTGTGTAACACAAAGAACTGAGAACAAACTCAATTACTGTCACGGATAGACGAGAGCTGACTTAGGAGTTTGTACTTACAGATAATAAATGACTACTACTTTAAACAAAATAACAATTTAATTAGGTACAAATTTACAAATATAAATAGATGAAATCAAATGAAATAATACTGTCAAATGTTTAATGAACTGTTATTTCTTCTTTATATTAAACTATGAAATCTGGATAAACGATACTACGGAATTTTACGTATTTGGTTTTCGGTAACTACACAAAACTGGCCCAACATAAGCGGTGTACACATTACGGCTGCCCTATTGTCTAGACTCGACTCCAAATATTCTATGTTGCCAAACTATTGATGATAAACACGGAACGCCGCACTGTCAACAGGTTTCACCACCATCTGTACTATATCTCCATACTTTACTATACAAAACTACATACACCTAGCCCGCAAACTGGGACCTATTGAAATACATACTGTACGTTAAGATACAATACTATACTTAAGAAATATACATATGTTTATGTATTACACATGTCGCATAAATAATGACAAATACTTAGTACGACTACTTATGTTCAATCTATAGAAGATTATAGCATATTGAATAATGCATTACTTATACACAAATAATTACGGCATATCGTATAATGCCTTACTTTACACAATACAAACTACGGCATATCGTACAATGCCTTACTTTACAAGTCACATAATTGACTTTATTGTATACTATCATTATACAATTACTACACACAATATACAGCTTTTAACGCTGAATATACATTTATGCTTATACGTTGCATATTACTTTACATACTTATGGAGATACATACATCATTGCATTATCGTACGCAAACGTTCCTAAAATACCAAACAATTTCGATACTCGAATATTTACTACAGCCGGAAACATATAACCGTGTTAAACTTTCATTATAATGAACATTAATTAACTTATTACATTTATAAAATAGCAATGTCAAAAATTACAATTACAATTGAAATAATTATTCTATATTTGCGTTGTTGCAGAAAACTGAACACTTTAGAACGAATAATGATTAAATAAATAAATAAGAATAAATTGAATCCTACCTCAGAAATCCAGTGTGTGTATCCACACCACATTGCAAACTAACTTTATACAAACATTTCTGACCACACCTTGACTCGTTAAGGTGTTACCTGAGAGTGAATAGTCAGCTCATCAAATACAGGTATCACTGTTACTCAACCCGTTCGACAAGTTTACAGGTAAATGCCCAAGTAAATAGTGGACACTACTTAATTAATTAGATGTAAAATGTGGACATGTATTATACACCGAAGTCTGCAGAATATAGCATTTATAAGATACTGACGTTCTGCAAATCGAAATAGAATTAACAACCAAAATAACAACATATATGTGAGTAAACAAAGTCACCCTGTGACAATTACACTGCACCAAATGTAAGCTTAATAGTAGCTTTTTTATACCCCTGACTCTGGGGAGTATATGAGTTTATTTTCTAGATTATAATATAAAGAATCACTTGATTTAGGTTTGATATTGATGGTTTTGTACTGCTCAAGAGTTATGACCCTTGCTTGCCTTAAAAGTTGTATTTGTTTGGTTTCCTGGGAGATATTAATGACAATACTGCTTGACCAAAACTTTTAAAACTTTAACACAGTTGACCGTAAAATACAGATCAAGTTCGATTTTGTAGCAGCACATATGAATAAAAAATTATCCAAAATCTAATACAAGCATTGATGGGCTGGGCAATACTCATATAACCCGGGTTGTTGCCAACCCTGATCGAATAAGAACAATTATAAGTTGAATGTAAGTTGTGCCAAGCCATATGTGCCAGGCAACTGTAGATGGTAAATAGTTTTATAGATTTTTTTAAATAGAATTGTCCCCAAAAAATGCTTGCCTCCCTCCACTCAGCAGTAACACTCAATAATCTGAAATAACGCCCCTCATTCAAATATTATAGATTCGCCCCTAATTAGAAATGTTACATGCTTATTATTTTATGATGTTCAAACAATATTGTAAAAGAAAGAATATTTATTTTATGAAATAAGGATGATGTGTATGAAAATTTGAAGCTACTGATATAATTCAACCAGAAGTTTCACTTACCATTAATTGTCTTAAAGGTAGTGAGTGATCCATCAATTAACATATAAGAGATTGTCAAATTAAGACTGACTTAACAACATGATCTATTATTTTAATTTTCAGGTTATGCAGGATGTAGAAACTATCACAGTGAACAATGTAGTCTACATGATACTTGACATGCTTGGGAAAGGTGGCTCTAGTAAGGTAATAATAGTCAAAATAGGGTGTTTGTAGGACATGCTAGGGAAAGGTGGCTCTAGTAAGGTAATGATAGTCAAAATATGGTGTTTGTAGGACATGCTTGGGAAAGGTGGCTCTAGTAAGGTAATAATAATCAAAATATGGTGTTTGTAGGACATGCTAGGGAAAGGCATCTCTTGTAAGGTTATAATAGTCAAATTATGGTGCTTGTAGGACATGCTTGGGAAAGACATCTCTTATAAGGTTATAAAAGTCAAAATTGGGTGTTAGTAGGACATGCTTGGGAAATGCAGCTCTAGTGAGGTAATCATAGTCAAAATGGGTATTTTTAGGACATGCTTTGAAAAGTAAGGTTCATAGAATGTACATGTGCATATGACCTTTACCTCATTTTCATTGTTCATCTTTAAAGCTTTCATGATTAGGTAAATTTTTTAGTTGCTATAAGTAATACTTCAACTATACTTGATATTTTGCACAATTGTAAGGTGTACAAGAGAACTGCAAACCAGCAGTTCACAAATTGTCACTGGACCTTAAAATAAAATAGCTGACTTTTTATAAATTTTTCATTATGTTTTTGCAGGTCTACCATGTCCATGATTCCAAGCCTCCATCTAAAGCAATCAAAGTAGTCAACCTAAATGATGCTAATGAAGAGATAGTCAATGGTTACAAGAACGAAGTCAAGTTATTGCTACAGTTACAGTATTGTCCAAAAGTAATCAAAATCTATGATTAGTAAGTAAAATGTCTGGAGCAACTCAAACAATGCACATATGTCATCTCTAATCCAATCCATGTCAAGAGCAAGTCAAACAACAGACAAGTGTAATCTCTGTTATCCAATCCATGTCTAGAGGAAGTCAAACAATACATATGTGTCATCTCTGTAATCCAATCCATGTCAAGAGCAAGTCAAACAATACACAAGTGTCATTTCTGTAATCCAATCCATGTCTAGAGCAAGTCAAACAATACACATGTGTCTTCTCTGTAATCCAATTCATGTCTAGAGCAAGTCAAACAATACACAAGTGTCATCTCTGTTATCCAATTCATGTCAAAAGTAAGTCAAACAACACACGTGTCATCTCTGTAATCCAATCCATGTCAAGAGCATGTCAAAACGTATGTTTGCTTTTTTTCTCTTATTATTATTTTTTACATGTATTGTATATGAGGGCCTCAGGGAAGATTAGTAATTGTAACTAACTGTGTTTACCCTCTTTAAATAAAGAATTTATTATTATTATTATTATAAACAATACACAAGTGTCATCTCTGTTATCCAATCTATGTCAAAAGCAAGTCAAACAACACACGTGTCATCTCTGTAATCCAATCCATGTCAAGAGCATGTCAAACAATATGCAAGTGTCATTTCTGTAATCCAATCCATGTCAGGAGCAAGTCAAACAACACAAATGTGTCATCTCGGTAATCCAATCCATGTCAAGAGCAAGTCAAACAACACAAATGTGTCATCTCTGTAATCAAATCCATCCATAGAGCAAGTCAAACAATACACGTGTCATCTTTTATAATTTGAGTCTAGAATCTTCCCCTTAAGTCTTCTTGACCTCAATGGCTTTATTAAGAGTGCTGGCTAAACAATTTTGCATTGACAAAAGAGCTGTAGAAAATTGTTCTCGTTTCACTTGTCTCATTTGTACTTGTCTCATATTTCGTGTTTGTTGGTGGATTCTAAGCACGATGAAGGTATTTGTAAGCTGTGTGCTCAATTATGTGTATTTGTACCACATTATTCTGTATTTATTTTTCAGTGAGTATAGACCAGAAGAAAACAAATTATATATAGTAATGGAGTATGGCAACTGTGACTTTGCTCAGTTTCTGAAAGATAAAATAAAAGAAGATTGTAAGCTGTCAGACCATTTGATCAAGTATTACTGGGAGTCTATGTTGATGGCTGTCCATGCTTTACATAAAGAAGGTAGGGGTCAGGGGTCACTGTCAGATCACTTGATCCAGTATTACTGGGAGTCTATGTTGATGGCGGTCCATGCTTTACATAAAGAAGGTAGGGGGTTCAGGGGTCACTGTCAGATCACTTGATCAAGTATTACTGGGAGTCTATGTTGATGGCTGTCCATGCTTTACATAAAGAAGGTAGGGGGTTCAGGGGTCACTGTCAGATCACTTGATCAAGTATTACTGGGAGTCTATGTTGATGGCGGTCCATGCTTAATATAAAGAAGGTAGGGGTCAGGAGTCACTGTCAGATCACTTGATCAAGTATTACTGGGAGTTTATGTTGATGGTGGTCCACACTTTTGTTGATGGTGGTCCACACTTTACATAAAGAAGGTAGGGGTCAGTGGTCACTGTCAGATCACTTGATCAAGTATTACTGGGAGTCTATGTTGATGGCAGTCCATGGTTTACATAAAGAAGGTAGGGGTCAGGGGTCAGTGTCAGATCATTTGATCAAGTATTACTGGGAGTCTATGTTGATGGCAGTCCATGGTTTACATAAAGAAGGTAGGGGTCAGGGGTCACTGTCAGATCACTTGATCAAGTATTACTGGGAGTCTATGTTGATGGCTGTCCATGCTTTACATAAAGAAGGTAGGGGTTCAGGGGTCACTGTCAGATCACTTGATCAAGTATTACTGGGAGTCCATGTTGATGGCAGTCCATGGTTTACATAAAGAAGGTAGGGGTCAGGGGTCACTCTTAGATCACTTGATCAAGTATTACTGGGTGTCTATGTTGATGGCAGTCCATGGTTTACCTAAAGAAGATAGGGGTCAAGGGTCAGTGTCAGATCACTCTATCAAGTATTACTGTGAGTTTATGTTGATGGCTGTCCACACTTTACATAAAGAAGGGGTAATAATAGTCATATTACATTACCATGTTCTTGTCCTGAATATGCATGTTAATTTGCCACTGGACGTTAAGCATACATCCATCATCATCATAAAGAAGGTAGGGGTCAGAGGTCACTGTCAGATCACTTGATGTCAAGTTGTCAATAACTGTCCAAAATGCACTTGAAAAAGGTATGGTTCATATCTATGATCAAGTTGAGGGTAAATTGTGCTCATTCTGAATATACATAAAATAGTTATCTTTATATTTTACAGGAATCATTCATTCAGACTTAAAGCCATCAAATTTCATCATAATAGGAGGTGCCTTAAAACTGATAGACTTTGGTATAGCTAAATCTGTGCAACCAGATAAAACCAGTGTTCTGACTGAAATGCAGGTTGGAACATTAAACTACATGAGCCCAGAGTCTATAGCAGATTATGGTTTAGATGAGAAACCTATGTATAAGGTATGATCCTGTTGTAATTATCCACCTTAGAAAAAATAGATCATGGTAGAAATTCCTACTTTGTTGTCGAGCCTGCGACTTTTGTCGCAGAAAGCTCGACATAGGGATAGTGATCCAGCGTCGGCGGCGGCGTTAGCTAACTACTTGAAAGCTTTATATTTTCCAAGGTGGAAGACCTGGATGCTTCATACTTTGTATATAGATGCCTTATGTTATGAAGTTTCCGTCTGTCATATGTCCAATGTCCTTGACCTCATTTTCATGGTTCAGTGACTACATGAAAAAAAAGTTTAAGATTTTTTGTAATGTTAATTTCTCTCTTATTATGAGTAATAGGATAACTATATTTGATATGTGCGTACCTTGCAAGGTCCTCATGCCCGTCAGACAGTTTTCATCTGACCTCGACCTCATTTCATGGATCAGTGAACAAGGTTAAGTTTTTATGGTCAAGTCCATATATCAGATACTATAAGCAATAGGTCTTCTATATTTGGTGTATGGAATGATTGTAAGGTGTACATGTCCAACTGGCAGGTGTCATTTGACCTTGACCTCATTTTCATGGTTCAGTGGTTAAAGTTAAGTTTTTGTGTTTGGTCTTTTTTTCTAATACTATATGCAATAGGTCAACTATATTTGGTGTAAGGAAATATTTGACAATGTACATGTCAGTCTGGCAGGTTTTATTTGACCTTGACCTCATTTTCACAGTTCATTGCTCAGTGCTTAGTTTTTGTGGTTTGGTCTGTTTTTCTTAAACTATAACCAATAGGTCAACTATATTTGTTGTATGGAATGATTGTAAGGTATATATGTCTGTCTGGCAGGTATCATCTTTAATACCTTGACCTCATTTTCATGGTTCATTGGTCAATGTTAAGTTTGTTTCTTAGATACTATAAGCAATAGGTCGACTATATTTAATGCATAGATTGATTGTAAGGTGTACATGAATGTCTGGCATGGTTCATCTGACCTTGACCTTATTTTCATGGTTCATTGGTCAATGTTTAGTTTTCCTGTTTAAGTCTGTTTCTTAGAAACTATAAGCAATAGGTCAACTATATTTGGTGTATTGAATGATTATTAGGTGTACATGTATTTCTGGTTTTCTTGGATCATGTTAAGTTTATGTGATACTTTTAGTAAAGCTTTATATTTAGGACTATCAACATAAAATCAATGGTCAGTAAAGTAGGCGAGACATTTCAGCGTGTGCACTCTTGTTTAATTAATTAAAGGAGCATTAGCTACGAGATATAAAAAAAATTAAAATATGTGATTTTTTTTTTTTCAATCATTAATGAAAGTGATGATAGTGAAATAATAATTCGCTTTTAGCAGCCAATTTGGTTCAATTTTGTCAAAATAAGCTAAGAAACATCGCTGATGAATTATTAACTAGCAAGTGAATAATTCGACCTCATTGAATCCATATTCATGTGACCTTCAGGATGAAGCATTTGGTTGACTGATTTGATCCACATTCTCATACAGGTAAAAATGATGATAAACATACTTTTTAACCTACAATATAAAATCAAACAGACCTAGAAAAATCCAATTGCACCTGATCGCTATCTGTTTATACTTATAGTTATGTTTATATTGGGTTATATGACCGTCGGCAGTCTTTGGAGGTCATCTTGATGGTTAATTAAATGACGTCCAGACAAAAATACACACGAAATGTTGATACATATAATTGAGTCCATGCATTGTTAATTGTTTACTTTAGACTTTTTGTAATTTGGAGATACGTTTTAGTATGATATAAATCAAATATGAGAATTTTGTGTCAAATCAGTGAATATGAATTTGACAGCTAATTCCCCTTTAAGACAAATGTATAATTGATTGTTAATTCATGTAATCAGTTTCATTTCTGAAACTGATTTGAGGTGGAAAAAAATGTTTTGTAGGATAACTTTTTGGGGATACTTTAAAACTTATATACATTGTAGCTGTAAATGAATCTAGATAATACAGTCATAGACATTCCTACTTGTTGTAAAGTTTATTTTCCAACTTTGTCTACAATTCTACATTTTTATAAAAAGGAAAACAACTCTTAGGTTGAACAAATTGTATCACTGCTTATACAAACCTTGTAGAAAGAGAAAGGTGCATTGTACAGGTTTGTACAATAATTTTAACTTACTAAATGCATTATACCTGAAGGGTAAAAATAGAACTGCTAAATTATATGTGATAGCATAGCCTGTACAGCAAAACGAAGTCCCTCCATAATTTTGAATAGGCATGAAAACAGTTTGTTATACCTAGGAGTTGTTTCCTTTGCTAAAGATTCTTAAACAGAGTTTGTAATTTGAAAATTTACCATAAGGCATACATACACATCTTTTAGAGGATGACTTTAATAAATCAAATGATATTTTAGAAGATTATCATCCTTTTATGAATTAGTGGAAATAAATATAATTTTCCAGTACATCAATAAGATTTCCCTAACATAATGTATTATATACAAGATGAGTTAACAGTACATACAATACTTTTTTCACAGATTGGTGTGAAGAGTGATGTTTGGTCCCTTGGATGTATTTTATACAATATGGTTTATGGTTTTACTCCATTCCAAAGAATCAACAAACAGTTTGCCAAACTTCAGGCAATTACTAATTCCAGTTATGTCATTCATTTCCCTGAAATTGAGGACAAACGTCTATTAGATGTAATGAAGGTAAGTAGGACCCCTCACCTGAAATTGAAGACAAATGTCTATTGGATGTAATGAAGGTTAGTAGGACCCCTCACCTGAAATTGAGGACAAACGTCTATTGGATGTAATAAAGGTTAGTAGGACCCCTCACCTGAAATTGAGGACAAACGTCTATTGGATGTAATGAAGGTAAGTAGGACCCCTCACCTGAAATTGAGGACAAACGTCTATTGGATGTAATGAAGGTTAGAAGAACCCCAAACTAACGAGGGTACATATGCATGATTAACTGTATATCATATATTTTCCAAGGACAAACATCTATCGGATGTAATGAAGGTTAGTAGGACCCCTCACCTGAAATTGAGGACAAACTTCTACTGGATGTAATGAAAGTTGGTAGAACCCCTCACCTAAACAAGGTACAAATGAATGAAACTAGAAATTATATGGAGAATTGCATTGTAAGGGATCTCAAACCTACAAATCAGGAAACATATTTATGAAGAAGTTTAAAAGAAAAAACAATATATATATTAATATTGTATCCCCACTCTCATGATTATTCTGCACTAACGACACAGGGGAAGATGATTCTTTATGGCCTTGTTGTATTGGTCTTTACAGGTATCATTCTGCACTAACGACACAGGGGAAGATGATTCTTTATGGCCTTGTGTTCTAGATTGTATTTGTCTTTACAGACATCATTCTACACTAACGACAGAGGGGAAGATGATTCTTTATGGCCTTGTGTTCTAGATTGAATTTGTCTTTACAGATATCATTCTGCACTAAAGACACAGGGGAAGATGATTCTTTATGGCCTTGTGTTCTAGATTGTATTTGTCTTTACAGATATCATTCTATACTAATGACACAGGGGAAGATGATTCTTTATGGCCTTGTTGTATTGGTCTTTACAGATATCATTCTGCACTAACGACACAGGGGAAGATGATTCTTTATGGCCTTGTTGTATTGGTCTTTACAGATATCATTCTGCACTAACGACACAGGGGAAGATGATTCTTTATGGCCTTGTTGTATTGGTCTTTACAGATATCATTCTGCACTAATGACACAGGGGAAGATGATTCTTTATGGCCTTGTGTTCTAGATTGTATTGGTCTTTACAGATATCATTCTGCACTAATGACACAGGGGAAGATGATTCTTTATGGCCTTGTGTTCTAGATTGTATTGGTCTTTACAGATATCATTCTGCACTAATGACACAGGGGAAGATGATTCTTTATGGCCTTGTGTTCTAGATTGTATTTGTCTTTACAGATATCATTCTATACTAATGACACAGGGGAAGATGATTCTTTATGGCCTTGTTGTATTGGTCTTTACAGATATCATTCTGCACTAACGACACAGGGGAAGATGATTCTTTATGGCCTTGTTGTATTGGTCTTTACAGATATCATTCTGCACTAACGACACAGGGGAAGATGATTCTTTATGGCCTTGTTGTATTGGTCTTTACAGATATCATTCTGCACTAATGACACAGGGGAAGATGATTCTTTATGGCCTTGTGTTCTAGATTGTATTTGTCTTTACAGATAACATTCTGCACTAACGACACAGGGGAAGATGATTCTTTATGGCCTTGTGTTCTAGATTGTATTGGTCTTTACAGATATCATTCTGCACTAACGACACAGGGGAAGATGATTCTTTATGGCCTTGTGTTCTAGATTGTATTTGTCTTTACAGACATCATTCTACACTAACGACAGAGGGGAAGATGATTCTTTATGGCCTTGTGTTCTAGATTGAATTTGTCTTTACAGATATCATTCTGCACTAAAGACACAGGGGAAGATGATTCTTTATGGCCTTGTGTTCTAGATTGTATTTGTCTTTACAGATATCATTCTATACTAATGACACAGGGGAAGATGATTCTTTATGGCCTTGTTGTATTGGTCTTTACAGATATCATTCTGCACTAATGACACAGGGGAAGATGATTCTTTATGGCCTTGTGTTCTAGATTGTATTTGTCTTTACAGATATCATTCTGCACTAACGACACAGGGGAAGATGATTCTTTATGGCCTTGTGTTCTAGATTGTATTGGTCTTTACAGATATCATTCTGCACTAACGACACAGGGGAAGATGATTCTTTATGGCCTTGTTTTCTAGATTGTATTTGTGTTTACAGATATCATTCTGCACTAACGACACAGGGGAAGATGATTCTTTATGGTCTTGTGTTCTAGATTGTATTGGTCTTTACAGATATCATTCTGCACTAACGACACAGGGGAAGATGATTCTTTATGGCCTTGTTTTCTAGATTGTATTTGTGTTTACAGATATCATTCTGCACTAACGACACAGGGGAAGATGATTCTTTATGGTCTTGTGTTCTAGATTGTATTGGTCTTTACAGATATCATTCTGCACTAACGACACAGGGGAAGATGATTCTTTATGGCCTTATTTTCTAGATTGTATTTGTGTTTACAGATATCATTCTGCACTAACGACACAGGGGAAGATGATTCTTTATGGCCTTGTTGTATTGGTCTATACAGATATCATTCTGCACTAACGACACAGGGGAAGATGATTCTTTATGGCCTTGTTGTATTTGTCTTTACAGATATCAATCTGTACTAACGACACAGGGGAAGATGATTCTTTATGGCCTTGTTGTATTTGTCTTTACAGATATCATTCTGCACTAACGACACCGGGGAAGATGATTCTTTATGGCCTTGTGTTCTAGATTGTATTGGTCTTTACAGATATCATTCTGCACTAATGACACAGGGGAAGATGATTCTTTATGGCCTTGTGTTCTAGATTGTATTGGTCTTTACAGATATCATTCTGCACTAATGACACAGGGGAAGATGATTCTTTATGGCCTTGTATTCTAGATTGTATTTGTCTTTACAGATATCATTCTGCACTAACGACACAGGGGAAGATGATTCTTTATGGCCTTGTGTTCTAGATTGTATTGGTCTTTACAGATATCATTCTGCACTAGCGACACAGGGGAAGATGATTCTTTATGGCCTTGTGTTCTAGATTGTATTTGTGTTTACAGATATCATTCTGCACTAATGACACAGGGGAAGATGATTCTTTATGGCCATGTGTTCTAGATTGTATTTGTGTTTACAGATATCATTCTGCACTAATGACACAGGGGAAGATGATTCTTTATGGCCATGTGTTCTAGATTGTATTTGTGTTTACAGATATCATTCTGCACTAGCGACACAGGGGAAGATGATTCTTTATGGCCATGTGTTCTAGATTGTATTTGTCTTTACAGATATCATTCTGCACTAATGACACAGGGGAAGATGATTCTTTATGGCCATGTGTTCTAGATTGTATTTGTGTTTACAGATATCATTCTGCACTAACGACACTGGGGAAGATGATTCTTTATGGCCTTGTGTTCTAGATTGTATTGGTCTTTACAGATATCATTCTGCACTAACGACACTGGGGAAGATGATTCTTTATGGCCTTGTTGTATTGGTCTTTACAGATATCATTCTGCAATAACGACACAGGGGAAGATGATTCTTTATGGCCATGTGTTCTAGATTGTATTTGTCTTTACAGATATCATTCTGCACTAACGACACAGGGGAAGATGATTCTTTATGGCCTTGTTGTATTGGTCTTTACAGATATCATTCTGCACTAATGACACAGGGGAAGATGATTCTTTATGGCCTTGTTGTATTGGTCTTTACAGATATCATTCTGCACTAATGACACAGGGGAAGATGATTCTTTATGGCCATGTGTTCTAGATTGTATTTGTCTTTACAGATATCATTCTGCACTAATGACACAGGGGAAGATGATTCTTTATGGCCATGTGTTCTAGATTGTATTTGTGTTTACAGATATCATTCTGCACTAACGACACAGGGGAAGATGATTCTTTATGGCCATGTGTTCTAGATTGTATTTGTCTTTACAGATATCATTCTGCACTAATGACACAGGGGAAGATGATTCTTTATGGCCATGTGTTCTATATTGTATTTGTGTTTACAGATATCATTCTGCACTAACGACACTGGGGAAGATGATTCTTTATGGCCTTGTGTTCTAGATTGTATTGGTCTTTACAGATATCATTCTGCACTAACGACACAGGGGAAGATGATTCTTTATGGCCTTGTTGTATTGGTCTTTACAGATATCATTCTGCACTAATGACACAGGGGAAGATGATTCTTTATGGCCTTGTTGTATTGGTCTTTACAGATATCATTCTGCACTAACGACACAGGGGAAGATGATTCTTTATGGCCTTGTGTTCTAGATTGTATTGGTCTTTACAGATATCATTCTGCACTAACGACACCGGGGAAGATGATTCTTTATGGCCTTGTGTTCTAGATTGTATTTGTCTTTACAGATATCATTCTGCACTAACGACACTGGGGAAGATAATTCTTTATGGCCTTGTTGTATTGGTCTTTACAGATATCATTCTGCACTAATGACACAGGGGAAGATGATTCTTTATGGCCTTGTTGTATTGGTCTTTACAGATATCATTCTGCACTAACGACACAGGGGAAGATGATTCTTTATGGCCTTGTGTTCTAGATTGTATTGGTCTTTACAGATATCATTCTGCACTACCGACACCGGGGAAGATGATTCTTTATGGCCTTGTGTTCTAGATTGTATTTGTCTTTACAGATATCATTCTGCACTAACGACACTGGGGAAGATAATTCTTTATGGCCTTGTTGTATTGGTCTTTACAGATATCATTCTGCACTAACGACACTGGGGAAGATGATTCTTTATGGCCTTGTTGTATTGGTCTTTACAGATATCATTCTGCACTAACGACACAGGGGAAGATGATTCTTTATGGCCTTGTTGTATTGGTCTTTACAGATATCATTCTGCAATAACGACACAGGGGAAGATGATTCTTTATGGCCTTGTGTTCTAGATTGTATTGGTCTGTACAGATATTATTCTGCACTAACGATAGAGGGGAAGATGATTCTTCATGGCCTTGTTGTATTGGTCTTTACAGATATCATTCTGCACTAATGACACAGGGGAAGATGATTCTTTATGGCCTTGTGTTCTAGATTGTATTGGTCTTTACAGATATCATTCTGCACTAATGACACAGGGGAAGATGATTCTTTATGGCCTTGTGTTCTAGATTGTATTGGTCTTTACAGATATCATTCTGCACTAATGACACAGGGGAAGATGATTCTTTATGGCCTTGTATTCTAGATTGTATTTGTCTTTACAGATATCATTCTGCACTAACGACACAGGGGAAGATGATTCTTTATGGCCTTGTGTTCTAGATTGTATTGGTCTTTACAGATATCATTCTGCACTAGCGACACAGGGGAAGATGATTCTTTATGGCCTTGTGTTCTAGATTGTATTTGTGTTTACAGATATCATTCTGCACTAATGACACAGGGGAAGATGATTCTTTATGGCCATGTGTTCTAGATTGTATTTGTGTTTACAGATATCATTCTGCACTAATGACACAGGGGAAGATGATTCTTTATGGCCTTGTGTTCTAGATTGTATTTGTCTTTACAGATATCATTCTGCACTAACGACACAGGGGAAGATGATTCTTTATGGCCTTGTTGTATATGTCTTACAGATATCATTCTGCACTAACGACACAGGGGAAGATGATTCTTTATGGCCTTGTTGTATTGGTCTTTACAGATATCATTCTGCACTAAAGACACAGGGGAAGATGATTCTTTATGGCCTTGTTGTATATGTCTTACAGATATCATTCTGCACTAACGATACAGGGGAAGATGATTCTTTATGGCCTTGTTGTATTGGTCTTTACAGATATCATTATGCACTAACGACACCGGGGAAGATGATTCTCTATGGCCTTGTGTTCTAGATTGTATTTGTATTTACAGATATCAGTGATCTTGCCATCATATCATATGCTAAGGTTGTGTTGCGACCATCACTGTCAGATTATTTGACAAAGTTGATATTATTTGCCTTTTTCAGTTCGAGATGGTTGCATAGTTTATTAGTGGTACTCCATTACACTTAAAACTATTTAACATGAAATTGTACAGTATGAAAAGTATGAAAACAAAACAAATATTATCAATCACATTTTAAATATATAGAATGTATTATTCTTACTTTTTCAGAAATGTTTAATTAGAGATCCAAAAGTTCGACCAAGCATTGAAGATTTACTTCAGCATCCATATTTGAAAAGGGAGAAAAAAGAAGGTTAGAAAATGATTAGAGTTATTGCTAATGAGTAAACCAACATTTCTGTAGAGAGCATTGTAAAGTGTTTTGACTCAAATATTCCTGATGAGTAAATCAACATTTCTGTAGAGAGCATTGTAAAGTGTTTTGACTCAAATATTCCTGATGAGTACCGTTAAAAGGCTTGTATAGTCCGCGGTTTTATTCTCCCAAAATTGAACCTGCCAGCAGGGGTGCAGACTATAGAGTACAATAAGCAAGAAATAAGAGAAAAAAATCAATTTCGCGAGGTGGTTTATTTTCGTTCCGCCATGTTTGTTATTGATATTGTAGAGGGCGCTCTTCTCATTTTTCAAACTTATAATTTTACCTAATCCATATTAATAAGTTATTATTATTCAATATCAAATTAATTTTGATAAATTTAAAAATTAAACGCTTCATAACAAATTTCTCGTTTCTTTTCAATATGCATTGCTTATAAAATAAACTGGTATCTGCTTGAATGAAACTGTACAAAAAAAGTAAAAAAGACAACCATAAACCAGCTTACGATGTGTAAATTACAAAACGTAATCGGTTATTATATGTTCCGTTTTGGTGTTTCATACTGACTAATATGTTATTTATTAGCTTAAAACCCTTCAAACATTAATGTGATAGATATATTTAACACTATTTTACATCAGGATGGAACTGTTTTACTCTCAAAGTCGTATGATATCTAGCATGTACGGATTTCGACTCTCACCGTTTTTTCGCTAAATTACACGTGCTTTTCAAACTTCCGGTTTAAACATAAAAAAGTTTCTAAATTGTTTTTTGTGTGATTTAGACTTATTTTAACAATCGTGAAGGCTTTTAGAATCATTTACAAGCAGTTTCAGCTTCTGTTTGTTGATGGAAAATAGGTTTTTCCAAGAAAATACCGCATACGACCACACACGATTTGAAATTACCGGAGTTTCATTAGACCTTTTCTAACAGTTACAAAAAGATTTTTTACCAAAAATTTCGTGGGGAGAAGGGGGTGCGCACTATGTACCAGTGCGAACTATACAAGCCTGATTACGGTAAATCAACATTTATGTAGAGAGCATTGTAAAGTGTCTTGACTCAAATATTCCAGATGAGTAAATCAACATTTCTGTAGTGAGCATTGTAAAGTGTTTTGACTCAAATATTCAAAGACCTAATTGTTACAAATATGTAAATAAAGAACCACATGGATAAAATGTTAAAGAAAAAGATAAGAAGAAAAAAGAAAAGAAAAACATAACATGGCTATTCATTTACAAATTTAATTTCATTTTTCACAGAACTTCTGAAAATATGAAACAAAAGAGAATAGGTGTTACTATATGATCAAATAAGATTTTATTTTTAAACCTGCAGGATTTGTGTTCTGTTTAATTTTTTCAGCTTGTATTTTGATGACTTTTTATTTTTAGAAGCATCAGTAGTAGACAAACGAATAGAGAGACTTGTAGAAAGATTAGCAGATAAAGTATCATCACCTAATACTCTACGAAGTCTACTAAGGAGTGAAATATTAAAGGTATGTCACCTAATACTCTACGAAGTCTACTAAGGAGTGAAATATTAAAGGTATATCACCTAGTACACTAAATTATTGGCAATTTGTACATATGTCCAAAGGGCCAAATGAGCTTTTCTCATCACTTGACATCCATTGTCCGTCGTCGTCGTCGTTAACTTTTACAAAAATCTTCTCCTCTGAAACTACTTGGCCACAATCATCATTGGGGTATCCGATGACCCCGCTTGCCAACCAAGATGGCCGACATGGCTAAAAACAGAACATAGGGGTAGAATGCAAATTTTCTCTATTATTTTGAACAAAAATGTTCAGAATGTTGAGCTCTACCAATTGTCTTTTTTTTTTTTTTCTAATTAATTCTTTATTGCACATATTGCTGTTCTACAATTAAACTTGGTGGCTCTAACAATTGTCTATTTACGTCAAAAACTGTCAGACGACTTCTTATAGGAGTTATTGCCCTTAAATGACAAATTTTACCATTTTTTTTTCATTTTTGCCTATTATCTTGAAAATTTTAATAGATAGAGAGAAACTTTCAGCATAAAAATGACCAGCAAGACAAATTCTACAAATAAGTCTGCAATGTTGAAATCGCCAGTCGACTCTTTATTAGAGTTAATGCCCTTTGATGATGATTTTTACCAATTTTTGGAGTTTTTGCCTTATATCTTAAAAAATATAATAGATTGATAGAAACTTAAATGAGCAAAATGATCAGCAAGACTAGATCTACAATTAAAACTATATGGAGGAAATCATAAGACTACTCTTTATTGGAGTTATTGCTCTTTAATGACGATTTTTACCATTTTTTTGCGTTTTGCCTTATACGATAAAAATTATGATAAATAAATAGACACGTTAAAACACAAAAATGATCAGCAAGGCAAGATCTACTAAGAAGTCAAAAAAGTAAGAGTGATTGCCCTTGAATGAGGATTTTTTTTACCCTCATTTGTGTTTTGAGCAAAAACTAAAGAAGATAGAGAGAAACAAAACAGACTGAATGATCAGCAATACAAGATCAACAAAACAGATTTTTGCCATGAATTCTATTCTCGTCTACAATGTTGGAGACTGTCTTTTGTTGAAAATGCCCATAGACCAAGGTGAGCGACACAGGCTCTTTAGAGCGTCTAGTCTTACTGCCTTATATATTATTATTCCATGGACAAGACTTGATACTCGAAAATATTAGGCAATGATGTCATGTAACAGTGCAACATCTGTAACGAAGTCAGTAAGTGGATAAATACATTTTATTAAGTAATTACAAAGTTAAGAAAGATTCTAAAGTTCAAATGTTCGATTGTTCACAAACTGTCTCTAAAGTTGAATTGTTCGAATGTTCATATCGTCACACGGACACGTGATCGTATAGTGATATAACTGTTCGGTCCTGACTGAGTAATTCGGATGGTTAGTGAATTAATTCCAGCCTACCCACAAGGGGGGAGACCTTGGCGGAATCTCCTGTTGGAATCTATCTGTACGAATCTATCTGTACAAATCTATCTCGTTCGAGTCCAAAGCTGGATCTTATATAGTTCAGTGGGCCATACAAACGGTCCATAGCTGTAGGCCGGTTACGTAGTAGTCTGGTTGTGGAGTAATACTAGTCTGTGGTTAATTGTCAAACTATGCAATTAACCCCTGACGGATACATGTTATTTCACAGTAGACATGGTCATTTATTGGCTGCAGGGTATATGTCTATAATATTCGTACAGATTGTTATTAAGTGTCGAAAGGTTACATGTAATCGTTTCGGATTTGCTGTATTTAGTTACTTCCTGATGATTAACGTATGGAACACAATTGTGTTACATAATGCCTTCCATCCAAAATAGAACGAAAGTTCAATAAAATACGGTATTTTTCTTCCTGTAGGTTATTCTAATAGTTTATTGTAAGGTTTCCGGTAACCATCACCACAAATCTAGTTCATAAAATTCGGCAAATCCAACATCTGGATACATAGAGTTCATATGATTCATAAAGTTCAAGATTTGGGTATATATTGTGCATACTTTTTCCCGTCACCATTATAGCATATTGTTCATCAACTGCTGGAAAGGGCACACATCTTTGTACACGTGTCGGTCATCATCATCTCCATTACGAAGTAGTTGACGCATCTAGCTGGTTGGTTCATCCTTCTTAAGAGGCTGTTAACATCGGCCTTCGGTTAAGTTTCGTCCTTGATCAATGGCGCAGAGGAAGACATCTCTCTGGAATCAGTAACATCTGTCCCAACCAATCACGTAGACACCATTTTGTACCCATTGTTCGTGGCATTAGAACCAAAACTCACACCTTTCTTTTTGGCCAACCAAGATATATTCTGAACAAATTAACAGTACAAAAATATGGCTATTCCAATGAAGATCGCACCTAAACCCCACTGATAAACTTATCTCAATTTGGAAAAACTTAAACTTGTTAACTTCCCCTTATTTCTTTTTTTTATTTATCAATCAGATTATTGATAGTTTGTTCACTCGCCTTTAGTTCGCTGGGTTATTCAAGCCTAGCAACATTTTGTAAAACAATTCCTATATATAAATCAATACGTTCTTTTTTAAGTCTCCCAAACGAAGTTTGGGAAGACTTATTGTTTTTGCTCAGTTCTTCTTCTTCTTCTTCTTCTTCTTCTTCCGCCACTTTTAAATTTGAACTTGTCCGCACCCGTTCTCTAAAACCGCTTGTCAGATTAACTTCCGGTTTCACAATATGTTAGACTAACATGTCTAGTGGTGCAATCAGGGTTTTGTTTGTGCAATGGGGTTTATAAAGGGGTACTTTGAGGGGCAAAAAGAAAAGAGGGTTTTACTATAGAACCCTATGGGATTTTATTTTTTTAAATTTTCAAATGATTATAAATAGAAATCCGTTTGTGACAGACACAATCTTTTTAATTGAAAATGTTCTAAATGATAAAGCCCATTAAATGAAAAACAGGGTTAGTCCCCAGGGGTCATCCCCACCCCCTGCCATTTAAGAAAGTTCTAATACCTTGAAAGTGGTCAAGATCCCCACCCCTAAACCATATATATTTTGGTTTGTCATGCTAAGATGGTTTGAATGATATACAGGGTTAGTCCCCAGGGGTCATCCCGACCCCCTGCCATTTGAGAAAGTTCTAATATCTTGTAAATGGTCGAGATCCCCACCCCTAAACCATATATATTCTGGTTTTTCATGCTAAGATGGTTTGAATGATATACAGGGTTAGTCCCCAGGGGTCATCCCGACCCCTGCCATTTAAGAAAGTTCTAATATCTTGTAAGTGGTCGAGATCCCCACCCCTAAACCATATATATTCTGGTGTGTCATGCTAAGATGGTTTGAATGATATACAGGGTTAGTCCTCAGGGGTCATCCCAACCCCCTGCCATTTGTGAAAGTTCTAATATCTTGTAAATGGTCGAGATCCCCACCCCTAAACCATATATATTCTGGTTTGTCATGATAAAGCACATCAAATGAAATACAGGGTTAGTCCCCAGGGGTCACCTCCACCCCCTGTCATTTAAAAAAGTTCTAATATCTTGTAAGTGGTCAAGATCCCCACCCCTAAACCATATATATTCTGGTTTGTCATGCTAAGATGGTTTGAATGATATACAGGGTTAGTCCCCAGTGGTCATCCTGACCCCCTGCCATTTGAAAAAGTTCTTATATCTTGTAAATGGTCGAGATCCCCACCCCTAAACCATATATATTCTGGTTTGTCGTGATGAAGCACATCAAATGAAATACAGGGTTAGTCCCCAGGGGTCACCCTTACCCCCTGCCATTTAAGAAAGTTCTAATATCTTGTAAGTGGTCAAGATCCCCACCCCTAAACCATATATATTCTGGTTTGTCATGCGAAGATGGTTTGAATGATATACAGGGTTAGTCCCCAGGGGTCATCCTGACCCCCTGCCATTTGAGAAAGTTCTAGTATCTTGTAAATGGTTGAGATCCCCACCCCTAAACCATATATATTCTGGTTTGTCATGATTAAGCACATCAAATGAAATACAGGGTTAGTTCCCAGGGGTCACCCCCACCCCCTGCCATTTAAGAAAGTTCTAATATCTTGTAAGTGGTCAAGATCCCCACCCCTAAACCATATATATTCCTATTCGTCATGTCTCGAACATTTGAATGACGTATAGGGTCAGTCCCCAGGGGTTCCCCCCACCCCCAATGTTCTAGTATCTTGTAAATGGTCGAGATCCCCACCCCTAAACCATATATATTCTGGTTTGTCATGCCAAGATGATTTGAATGATATACAGGGTTAGTCCCCAGGCATCACTAATGCATTTACTGGACTAAACCAATTTTCACTGGACTTTGCCCAATGTCAGGTGACCCTGGGAATTACGAATTATGGGAGCTTCGTTTGGGAGACTTCGTAACAGCATCCTGTTACAATCATTTCTTGTTTTATATCGAATTATCTGTTTAAAACAAAAAAAAATAAAAGTGGGAAACTGTCGTATACAACTTCTACAAGTTTGAGAATCCTACATAATAAAAACAAAAATATATGTATTTACACAAGGTGTAAGAAAATCATTATAAATTTACAATCAAATAAGTTCAATTCGATCATTTTATATAACCCTACACCTACCTGATACCTATAAAAATAATTACTAAAAATTATATGTGTTACTTTGTTACCAATTGTAATACTTTTACTTCTTTAACCTTAGTGTCTCATTATTCAATCTTAACGCTAAAAATACACCACAGATTTATTCTCATCACTCTTAAAAATATTTAAGATTACATTGATAAAATTTAACTACGTCTTGCGCAATTTGTTACTGACTCTATATTTCCTATTTGACAACAACACCTTGTTGCGAAAAAAAAAAATGCCTTTCTCCTTAATCTATTACATTTTTCCAAAACAAGTTTATAGTTTCTTCATCATAATCTTTCCTTTCTTTTTTTATATATATATATCATTTTAATTTGCTTTAAAACATCAG